CGAAAGGGTGCAGAGACATCGTTAGGAGTCGTTCATCTTTATTGGAAAGTTCAATATCGATCGCGACTTGATATGTTTGTTAACGTCATACTGTCTACGTCACAAAATTGAAGCCGAGTGACGTCAATGGAATATGAAAATTCTCTCTACGTCATTTATATATTATGTCAAAATTTTTCCTATATACTTTTCAAAAACATTTAATCAATGAAATAATTGTATATATTACAATTCGAAACAATATAGCATTATATTATTGTTTATAGTATATTATTAAAAATATTTTTTGTCAAAAAATTTACTCAGAGCCTTTTTTTTTAATTATTTCAAATAAAAAAAATTTAAATTAGCATAAATAAAATTTTATTTCAAGCAAATGAAAATTTTTATTTGAACGAAATAAAATTTTTGTTTGAATACCAAATAAATATTTATTTGGCACAGACAAAATAATATATATCTTTTCTCAGGATAAAAATAATTTATTTTTTGTTTCATTTTTTTTATTTAGCCAAATTTTCCGTGGCTAAATAAAAATTAAAAACGTATTTTTTGTTGTTGGAATTTTTATTTTTAATAAAACCGAATTTTTCTATTTATAATTTTGTATATGTATATTTAACCTAATTTTCATTTATACAGAATAGAATTTATATCCGATCGAATTGATGTTTCGCTGAATATATGACCGCATTTTCCATATAACCAAATATTTATTCGACTTTCCAATTGAATGTATTTTTATTTATTTTTTAATTTCTCTTTGCTTGAATTTTCAAATGATCGACAAATTTCCAAAGTGAATTTTCATTTTGCCTAAATTTCCATTTGGCCGAATTTTTATTCACAAGATCGATTTTTTATTTCACCGAATTGTCATTTTTTTTGTATCTAAATTTTGCTTTTGATCAAATTCTCAATTACTCGTAACGAAAAATTAATAAATATTAATAATAATTATTATTATTATTAATTATTATTATTATTGTCGAAAATTCAGTTTATTTAAATTTTCATTCGCCGAATTTTTTATGTTACTGACTTTCTATTTGGCAAAATTTCCAAAAATTACCATTTGACCGAATTCTCCATTATTATTTTTAGTTTTTATTTTTTTATTCATTATAACCGAATTTTAATTTCGAATTTTTTTTCTAATCGAATTTTCTTATGTCCCAATATTTATATTTTATTAAATTTTCATTTGACTGAATTTTTATTACTAAATTTTTAATTGACCGAATTTATATGAACTTTAATTTTTTTTTTATACACCACCAGAGAAAAAAAAATATATAGGTATATATATATATGTCTTAGAGCTAAATAAATATTTATTTGTTACAAATAAAAAAATAAAATAAAAAACAAATTTGCCCTTTTTTATTTACGAATAAAATCTTATTTGTGCAAAAATAAAATTTTTTATTTACAAATAAATAGTTATTTTGCCCTAGAGGTAAAAAAAAATAAATAAATAAAATTTTTTTATTTAATTCAAATAAACTAGGGTAAATGCACCAGTGGTGGATCAGGCACCAATGGTGGATCAACAGCGTTAAAAAGGTTAAAATAAGCTATTTCTAATTGAACTAAATGTTTCAATCGTTTAGGGGAGGTGTATAGATAAGTTTTATGAAATAAAATCATTTGAAAATATTTAGGAAAACAAAGCAATACAACAATTATTGATTTTATGCTTTTTCACATGAAATCTTAAAAAATAATTGTTTAGTCTAAATTTTTTTAATTTTTAGAGTAGAAAGTAATCAATTCTCTCCATATAGAATACTTTTGGAAAAAAATTTACATCATTAAGTTATTTTTGTGTAGTGTAAAGGGGTAAATGATCCACGACTGGAGCAATGTCATTTTATTGTTGAATGGGGGTGTGAGGGGGTGTAAACGTTACAAGCAGGTCGAAAACTACACGATAGTGTCCTTGAAGACTTGTTAATTCATACTATTGTAAAGATTACCCTATATTTTTCATCTGAAAAAATCTGTACACCTTTAAAGTCAAAATAATAAATTTAGTAGACTTAATTGATCCACCACTGGTGCAGTTACCCTATACAAATATGATTCGAATAATACGTTTCTGATGTACCAGATCATCGTTGTTTCTTTTCCTTTTTTTCCCCACCTATATATATATATATTTTTTTTTTTTACACCTTTTTCTTTCTATAAAAAAAGGCTATAAAATAGTTTTTTTTTCTCTATAAGAGACTTTTTTTTCCATTTGTTTGTGAATAAAAAAAATACGATAAATATATACCTTAGTCGAACGCTTTCAAGAGTCTATTATTGGCTCTGTGTATGCGAGAAGAGTATATATAAAACTATTGCAGTTCAGTAATTAATTCTCCTATATAGTTCAACAAAGTTTATATTGAATATATATATATAGTAAACCCGGAACACAAGTCACATTAAAGTTAAAACTATTATTTCATCTTCAAAACATCTTATTTCACAAATAATTCGAAAACACATTTTTTTTTTCAATATAATGTTTTAATTACTGTAAATTTGGAATAAAGTTTCTTCGCCAATGGTCCATAGTTGGTTACACTTGATATGGAATGACCCATATGAATATAGCTGCAAGTCCCCCTCTCCTCCCCCACCATCGCAAAAAAAGACCTAAATTTTAAGGTTATATTCGTTTCAAGACTCTGAATAGGGCCACAAGTCCTTCCCCCTCCCTTACCCTCTCTCCGTATTTCCCACCAAAAATAACATAAATTTTGAGGTTATGTTCATTTCAAGACTTTCAATATTAGCCGCAAGTCCCCCGTCTCCCGCCAAAAATGACGTAAATTATGAGGTTATGTTTATTTCAAGACTTTCAATATAGCCGCAAGTGGAGGTAGATTTCCTGCCAAAAAATGACCTGAATTTAAAGGTTATGTTCGTTTCAAGACTGTGAATATAGTCGCAAGCCCCCCCCCCCTAATTCCTTACGTTGAAGGAGAGGTGGATTTTCCGCCGAAATTGAACTAAATTTTAAGGTTAAGTTATTTTGTCAGGAAACGACCAAGAAACAAACATAACCTCAAAATTTAGGCCAAAATTTGGCGCAAAAAGACAAAGAAACAAACATAACCTTAAAATTTAGGTCAAACTTTGAAGGAAAATGTCCAAAAAAAACGAACATAACCTTAAATGTAGGTCAAATTTTAGCTGGAAAATTTAAAAAATTAGATAAATTTTAGTTTAAAAATTGAAAATAATAAAAATTATTGTTAATAAAAATCGTTAATAACATTTAAAGAAATAAATAATAAAATTTAATAATAAGTTTAAATTCCAGAAATTGTCTAAATATTAACTCAAACATCTACAAAACCAATAAAAAATAGGGGGTTTGGCGCGCGAAGCCCCCCTAGTATATATATATATATATATATCTTATTTGATAAACTGGCCACGTCCACGTCGAGAATAACACGAGACACTTGTTTATCAGAAAATAAAAAAGTCTAAGATACCATTTTTTTCCCCTACATTTCCTTTCCGAAAACTTGAAAACTAAAATTTCTATCTATAATAAAACTGAACGATAAAAAATTATCCAGAAAATATTTTTTAAATTATCTTTAAATTTGTGAATCATTATTGTTTTAAATAGTGGGGGGGAAAAAAATGTGTTCTTTTTCGATTTAATGAAAAAGACGAAAAAAATTGTCACAAAGGAAAATCTAAAATTCGTCCTTGAAAATAATATATTACTTGTCAAGGCATTCTATGAAGGTCACATAAGAGTAAATCACATTTAATCTTGTAAGCGGGCCAGATTACGACTGGTGAATAGTATTTGTAAAACGAAGAATTTCCCTCCCCCCCCTCACCCCAATAATTTTCTTTCATTTTTACAAAAATTTCTTTTTATTTGATAATTTTCAATTTTAATTTTTGACTAAAAAATAATTTAATTCAATAAAATATATTGCATAATTTTTGTATTTTCGAAAAAGAAAAAATTCTTTCATAAAAGACTATAATATAAAGCGCATAAAAGGAAAGTAAACAAATGGAAATGATGATGATGATGATGAATATCGTCCATTTCATCTTGAAATGTGAAATATGGATTTTTTGCGATGGTACATATAAACAAAATCTCCTGTGTTTAGTCTATAATATTCTCCTAATGTTGACAATCAAAATGTCATTGAATATATATTTTCTTAAATTTCCAAAATTCTTTATTTTTTTTAAATTTATTAATAATTTAATTATACAATTTTAAATAAAAATCACATTTGTGATTAATATTAATAATCGCAAAAAAAGAAATTGAAAGTCAATATTATTTTTTGCGGAAAGTATATATCTCTTCAAAAAAGAAAAAATATAATATAAAACAGATCACGTTCTTTAAGTGCTTCCGCTGTTTGAAAATATTAATGTCCACAATTTTTATGATCACTAAAATAACTCGAATCGAAAAAGATTTAAGTACCAAAAAAAACCCGTTCTAAAGAGCTTCATTGGTTTATTTTTTTTTCCTTACAAAAATATCGAGAAAAAAAAACGATATGAAATTCCAATTAAAAATATTAATTTCCTATAATTAGCCGCTAATTATAATAAAATATCTATTATTATTTTATAGGTTAAGATTTAAATTTTCCAGAATTTGTTTTTCAAAACAAAGTTCATTTTAAACAAAAAAAATTAAATAGTAATGTATGTAATGAGTGTTTTGAAAATCTATGCCTCGCGAGATAACAATTTACAGATAGAACAAAAAAATGAAATTTAAATAACAATTGATAACAATGTAGATAGAAAGAAATGATAAAAAAAAAATTAAGTACCAACTGATTATTAATTCAAAGTAGAACGTCATTTCACTGTTTCTTTGTGAACTGTCATTCAATTTTTCGGGAAAAAAAAAGAAAAATATGCGCATTCAGTTTGATCGCAGGTTCACATATAGTTTGGAAAAACACGATCGATTGATCTCGTGCAAAAGACTAGACACTCACCTATATATAGATATAGTATACACCCGTTCACTTGCTGGTCTTCTTACACTGTGTTTGTAAACTATAGGTCATTATTTTCTATTAAAACACACACGAATTGCCCACCATCACAATTTACTCCACCGCTTTTCTTGTTTATTCTGCTCAGAATTGCAAATTGTCGATAAAGAAGATTTCCAAGTTTTCAACAGACATTTTTTTCAGGTCATACCAACATCTAGATAAGAAAATTTGAAATGTCGAGATCGAAAATTTGATTGGCTGCTCGTTGTTGGAAAAAATATCACCAAAAAGCTCTTTACTGTTATTAAAATAGAAAATTCGAAATTATTTCCTACGAGAAATTCAAAAACGATTAAAAATAATACATTTTGATCGATTCACTTGTCCAATAAATTTCAGCTAAGATTTTTGATTGGCTCTCGTAAAATCGATATTAAACATTCTCAACCCTGTCATTCTTTTTTCCTTTGCGTTGGCACACCTGCAACATATAGTTGAGGTTTTCTGCCACATGAAGGCGCAACGAACGATTCAATAAAATCCAATGAACGGGCGGTGTTCTGCGAAGCCATGCGAAGCGTCATGTGTTTGACAGTTAGTGAGAAGTGACAATTCGCGGGGATTAAAAAAAAATGTGGCCGATAAGAAAGCTTTAATTATAAATTCTCCCAAAAAAAAAAAAAAAAATAAACGCACTGAAGCGCCTAATATGGGAGAATGGTTGGTCACACGGTTGTGTTTATGCTGTTCCTACTGGCAGGTGAGTTTTTTTTCCCCCCCGAAAAATACAAAATTCGCAATAAGACATTTTGCATTTACCGATCAATGAGTTTAGTTATATATATATTTATCCTCCCGCGTGTAGTCATATACATGTCAATATACAATACCTTTATAGATTGTAACTATCTGATTAAGATTCAGGGACACATTATGCAAGTATTCTGATAACATCTTTACACTGTCCCTTTTTCTGATACATTTTCTTTCGTCTTTTTTAAAAATCCATATTATCACTTGAGCGCTTTCATCTTCATTTTTGTCAAGTTTGTTATTCCTTGAATTTACCCCCTCTCTTTTGTTTGTGAGAATTGACGTTCTGTCAATTTTGACAGTTTTAATTTTAAGGTTATAATTGTCATTGTTTTATTATTGTCTACTTTTAAACTATTTTTTAATAATATTATTTTTTGGGAAAAATTATATTTAATTCTTTATTTTGATTTTAATTTTCTATTACCATTTAAATTATTAATTAATAATTCTATTATTTAATGTTATATTTATGTTTCTAGTTTTATATTATTGTTTCGATTCATATTTTTATTGCGTCGTAAATAAGAGAAATTAAAAAATATTAATTTTCCTCAATCTTCAAGGTTAATTTAAAATTTCATAGGATTTTATTTGTAAGGTAATTGTTATAGTTTTTTTTGAGATAAAATTTTATTAATTACTACTAAAATAATTTAATGTAATTTTTTTAATGTCTGACAAAAATCTGAACAATTTGTATTAAATTTTTCTTTTACTGAGATTTCTGTTTGAAACAAAATCTTTCTGATGATCTGTAATAATTATGCAAATATATAATTCATCCGGCAATTCAACAATGCGAGTCCATTTGATCATTATTTGATTACAAAAGATGGAAGTTCGTGTATAAAATGATTATGATCGCATGACAACCATCAAAAATTATATAATTCTTTGGTATAGTAATTTTAAAGAAAAAAACACATATTTGTTATTTTATTTAATCGTTATTAGCTAGTAAAAGTTGAGGATAATTTTGCAAAATGTTGAATTTAAAATTGTTTAAAATTACATTTTCAAATTATGTATATGAAATAATAATATAAGAAAATTGCTAATAATTAAGTATACTTTCTTTTTTTTTTCTCAATGACAAAAATTATCATGTAACTGAAACGATTCATTGTCTTAAAGTTTATGTAAACGTATTTTTATTTAAAGTTCTTGGCCTTTTTTTTATTATTAACGTGCGTAATTCAATTGTTTCCTTTTGATTACAGTGTGAAAAAAAAATATATAAATTTTTATTTGTAAATTAAATTTGAAAAAAATTAAGATTTGAATATTTTTTTTTTGTTAATATAATTAAATCAAAAAAATTGTGATTTTAATGCACATATTTATTAATTTACTGTAATTAATAATAATTATAGTAATTTAAATACAATGGAATTTTTTTTTTTAAGTTAAGAAATGTTGAGAGTTTTTGTTACGAAATCTCGAGTAATGTATATTGGCAATATTGCTAAAAGCTTTTTCCGTTTATCTATATATATATATAGTATTATTCTCAAGAATAATTTAGATAAAAATTTAAGTTGAAAGTCATGACAGAATCGAATATTGCGTGACTAATACTAAAAGGGTGGGATCCCCCTTGAGTGGAATCAAAATAACTACCCTTCGCCTTCGTCTGAGTCATGCAATATATTCTTCACTTGTTACACGATTATAAATTATATCAGTATGAAATGATAGGTCTTTAAAAGGCCGGAAAATTTCCTAAATCATAATAAATATCATGTGAAATAATATACATTCTTATAAAATTACAATTATTTTTCAATTATTTATTTAAATAATAATTTTTTCAGGTTTATACATTTTATTTTCCTTTAGTATTTTTTTTTTTATAATTTATATATCTATTTTTTTTATATATTTTTATAATTTACTTCTTAATTTTTGAAATTTTTATGTTACAGGTTGTTTACTATTTAAATACAACCGGGAAACCGGGAAATTCATAGTTTAACCGGGAATTTTTCAGATATTCTAAAAATTTATATCGTCTATTACATCTTGTTGCATTAACTTCTCAGAAACATTTATTTTTAAAATAAGTATCTAATTATATTTTTGTAGTAGCGCATTATTAAAATTTATTAGAAGAATTAATATTAAAAAATAAAAAAATTATGAATTTTTTAGAAAAAAAATGGTCAATTTTTGTCATTTTTTGACCGGGAATTTATAATCATAAAAATTATCGCCACCCTGAATTCTTCACTAAATTAGTTATTTTTAATATTTTTAATGAAATTCTTGATAAATTCAATTATCTTAAACTATTTTTCATATTAAAATTTTTATGAAATTTAATAATTGTTTATAATTAAAAAAAAAAATTAGCAAATAAAATTACACAAAAAATTTTTAATACAAAATCACTTGAAATTTAATTATTTGCAAAAATTTCAATTATTTTTAATAATATTTATAATATTCTTTGAAAAAATTCAATTATCTGAAAACATTTTTTAATTAAAAACTTTTGGAATTCAATTTTTTTTATGTGATTTCTAATAAATTCTTTATTTCAACAGAAATCATTAAAAATTTCTCTTATTATAATTATTTTTCGAAATTTAACACAATCTTTTGAAATTCAATTATTTTCAAAAATTTCAATTTAAAAGCTTCTAAAATTTAATTATTTCTCAAATTTTCCTTTTAAATTTTTTTAAAATTTAATAATTTCAATTAGAACTCTCCTGAAATACAATTATTTTTAATGATTTTTATAATATTCTTCGAAAATTCAACTATCTGAAACCATTTTTCACTTAAATAATTTTCAAATTATTGTATTTTTGTCTGCAATTTCTAATAAATTTTTTAGTGAAATCATCAAAAAAATTTTAATTAAAAATCACTTGAAGTTCAATTAATTTCAAAAATCAAAATTGTAAATCTTTGAAAATTCAATTACTTACTTTTAAAAACTGTTATCTAAAATTATTTGATAAATTATTTTTATTTTTAGTAATTGTAAAATTTAATTATTGTCTGAAAATTAACAAAATATTTTTTTAAATTCAATTATTTCTAAAAATTTCAATTTTAACTCTTCAAAAATTTTTATTTGAAACAAATTTTTATTTAAAAATCTGTAAAACTTGATTAAGTATTGCCTGAAATTTATTTGACCATCAAAACTAAAAACAATGACAAAATTTTAAATTCGAATAAATTGCTTAAATCAGACTTTAAAAAATTATAAAAATTGGAACTTTAAGAATTTTTTTTAGAAATTTGTCCTGAAATAAAATTTTGAAAATTTGTCTTAAAATTAGTTCGATTTTGAAATACTCGAAATAAATTTTCTTGCGATAATATTCATTATAGAATTATTCTCCTTACGGAATTAATAATATAAATTTCATATCTAATAACATTAGTTATTTAAAGTAAAATATTTATTAACCGATTAAATTTTATTAAAATAAAAAAAAACCGATTTTTTCAAATTTTTTTTTGAAATATAAATCGACTATAACAACTTATTTTGTGTCTTAAAGTCGATCCGAGGCCTAAACGAAAAATTTTTGTTTACTACTTTTTTAACTTCAAATTTTATCTAAAATACTGTTTTTTGTGTCTAAAAATAAATTTAATAATTAAATTTAATGTACTTTTTTATTTTTTATTGCTGTAGTAATTTTTTAAAAAATTTTAGATAAAAAAAATGATTTCGTTCATTTGAACACTCAGAACTTTAGATACATGATAAAAATTTTGTTTTATAGAAACTGTAAAAAATTCGGCTTTAATAAGTAAGAAAAAAATTACAATTTAACAACAAAAAAAAAAAATTAATGACGTCATTAAATAATTGAGTCTTTTTTACATAACAAATAGATACTTTCTCATTATCGATTTTTTGTTAAATTTGTTCTAATATTCAGTTAATAATAATGAAAATAAAATAATTATTAATAATAAAAATAAAATAATAATATAAATAATATTTACTTGATAAAATATTTGGTATATTTATTTTTGAATAAGAGAGATTATAAATTTATTTGAATATTCCCTCATTGCAAAATATTTTCTCATGAGAAGAAGTAAATCCGGATTGAGTTGAGCTTTTTTGATATTTCAGAATGGCAGAGAGCACTAGCGGAGTTGCCAGTACGCGATGTTGCAATAGATATAGGTCAAAATTTAAGTTTGCATTGCACGAACGATGAAAGTTCAACGTATACAAGAGATTTTCTACCGGTGATGTGGATTAGAGATGGCCGAGAGGATGGCCAAATCCAAAGATCAAAAGTCAAGCCTAATGGAACACTGGAGCTAGTCAATGTCACCAAACACGACGCTGGAAATTATTCTTGCACATTAGATAATGATGCGGATGCTGTGAAAATTAGTTATAATGTACGAGTTAGAAGTGAGTTGGAATTTTTGAATGAAAATATTTTTTATAATATACGCACAAAAGAAATATTGCCTGAGGAGGATAATATTGTCAAAATTTAATTCAAAACAAATTTAGTTTTCTTCTTTATTCTTTAAAAATTATTTTCACGAGGAATAATTTTTCAAAATTAACATTTTAATTTATTGTAGTAAATTTTTAGAAATATTTTAAAATAATTTTAAAGTTTTTTGAATTTTTTTTTTTCCCGGAAAAATTAAAAAATGTCCCTTTAAATTGACTGGAAAAAGCATATTTTTTTTTACAAAAATGGATTTTTTCAGCTCCACCGCCGGCTTTACATAATGTCTGGGTAAAACCCTCGACTATTTTGGCCAATATCCTTTGGGAAGTTGGAGGAACCGGAGGTTATCCAATTATAGACTTCACTGCCCAGTATCGCTTAAAAGCGAGCCACGGAGATGAACCTGAAGATTGGAAGCCTATTATTCCGAATCACATTCCTCCAAATTCTGTAAGATTTACATTGAAAATTAGAATAATTGCATTCTTTTTTCTTTTTTTTAATAATTCATTAAGAACATTTGTTTTACTGAAATTTCGTTAAAATTGAAACAAAATATTCGATTGAAAAAAAATACTATTAGGATAATAATTTTTTTTCTCATTATTTTGAGAGAAATTACGAAATTCAGTGCATGAAGTGCGCAACTTTTTGGGACTTTTACAGTGTTAGGGTGTCTAACGGTCAGGGAAGTCAGGGAATTTCTTTAATTTTCTGGAATTTTTTAATAAATAAATTACAGTGACTATTAGTTTCAAAAATTTATTAAATTTTTTCCCAAAGCAAATGCAAATTAAAAACTTGGCCTTCACACTCAATTATTAAGCATGTGATATATCTTATATTCATTAACAGGGTGTCTACTAGTCCTGGAAGTCCTGGAAATGTCCTGGAATTTGAAAAAATGTCCTGAAATGTCCTTGAAAGTCCTGGAATTTTAATTTTTGTCCTTGAATTTTTTATATTTTGCTTTTAAATTTTCAAAAATTTATAATTTTGTCAATCAAGTTAAAAAAAAATTAATTAAATAAGTAAAATGAAAATTCACTTAAGTTACGTAATGTAATATTTAATAATGTTTCTGTAATATTTATTAAAATTGTTTTTTTAATTAAATTTTTGACAACAATAGTTAAACTAAAAATTATTTTATTCCTTAAAGTCATCCAAGTTAATGTCTTGGAAAAATTAAAAATTTGTCCTGGAAAAGTCCTGGAATTTTAATTCAAATTTTTAGTAGACACCCCGATTAATTAAATAATTATTTACTAGATACTATTTATTGAATCTAATAAATGATTTTTTAAACTTGAATAACACTGTCCGACAAAAATGATTTTTTTTTCTGCCCCTCGGATAATTCCGGTCACTTTCGATAGATTTTTACACGCTGATTACGAATCTGCAAATAAAAATGCTCTAGCACGTCCAGTTTCTGAGAAAATTAGTGTTAAAAAGTCGAAAATGCGTGTTTTTGGCCATATTTGAATTTGAATAAAATAAAAACAAGAGGTGCTAGAATCTTGTTCTTGGGTTCAAATGAAAGCTTGAAACTTAAACAACAATTCCATGAAGGGAAAAATTAAAGGCATAATGATAAGGCTGTTAAAACTTATTTTTTCATTTGCGATTAATTTTGTCATTTTTCATATTCAACGAACACTGTATATAACCCTAACATTTTGAAACAAGTGACAAGCAAGTGAATGAAACATCATTCGAATTTGAAAATTTTTCAGTTGACTTTCAGGTTACTTATTATCTAATTAATTTTCTATTAACTATTTTCGTCAATCGTGACGAGTATAAACACACAAACTTTAATAAATAATAAATAATTATCACAAATAACAAAATTTCACAATACACCTAAAAAAGTTTATATAATTAACATCTTATTAGTTTCATTTAACATAAAATTGAAAGTTAATTATTTATTACTGTATTTTGTTAATAAAAACAATTCGGCCCAGCGTTCTGCAGAAGTCTTCAAAAAACTGTATAGTGAACATTATCTTATTTAAATATGGTTTAAAGAAGGTAAGTTTAAAAATTAATAGATAATAAGTAACCTGAAAGTCACGTGAAAAATTTTCAAATTCGAATGATGTTTCATTCACTTGTTTTTCACTTGTTTTAAACTATTAAGGTTATACACGGTGTTCGTTGATTATGAAAAATGACAAAATTAATCGCAAATGAAAAAATAAGTTTTAACAGCCTTATCATTATGCCTTTAATTTTTCCCTTCATGGAATTGTTGTTTAAGTTTCAAGCTTTCATTTGAACCCAAGAACAAGATTCTAGCACCTCTTGTTTTTATTTTATTCAAATTCAAATATGGCCAAAAACACGCATTTTCGACTTTTTAACACTAATTTTCTCAGAAACTGGACGTGCTAGAGCATTTTTATTTGCAGATTCGTAATCAGCGTGTAAAAATCTATCGAAAGTGACCGGAATTATCCGAGGGGCAAAATCATTGTCGGACAGTGTAACAATTAATTAATTTTTTTCAGTGAAATATTTTGTTTTTTAATATAAATCAAATTAATTTGATACAATTTTATTTTATCGGTTCAAATTCAAATAAAGTAAATTATTTTAATTGCTAATACCCACATTTAACTTATAAAAATTTTTACGGCGTCGAATATTAATTTATCGAATTTCTATTTAGAAAAATTGTATAAAGTGAATTTTATATTATGCAAAATTTTCAAAATTCGATGTACTAGAAAATCTGCTTTATATAATTTTAATAAATAAAAATTTGATAATTCATGATTTGACGCCATAAAAATTCTTTCGAAACATTATTTATTTGATTCAAATACATATGAAATTAGTGGATAATTGACAGGTAAATGATTTAATTGTATCAAAATAAATTTTATTTGATGAAAATAAACATTTTTTAGTGTAATTTAGGTCAGCGAAAAGTCAGGGAATTTTTTTTCCTAGCACTTGTTAGACACCCTGAGTGTAAAATACGATAAAACTAATTTTTGAAAAAAATTCGATTTGCAGTTTTCCATTTAAAATTGAAATAATTTATAGAAAAAAAAATGTTGCATAATAAATTTGAATGTAATAATATAATTATTAATTAAAGTTAAATTCTATAAAAATGTGAAATTTCAAAAAAGGTGTAAAATTATACGTTTTTTTTTTTTTTTTTGATAATTATTTTAATTTTCACAGAGGCAAATAGACGTCTATCATTTGGAGCCAAATACGACATATTCGTTTCGAGTTTGGGCAACCAATGAACTTGGTCCAGGCGAAATTGTCGAAGTCGAGGGTCACACACATCACAGCGATGAAGAATTGGGTAAGATTGAACAATTTTTTTTTTTTTTTTTTATTTTAATCTATTATTATTTTTAACTATAATATAATTAACATTTATAACGCTTACTTTTCAATTAGGGGATTATTAACCGGTTTTTTTTTGAACTATTTCCATATTTTTGGAAATAAATCTTTCATAAATGATTTTGTATATATAGAAAAATAATAATTTGAATCAGGATTGTTAACGATTTTACGGCTGATTATATAATTTTGCAAGCGTAATAAACAATTTTTCAGAATTGGCAAGACATCTTTTAGCAGGAGCTGAAAATTTTGATACTCGCGTGTGGGTGGCAGCGGTAGGAATTGTTATGGGGACTTTAATGATTCTTGGTTTTGGAACGTGTTTCCTTCTTTATCGCGAGTGCAAGGCATCTTGTAAGCATATTCTTGTAATTTTTAGAAATAAGCTTTAACCGCTTCTACTCTGTCTCTTTAACCGCTTTGTTTCTGCTACTGGCTATATAAATCAGAACTAATCTTCTATTTAACAAATTTTTTTTTTTTAATTATTAATATTTAAAAACGTTATTTCAAGGGAAATAAAATTTAATTATTTATTTTGAAGACTACATTTTTTTTCCAAATATTTTTCTATATTTTGTAAAAGCAGAAAATAAAAATTTGAATATTCAATGTAATAAATAAAATGAAAAAAGTAAATAATTAAATATCCCTTGAAATATAACGTTTAATTTCCTTGTGTTTTTTTCTTGTTACTACTATTTGAAATTCTAAGAGTCGCTTGATATTAAAAAAAAAAAGACTAATTTAACCTCTATCTCATTAAATCATTTAATCATCATGGAATTTTGGTAGCAGAGACAATCATCACTAGTCATTAATAATTATATATCTACGGCCTTTGATCTCTAGCTTCCTTTAATAACAATATAACACCAAAACACCTACATTAATATATATTTTTTTTTGTTCTTCTAAATCAAATTACTTTTTTAATAATGCTATTCTAACGCCAGCTCCTTCTTTACTAAATTTTCCGAGCTACGAACGCTTAGAAACTTTAAAATAGTTTTAATACGTTTTTTTTTCTATTATAAATAAAATTCGTTTCTTTTTATTTTGAATAATATATATTTTATATATTCTCTAACTTTTTTTGCACTCTACACGTAAGGCACGAGATTACTCTCAAGGTACTTTTATTAACAAATGATTAATCATTTTTCAATAACCACCAAACCTTTCGTTTAAAACTGTTCTGGGGATTTTTTTTCTCCTTTTTTTTCTATATAAATGTAAAATGAAATTTTATTTTTTTGGTACAAAAGTAGAATTAATTTTTCTAAAACTTTTTTTTTCTATTTTATGCCTAATTTAAATAAATTAAAATTACTTAATTATTAAATTAATTAAAATAATAATACATTTAAATTGTAAAAATAATAATAATAATAATAATGTAAATTATAATATTATTATTTATTTATTTATTAATACATTCCCCGTGGTCCATCTTTGAACCATAAATGGGTGGTATTATTATTATTATTATCAACAAAACAACAGAATTATAGTATAAAATTTAGTATTTATATATATAATCGATAAATTTTTCTTTTATTAATAATAATCGTTTCAAAGATAATTAATTTTTTTTTTTGTAAAATTTCACAGTACAAATCTTACACGTACAATAATTTTGACTCACTTTTATGTTTTACATTTTTTTCTGAAATTTTGTTTCTTGGGAATGTTCATTTCTTTTTAGAGATTTGTTATAACACAAAGGAAATAAATTCTAAACCTAGTAAAAAAAAAAAAATGTCTTTAGTCTTCAAAATATTTCAGCATTTTAGAAACGCATGTTTCTAATTTTAATCCTTTCTCTTGTTTAACAATAATTTATTTATTAACAGTAATTTTTATTTGTTTAGGAGAAAAAAATCGAATTCTATTATTTTCTATTTTTAAAGAGCAAAAATTTAATTTAATTTCTTTTTTGAAATTTTTTTTTTTTGAAATTTACTGTTGAAAACTAATTTTTTACGTAAAAAGAATATATAATAAAAAAGTAATAATAATAATTGAAAATTGATTTTTGTACTTTTAATAAAAATTTATTTATTATTTAATTACAGTAATAAATAATTTTCTTTTTTGTAGAAAAATTCAGAGAAAAGGTGTTTGGGGGAAAAAAACTGTTTTTTTTCTTAGATTCGTAATTACAGAGGAATTTTTCTTTTATATTACTCTGAGAATTTATAGCTTTTCTTTGAATACTTGTTTTGAGAGTGTGTGCTTCTTATTTTCGAAGGTATAAAATCAATAGAGGTGGAGTAAGAGAAAACAAAAAGAAAAAGGAAAAATCAATCTTGTTAAGATCAATACACTAAAGGGTTGGTGGTTTTATTTTTTTTTTAGTAATATATATATAGAAAGTGCACGTCTAGTGCATATTAATTTATGAATACTTAAAAATTAGAAGTAGAGCATTATGGCCTAGAAAAATAGCACCAGGTGCTACTAGAAAGCCAAAATAAAATTCTTACTAGTTTTATAGTCCAAGAGTAGCACAATAGTCCAATCAGGCTTAGAATTTAAACAAATTGCAATTCAAGAGCACGACTTGCATTCCAGTTTCAGAAAATATTCTCAGAAGAATTTTTTTTTTTTTTCAAATTCGGTTTACAATACGAAGAAAAAAAATACAACAAATTTATTTTTTTCTGCTTTTGTATTTTAAATATCAAATTTTGGAAATTTTTTTTTTGTATTTGCTAACTTAAAAAAATAATTTAAATTTTGTAAAAGTAGGAGAATAAAAAAATAATTAGCTTATTATCGTGAATTCCTGTATTTTTATTAATTTTTTTTGTTTTTAATAAAAATAAAATTAGGAAAAAGAAATTAAAAGGCTGTTTAGAAAAACAAAAATACATAGTCAAGTGAGTCAATCTCGAGAAACGTGTGACAGTGGTGAGTGTTGAAAAAAAAAAAATAAAAGAGAAAGGGTAGAAGCTAATAAGTCCCATGGCCTAGACTAATGAAAATTAATCGCCGTTCCGCAATTGCAGCGCAGCTGGAGGAACAGGAAGTGATTGAGCTCGTGCCGAATATTATTCTCAATCCAGGATTCTTTGACGAGAGGACGGAGCGCATCCCCCTTGACGAAAACTTTAACAATCAGACAACGACTCGACTGAACAATAATAACGTCGTGCAACCAAGAAGACTCTAGCGATCGTTTTCTCATCGTTTAACTGCGATCTTTCCCGATAAACGCTCTGAATTGAATATCAATTTTTCCACAAAATTCATATAAACAAAAAAAAAAAGGAAAGAAAATGGAAAAAAAACTTGAATTCTCGTCATCGAAAGAAGATGACCAGAAAAAAGAGGTAAAAATTTTGAAATTAATTTTGATTGAAAATTACTAATTCACGATTTTTAAAATCAAATTTTCGAAAAAAATTTCGAATTTTAAACGTTGAATTCGAAAAAGTGGATTTACAATATTCAGAGAGAAATGTTTATTACTTCATGCAAGTTCGTAAAATATAAACGATTTTGTCGTTGCTCAATGACAGAGCTTGTCCTGAAAAAAAAAACTTCCCAAGAAGTTGTTATTTATAGAAAGACTGTAAACTTCGATCTCGATTCTTTCCCCCATCCCCCTGCCTCCCAATTTGATGAGAAATTCTCACGATTTTTTGTAAATGTTGAGATTTCAAAATCACTAGATTTTGACATAGTGAAGAATTTTCGTTGGTAAATGAGAGAAAAATTTTTTTTTTTTTGAAAAAAATTTCTCCAAATTAGAAATTTTGTGACGAAAAAAGGAGATTTGTTTGAAAAAACAAAAATTTCAATTTTTTTATTAAAAATTCGCATTAAGGTGCGAAAAAAGGTGGATTCTTTTTTTCATTTTTGCAAAAAAAAAATAGACTCGAAGGCTAGAATTTTAGAGATCGATGAACACTCAAGTCGCGATTACTGCCGTTTTCAAGGTTTGCACAAGGTGTTATTTATAAAAACAAAAACAAAATGTTCAATCGACATAGTGCTCAGATCGTTTTTCAAGATTTCGTAAAAGTAATTCAAAGAGGGCTCAAAAAAAAAAAAAATAGAATTTTTTTTTTTAAACGTGCATTCCCTCCTCTCAATTTAATTGCTTTGTTTTTTAAAAACATTTTTCAGTATTATCTGAAAAAAATTATTTTATATATTTTTTTTTTTTCAATTGAGCGAGCAAATTTTCCCAAATTTTGCCTTTAAATATAAATGTTATTTTACGAATAACAATTTTTTTTCACAATTTTTGCAATTGTAACAAACAGTTTTTTTTTTCTTTCAAAAAAAAGAATTTTTTACACTTTAAATTAAAAATATATCAACTTTTTTAGAAAAAGTTACAATTTTTTTTTCAATAAATAAAAAAAAAATGAATTTATTAACAATCAAATTGAATAAAAAATAATTGTAAAACTTTTAGGAAAAAAAAGGAATAATAATAATTTGTATTAAAGGAAAATGAGGGGAAAATTTTAGGCGCTTTTGTTGAGTTTTGTTATTTTAATAAATTGAAGATCTAATCTTCAAGTTTCGCGTTTTTCTCTATTTTTTTTTGTTGTTTGAAGATATAATCTTCAATAATATATTATTTTATCTATTTTACCAAATGTAATTTTTGCCACTTGATATTTCAATCAAAATGAATACACTAACGAATGCACAATACTAACGGAAATAAAATAGAATTTTAAGAATTGCACAAGCTACGCCGAATGTCACCGTGATGTAAAATAATTTTCATAAATCGTACATAATTCATAATATATTTATAAAAAAAAAAAAATTTCCTTTCTACATTATCTGGAAATTTCGAATTTTCATTCTCATTTTTCGAATATTGTGAAATTATTTTCGATTTTAAATTTATTAAGAATGTACCAAAGTTTTTTTTTAAAAAGAAAGTTAAAATTATGAATTAATTAGGTATTTTTTTAATTATTTCCATAAACATTTTTAGTAATTTTAAATTTTAACATTTGTGATGTTAACAAAAAAGGAAAACAATTTTCAAAAATCTATTAATTATTATTATTAATCTATTATCAATAGATTTTTGTTATTTTAAAATTCTTTTTGATTTTATTTAATTCAATTAAAAAAAAAAACAATGGAACATTCTTAATCTGAAAATCGTTTTTTATTTCTTCACATTCAGCTTTTTTTTAGTGCAAAATATTTTATTGTCGCGTTTAAAGAATATTTAAAATGGGTGGCTTTAGGTACAAACAATCTCGAATGAAGTCATATCAAGATTTTCGCTCTCTCTCTCTCTTTCTCTCTCTCTATTAAGATTTAAAAAAAAAACTGATAAACATTATTCGTAAAATATTAAAATATGTCTCGATAACTTATATAAAAAAAAAGAAGAAAATGATGCAAAAATATAAAAAATAGTAATTTAGTTGTCGGCTGAGAATTTGCACTTCTTGTTAAGAATATTTTTACTCATCATTGGCCAGTATTTTGCTCGAGTAGAATTTTTCTTTTTTTTTTTTTTGGAACTCAACACATGAATAATTGTGATTGGTGAATTTTCCCGATATCGTGATTTTAAATGTCGATATTTCGTGTTTAATTCCAATGGCGTTGTGAATCGATGAATACGGTTTTAATAATTGTTATCAGTTTTATTTATTATTTATTTTTTTTTTTTTAATAGAAACAATTTTTTTCTCGACGTTTTTCTATTTTGTTTAGTTAAACTACTTTTTAGAAGCATTCCACTGACAGGAAGTTTATAATTTTTGTTCATTTAATTTAATTTATTTAATTATTTATTTATTTATTTATTACATACGAAATCCATTCGTATTTTTTGTTACCGTGAAAAAATTTCCCATTTTAAATGGCCTAAGAAATTTTTCTCAAAGACAAAATTGTTTTAATAATCAAATTTTAAAATAATTTTTTTTTCACCTTTTTTCAATTTTAATTTTTTTTTTCCCTTTGAATTATTTACCAAAAATAGAAGGATTTTTTGCCAAAACAGAAAAAATTAAATTTTGAAAAAAAGAGTAGAAAAAACGTGACTTTAAATTATTGAAAAAATTTATTTATTTTATTCTCTTCCTGTCAGACGAGAATTTGCGATAATTTTTTGGTGCACACAGGTTGTCTAAGAAAAAAAAAAAAAAAATTGGTTGTGCGTCGTTACATTAGAAGCTTTTGCGACAGTTGTTTGTTTGTTTTTTTCTTTTTTTTTTTTTTAAATCAAATTTGAAATTTTATTAGGAAAAAAAAAAAAAAAAAAAAAACCAACGAATTTTCAGCTTCGTACTATGCACTCTGTGTTGTGAATGGTATTTACTAATTAAATATACGCGCTAATGAAAAAAAATAATACAATAATAACAATAATATATGAATTTAATATATAAATATATTATATAAATTATATACAATTATAGATATATAATATATAATGTATATATATATACCTATATATAATATATATTATATATGTACAATATTATATAATTATATATTATATATAAACATATATATTTATATAGTCAAGGCATCGTAATATTTTAGCTGTTAAGCAAAGACAATTTTTTATATACAATGGCTGAAATGCAATGATATTTATCTATACAATATATTCATATATATATATTATATATATATATAGTAAAGTTTTATCCTTTGATACGAGAACGGTTTTATCTGATAGAAAATAATTTTCATCCTTTTTTTTTCATAGGAATTTTTTCATTAAAAAAAATAGAAGTAATTTTGCTTTTTATTTTACTAGTCATTTTTTTTGTATTTTTTTTTAGGAAATTTATTTAGTTTTTAGAAAAATTTTTTTTTTTGGTTCATTTTTAATATAATTGAAAAATTATTATTAGGGAACAAAAAAGTATTGTTTCAGAAAAAAAAAGTATGAGCTTTCATTTCTGGCAATATATCGGGTTGAAAATCAACTTTAACAAAGTAAAATGTGACTAAAAAGCAAATTATTCTTGTAACTAAAAAGTGAATCAGTGCAGTAGTTGAGCGTAGATTTATCTCTTGTAATCAGAAAAAATCATTATCATTCGAAATATCTGTCCCTCATGATTAAAAAAAAATATATATATATAAATAGTTCGGAATTATTTTTTTTTTTGCTTCTTTTATTTCTTCATACAAAAAAGTATGATTTTAAAAGATTTCGCAATAATTTAAAATGTTTTCTAAAATTTCTTTTGGATTTCTATCAAAATTATTATTTTAAATATAATAACAATAATTTTTTTTTTTATTTCTGAAGACCGCAAAAATTAAATATCAAAGAAAATTAAAAAAAATTCGATATAAAAAAAAAAAAATAAGTGACTGAAGACAATGATTAAAGTGAGGGTCAGATATTTTTCTTCATATCATCATCGCACAAATCATACTGAAGAAACAAAAAAAAAATAAATATATTTCAAATTTTATTTTTACATCTCATTTGACGATATATATTTTATTCTCGACAATTTTACATGAACAGCACTTACTATGAGAATAATCATTGCACATTGTAGTCGTCGAATCGCTGATTATTATTATTGTAATTAAAACTAAATGCGATTTCAAAAAAAAAAAAAAAAAAAAAAAAAAAAATTGAAAAAGTCGTACTATATAATTAAAAAGAAAAAAAATGTGGTTGCTAATGATCGTCCCTTAGATATTAAAATAATCAATCTGCGATTCTTGGCAATTTTTATAGAATTTTTTTTTCTCCATCAAGTAAGAAAAAAAATATTCTATATATTTTGTCAGGATTATGTGTATATTTAGTCAGTTTAGAAAATAGTTTTGTATCCTCGCATAATTCCAACGATCAAAAAAAAAGAAAAGAAACGAAAAAAAAATTAGATCAGTGACTTTTTAAATATAATGAAAAAACAAAATTTATTCTATAAATATAAAATTTTTTGAATTTCTCTTAAAATTTTTCACTCGACATTTATGTTTTAAACTATATTATAAAATTATTATTATTATTAATTATTTTTTCGAATGTCTAAAAATCTGAGAATTCTGTAAATTTTTCACTCACAAGTTGTTGAAGTTAACAAAAATGGAAAATTACTAAAAATTTTTGTTATATTTTCCATAAAGAGTAAAGAAAGTTACTTTTCTCATAATTTAATTACTTTTTAGAAAATAAATAGTAAATTTTTTTTTCAACTGTTACTTTTAACAAGTAAAGAAGTAAATTAAAATTTTCGTCACTTTTCTTTTTTTGGGTATTTAATTTTGTTACTAGTTGACAAGTAAATTTTGTCATGCTTTTATAGTTACTTTATTGAATAAGAATTGTTATTTTTGAAAAAAGTAATTTGAAATTTAACTTTTCCTTTTTTTTTGCAATAAATTTTCAAATAAAATATCGTTACTTTAAAAAAGTTACTTCTCAGTATTACTGTATTTATTTAATTATAGATAATTAATATTATTTAATTATTTATTGAATTTTTCAATTAATTTTTATGAATAAAATTTTTAATTATAATTATAAAAATTATATTCAGTATTAATAAATAGTAAAATTTGTTTTGAGAATTGAAAAAAAGTAACTTAAATTTTTGAAATATTGCAAAAAAAAAAAAAATCATCTCTTGTAACGAGAAAAAATCTCCGTAGATTTAGAAAAAATATTTTTATTAGTTTTTTAATTTTGTTAATTTTTTTTTTTTGTAATTTTTGTTATTTTTTTCCGAAACTTATTGATATTATACATATAGAAATATTGTTATGTAATCGAGTTTTTAAAACGCAGCATTATTGTATATCTAATCACAAAAGCACGCTTACGGATTATATTCCTCTTAGAGATAAAATCCTACTGTCTAGATATTATATATATATTTATATATATATATTTTTTTTATTTATGTAAATTATTCTAATACATTGAAAATCAATGGTTTATATCCAATTGTTTTCATGTTTATTTGCAAAAGACATCAGTATTGCACATTCCATTGAGTACAAAATCTATAATTTCGTTTTTAGGTACAAAAAAAAAATTTATTTCAATAACTAATAAATTCGACGGCGAATTATTAATTATTATTCGATTCAATTATCGAATTATTTATATATTATAAATATATTTATTTAATAATTAATCTTTCAAGTCTTGAATTACTAAATAAATAATTTAAATAACTAATTAGTTATTTAACAGAAAGATTAATTAATTAATTAAGTAACTTTAGTTGATTATGTAATTAACTGTTTAATTAATATCTACTTAATTATTAACAAATTTAAAAAAAAACGTTCCATGTAAAAGTCACTTCTGAATCTCAAAGAGCGAGAATGCGATGATTTTTTTTTTTTAAATTAAAAAATGTTATTTAACTTGAATGCTTTGAATATGGCAAAAAAAAAAAAAAAACGAGAGCAATTTGAACACATATCAAATAATGTGTTGAGAAAATCGACTCTTGTGATCTGGAAAGTTACCATTTACAATTTATATTATATAATTATTATAAATATATATAATTATACACTGTGCATTATTGATGTATAGAAATACTTGATTGTCTGTTCATTCAGAATACTCGGGTTGTGAGATTCTAAAAAAACTCAAGTTGCACACATACCAAAAAAGAGATTAGAATTATTATTATTGCAATTTTTTTTTTAATTATAATTCCGTCTTCTGCAACTTGAATCATGAAGTATCATTTTAAAATGCGTCTGTGTAAAAAAAAATGGAAAAAATAGAATAACAAAAAAGAGCTGTACGAGAACCAAAATAATGCCGTAGCATAATACTAATGTAAAACTACAGCTTATACAATTTAAACGTTAATTGTTGTAAGCGTCCGTATTTTTTCATTAAAATTCGCGCCTTCTATACGAGAATATCTCGTTAGTAACTATTATTAAACATTTTTTCTTTCTTTGTTTTTTAATTTAGTAATCATTTAAATCATAAGTTCCGGAATATTTAAATAACTCAAAATTAGATTATATTGAATAATATATATATTATATATATATACAAGGTTTTTTAATATAAACAAAAAAAAAACCACAGATTGTTTAACGCTATTAATTAATCACGCTGTGTCATCCTTTCAAAGTTTATTTACAAAAAAAAAAAAAAAAAAAAAAAAAACTCATCATTACAAATAATGGTACAATAAATACAAAGTCATTCATAACAGGGAATTTTTTTTCTTTGTTTCCCTTCCTATTTATAAAAAAAAAAGGAAATTGTAGAAAATGGACTTATTTTTGAGGATTAAAAAAAAATTGTTTCTTTTTTATTTTTTATTTCTAACAAAATTAAAATAGAATTATTATTTTTATTATAAAAAAAATTGCTAAAAACTATTTTTTCTCATTGAAACATTACAAGTAATAATTGTAATTTAATAAAAATGTTTTTTAATTTTTATTACTAACAAAATTAAAATAGAATTATTATTTTGATTATATAAAAAAAATTTACTAAAATCTATTTTTTCTCATCTGAAACATTACAAATAATTTGTAATTTAATAATATTTTTGATGTGTATTTAAATGCGTTGGAAAATTGTATTTAATGAAATAATTTCAAAAAAAAATTTCAACATATAATTCAAATTTTGTTTAATATAAATTTTATTTTCTATCAAAAAAAAAATCCCTGTAAATAGAAAATCAATTTTAATTAATTTCAAAACACTGAACATTTGAATGAATGATAAATTAGGATATTATTTTTATCTCCCAATAATTTGATCTCATTGATTTATAAAAATAAAAAATACATTTTCTTTTATGAAAGAAAAAAATCAGACGTCCTTTTCTTTTATAATTTTAATTATCACAAATGTTGTCACCTGGTTTTAAAAATAATTTGTGCAATTTTCGAACATAACGCCGGTAATTCATTGGCAGGTGTAAATTCAGCGGCAAGAATTGCATTCGCCACTGCTATTGTCTCCTCCACTGATGGACCGGCTTTTATCCAAATTTTTCCATTCATACCAATTGCAAGCTCATATTTGTGTTCTTTTGCAAGTAAATGCAATAGGGGACATTTGGGATTGAGAATTTTTCTAACTAAACTCAATGAACATGAAAATAACATTCCATCGGCACTTAATACGCCCAATTTGCCTTTTTTACCAAATGAATCAACACAAACAAGTTCTGGTTCCATGTCTTTGCTTGCCACAAGTAATTTACCATAAATTACATCACCAACTTGAACATCGGGACGATTACGTTTTGATGCACCCTCAAATGCCAAATATGAAAGAGAAGCCTGTTCACTTGAGCCAATGTCAACTTTAAATATATCGCCGGCTTTTTGTGTTACAATGCCCACCACACTTTCACCTCGATTTGGAACGTATCTAAGGACAATTTTTTTTTTTAAACATTTTTAAAAGAATATGAACAAAAGAAAACAAAGTTTTTCTCCAAAATGAAAAATTTTCTTGTTTCATTGTTATATAATTTATTCAAATAAAAAAAAAAGAAAACTCAAATTTAGAGAAAGTACTTTCATTTTTATAAGCGTTTTCAAATTCATAGGAAATAATAAATAATTTTCAAATGTATTTTGAAGGTCTTGAATCGGATATATTAATTAAGAAAAAGTACATAATTTATATTTTGATTAAATAATTTTAAAATTTGAAAATAATTTTTAAATTAGTACATAAAAGTCCGTAATTTTGACTAAAAGTTCAAGTATGGCAATTTTTTTTTGTAATATTTTTAACAAATAATATAAAAAATCAAATGTTTTTCTTTGACTTTTATCAATAAATGCAACTTTTTTTTAAGTTAAATTAACTTAAAAAATTTTTATAAATTCAAATCGTCAAATTTTTTACTAAAATTCTGCAATAATTTCCATAAATTAGATTCAAAAAACCTTTCTTTAAAAAAAGTTTATAATGAAGTTGAAAATTTTGTTTCTAACAAAATCTGAAATTTGTTACGTTGATGAAATTTACGTTTATAATCAACAATTTAGAAGAAAAAATATTTTTCTATGTAAATCATTAAAAAATTTTTGTTTTTCTAAACAAATTTTTATAACATTTCACGATCAACAATTTTTAAAAGAAAATAATTTGTAGGCAAAAAATTTCTTTATTCAGGTCTCGGATTTTTTTCCGACTTTTTTCGACTTATTTTAATAAAATGCGACTTTTTTTTTACATTTTTTTTACAAAATTTTTAAACAAAATACTTTTTTTTAATACACAATGCAGATATTCTTCAGTTCTTCTTTATTTCAATTATTTAACAAATTTTTCAGTAAATTAATTATTTTTAATAATTTTAATGAAATTCTTCACAAATTCAATTATTTTCAACTATTTGTCAATTAAAATTTTTATGAAATTTAAAAATTGTTTAAATTTTAAAAATTGTTTAAATTTTAAAAATTGTTTATAATTTCAAAAATTGTTTATAATTTTAAAAAAATTAGCAAATAAAATTACACAAAAAATTTTTAATTCAAAATCACTTGATATTTACTTATTTGCAATAATTTCAATTATTTTGAATAATTTTTATAATATTCTTCGAAAATTCAATTATCTGAAAGCATTTTTTAATTAAAAACTTTTGGAATTCAATTTTTGTATGTGATTTCTAATAAATTTTTCATCAACAGAAATCACTAAAAATTTCTCTTATTATAATTATTGTCTGAAATTTAACAGAATCTTTTGAAATTCAATTATTTTCAAAAATTTCAATTTAATTATTTCTCAAATTTTCCTTTTAAATTTTTTTGAAATTTAATAATTTCAATTAGAACTCTCCTGAAATTCAATTATTTTTAATGATTTTTGTAATATTCTTCGAAAATTCAACTATTTAAAACCATTTTTCACTTAAAAAGTTTTCAAATTATCGTATTTTTGTCTCCAATTTCTAATAAATTTTTTAGTGAAATCATCAAAAAAAATTTAATTAAAAATCACTTGAAGTTCAATTAATTTCAAATCTGAAAATTCAATGATTTTTAAAAAATGTTATCTAAAATTATTTGATGAATTATTTTTAGTAACTGGTAAAATTTAATTATTGTCTGAAAATTAACAAAATATTTTTTGAAATTCAATTATTTCTAAAAATTTCAATTTTAACTCTTCAAAACAAATTTCTTTAAAACAAATTTTTATTTAAAAATCTGTAAAACTTGATTAAGTATTGCCTGAAATTTTTTTCACCATCAAAACTAAAAACTATGACAAAATTTTAAATTCGAATAAATTGCTTAAATCAGATTTCAAAAAATTATAAAAACGAAACTTAAAGAATTTTTTTCTTGAAATATTCTAAATATAATAATAGTAGTAAAAAAAGTAATAATAACAAATTTATATGTAAAGTAATTTTTTTTTAAAAAAGTTGCCTAAAAGAACAATTTATAGAAAATTGTTGAATAAAATAATTAAAAGAAAAAAAAGTTAATGATGTTTCAGTTAATGATCAATTCAATTCTCAAGATTTAAACTCATTTAAAAAAATTCTAACTCAAAAATAAATTTTTAAAAATTATTCAGAACTTAATTTTTTTTCCATTACATAATATAATGGTTCAAAAATTTAAATTTAAGACTTTTGCGTATATTATTTCATTTATAGATTTGAAATCAACAATTTTTAATAATAAAAGCTAGAAATTTTACTACTTAAATTAATTAATTTTTTTTTTTTTTTTTTGCTACATAAAGTACGTAATTTTCAATTTTGAAAACGCTTTGAGGCCTTATTTTGAAATTTTAATTTTTTTTTATTTTAATTTACTAACCTTTTTTCATAACTGTTGACATAATAAATAAAAGGATCTCGTCGTTTTAAAACGCCGGCTTTGCAGGTAATAACATTTTCGCCGTCACGTCGAAGACCAGGACCTAATATTACTTTAATTTTTCCTTTACTTGGAAAAATTTCTTTAACAATATCACCTGGCATAACGACATCGTCAATTTTAACATCCATCATTTTTAATTGTCAAAAGTTATACACACGATAAAATAAACAACTGAAACCTGAATTGAAATATATATTTTTAGGTTAGGATTATCCAAATTTGTTAATAATTTCAATTCATAGAAAGAGATATTTATAGATATTATTAATTAATTTATTGTAAAGGAATAGTTAAAGAAAAAAATATTATTTAATTTACCTGGCTTAATATATAATTTAAAGGTCCACGTGCTATTTTTATACTTGTCCGACACAGAGGTAAATAAACAACAAAATGTCAATAATGTTGATTAGTGAATAGAACGCAAAAAAAACAACAATTGTGTCAGTACATTTGAAGTGCCAATTTTATTGATATTTAGTGCAATAATAAAAAATATTTTAATTTAAAATTTGAATTATTTCTTCTTTTTTTTGTTATTAATACTAGCAGACGACACAAATTTAAAAAAAAACGCATACAACGCCGCCTGTCAATAAGAAACGATACTATTTTTCACAAATTTGAAAATTCGATTTTTTATTTATTTACTAGCAAAAATAAATTTTTCCCAATATTATTTATTAAATTTAATTAATTATTCAATTTGTATTTAATTTTATATTGATAAAAAAGGTAATAACAAACATTTTTTTATAATTGGTGGAAATATTTCCAATTTCCACGAATCAGATTCAGTTTCCTAAAAATATGTAGTATACATTCCCATCCCTGTTAAAAATAAAGTTTCTCTGTCTTGCACAAAGTAAAAACTCCCTATAGTCAGACAAGGATAGAAATATAATTTTGCGGGATTTAGTGTATATGCGATGAAAATTGAAATAGTAGTTGTGCATTCGATCTGCCATGATCGAATGCACGTCCTTTGTTTATTTATTAAATATAATTAAAACATGGTTTCGACGCGAGGACCAAAATTTAAATTTTCCGACGGTGAAAAAGTATTATGTTACGAACCAGATCCCACAAAAGCAAAAGTGTTGTATGATTCAAAGGTAAAATTGCACTAAATATTAGACACTAACATAACCAAACTTGCGGTTGGATTGTTTTCATTTTTTATATACATTTTCTGTTTTTCTTTTTTTAAATTCTATATTCTTCTTTCGTTTGAAAATTGTTTAGACTATATTTTTACATTCAACTGTATAAATAATAATAGAAAAATTAGAAAATTATTATTTGAAAATTGTATTTTCAAATGTTTCGCTGTTATTGTTATTCGATTAAGATATACTGTCATTGTTGTTACTATTGGATTTATTAGTTGTGCGTTTCAATTTTAATGAAATCGATGGTAAAATTGACTTTGTGATAAAAAAAATAATAATAATACTTGTTTTAACGAAACTTAAATTTTGTTTTAATTTTAAACTGTCAATATTTTTGAAATTAAAAGTTGACAATAATTTGAATGACGGAAATTGGCAACAATGCATTTTTGTAATTATAATTTTAAGTTGAATTGTAATATTTTTAAAATTTCATCATTTGAAATTGATTCTTTTAGGTTTTAGATGTAATTGTAAATAAGGATCAAAGGGGAAGGAAAGCTGTGGAGTACCTCATACATTTTCAGGTATGAAATAAATTTTGTTTCTAATAAAATTAATTTTAAATTATTTAACTTTTTTTTTTGGCTTTTAAAATTTTTAAGAATTAAACTTTTTTTTTTTATTAAATTGTTTATTTTATGAAATTTTCAATTATTTTCTTCAACTCTTATTTAAACTGAAGGTGATTTTATTTTTTTTTTGGCATTAGGGTCATTAAAATAATTAGAATTTTTTTGGTGAAGTTTTTAATTTTCGAAAAAAAAACTTATGAATCGGAAAATTTATAAATTAACCTTATGTGAAAAAAATAATTACATAAACATTTTTTTCTAAACTGCATTTTATTACAAATAATTAAAATTTAAATTTTTGTTGTCTCAATAGGATTACAAATAAAAAGTTACCTGTTTTTTTTTAAAAAAAAGAAAGCATAAAATGTGAAAAATTATATTTTATTTATACTTAATATGAAATTATCAATTTTTCCGAGCTATTTTTTGGTGAAAATTAAATAAAAAATCCACCTTTTTAACATTTATTTATTTATTTATATATAAAGGAGCCTTGGAAAAAAATAAAAATTGCCCTTTTTTGTGTTTTTATTCTATTTGTGAAAATTTTATTAAAATTACATATGAGATTTTAAAAAAATTCTTTGGTTTCTGTATATAGAATTGATTTATTAAAATTAATAATTTAAAATCAATTATTACAAAAAAAATTATAATTATAGGGATGGAATTCCTCTTGGGATCGTTGTGTAACAGAAGAATATGTATTAAAGGACACCGAAGAAAACAGACAACTACAAAGGGATCTTGCACAAAAAGCACAGCTTCAATTGTAAGATGTTTAAAAAATTTTAATTTTTCTTTTTTATAATTATTTTATTTTATTTATCAATATAATAGTAAATACAATCTTTTTATCGTAAAAGAATCTAATTAAATTTCAATTTAAAAAAAAACAAATTAATCCAATCAATTGATTAATTGGGAATAATTAATTTTCATCAAAGCTGAAGTACGCAACGTTTATGAAAAACAATTTTTAAAGAAATAATTTTTTGTCTAAAAATTATTTTTTTTTTTATAATTTATTGTTTAATGAAAACTACAAGAAATATTTTTTAGGCAAAAAATTATAGAATTTTTCATTTTAAAAAATTATTTCTTTAAAAATCGTTTATCATAAACGTTGCGTACTTCAGCTTCGTAATTTTCAAAAAAAAAAAAAAATAATAATTCTGGAATTATTAAGAAATAATGATTTGTTAATTTTTGTTGTCAATTAGAGGAGCTTATTTATACAGAAGAGAGCGAAAAAAGAGAAGTTACAAATATTCCGAACGTTTAGTTGAATCGGAAACAGACTCAAAAAGACAAGCAAGAAGTGCTGGAAGTCGTGCGACTTCAGCGACAACCGGATCTTCCGAAGACGGAAGTTCTGGACAACGAGACGAATATGATACGGAAGTAAGAATTTTTTATTTCTTTTAATAATATTAATGTTTTTTTTTTTTTTTTTTTTTAATTTAGATTTTTTTTAACTTTGTATTATTGCTGAATAAAAAAATGGTGCAAATTTTTTTTTTTTTTCAAAAAAATTAAGAAAAGCGCCAATAGAAGAAATGAAAAAAATTTAAAGGAATTAAATGAAAGAAAATTAAAAAAAAAATAATAATAAAGACAAAGAAAGAAAAAAAAAGGTAAAATTATAATTAATTGAATTTAATGATTCTAAATAAATAAAACGAAAAAAAATTTACCATTCGTAAAATAAAATTCAAATAACTTAAAATTAAAATAATGTTAATACGGAATTTAAAAATAAAATCGAAATGAAGGCAAAAAAAAAAAAATTACAAATTAAAGATAAAAACAGTGTTTTTATAAATTAGAAACTAATCGAACGGACATTCAAAATAAAAGTTCATGAAATTTTCGTATTTTTAAATAAAAAAAAAAAATAATTTTTTGGTAAAAATGTAAGCAAATTTTATTTTTAACACTGAATATAATTAAAAGTTGCATTATAAGAGTAAAAATTTCCTATAAATAGAATTATTAATTATTTAAATTAGAATTATTAATTTTTTTTAGGTTAAGTTACCCAAACACCGCTTTCTATTGAAAATGAAATTGCAATTTTTATCAAAATCTAATTTCCAATGATTCAAAATGAGAAAAATTAAATTATTTACACTTGCATCGCGAAACACATTTAAAATCCAAATTCTTATTTTAATTAAAAATATTTTGCACTTACTTTTATTTAAATCGTTTGTTCTTTTGTGGAAGAAAATTGTATTTTTTAATTAAAAGGAAAAAAAAAATTGAATTCGATTATAAAAAATTCGGTTTTTTTAGGTTAGTTTTTCTATCAAAAAAATATTTTCACAAATAATATTTTGTGGTTCATTAAACTATTTTATTGAATCAATAATATTTGAAGGTCATTTAAAGGATTAGATCAGAAGATCTAAGAATTTCATTATAATTATTTCGTTTACATTTTCAAACATAAACACACATTTTCTGTTTACAATATAAATCTCTTACTTTTCGCTCTATACACACTGCACTGAACCAAACATATTATAGTCAACATTTTCAGTTGAAACCTTTAACACTCGAAAAAAAAAAGATACACCTTAAAAATCGTTTATTTATTTTTATCAACACCGTTTTTTTGTTCTGTTCGATAATAAATATAAATCTTTCTAAAAATGCAAAGTAGAAAAGTGAAATTTGACAAATTAGATACCGAGATTGTCATTGCAAATCCAATTGATAATAATTCTTCAAAATCAAAAGAACGAAAACCAAAAAAACGTCGAGCATTTTTAACGGTTAGAAAAAATGTGCAAGGTCGCAATTTATTGACAGCTGAAAACAAAAAACATCGAATAATTGCAAATGAAAATAATAAAAAAAATAAGAGAAAAAAAGTTAAATTCGATTCCAAATCGACAGGAAAATTACAAGTCAACAATAATAATAATAATAAACAACAAGCGATGAATTTAAAAACTAAAGTAAGAAAGAATAAAGTTGCATTGGTGAAAAATAAAGAAAATATGGTTGTGAAACGAATTAGAAAGAAAAAAAATAGTTCTCCAGTGATTGTTCAAAAGGTGAAACGATTTAAAAAAATGTCTCAACCTGTTCAGGATGCCGTTACGGAAGAAGAAGAGGAAGAAGAAGAAGAACATGAGGAGGAGGAAGAAGAAGAAGAGGAAGAAGAAGAAACAGAAAGTAGTGTTTCTGATTATGAAGAGGAATCAAGTGGTGGTGGTGGTGGTGGTGGCGAGGGCGAAGGCGGTGGCGATGATGACAGCTGTGGAGGAAGTCAATCTGGTGCGAGCATCAGACCTGGTGTTGATCTTGATATAGGAAATACTTTGCGTCGAATTTTGGAAATAGACAGTGAATTAATTAATCAAAAAAATAAGGTAATATTTTCATTTTTTTTTTTTTATCTTTTGTCTTATTATTTAGTTGATTATTTTTACTATTTCGAAAAAATATTAACCGCCGCTTGAAGTTGGCAGTAGATTAAAAATTAGATTGCAAACTTGTAAGCAGCTGACAGTTTGTAGACAACTTCAGACGGTAAATAATTGCAGGCCTCGGATTATTTATGATTTTTTCTGACTTTTTTTTGTTTTTCAAAAATACGACTTTTTTCGACTTTTTTTTAATAAAATGCGACTTTTTCGACTTTTTTTTATATTTAAAAAAAAAGATTTTAAACAAAATACTTTTTTTTATGCAGGTCTTCTTCGGATCTTTTTTATTTCAATTATTTAGCAAATTTTTAACTAAAATTCTTCACTAAAAGTTAATTATTTTTAATAATTTTAGGGAAATTCTTCACAAATTCAATTATCTTAAACTATTTTTCAATTTATTTATTTTTTTTAATAAAATTTAATAATTGTTTATAATTTAAAAAAAAAAATTAGCAAATAAAATTACGCAAAAATTTTTTAATTCAAAATCACTTGAAATTTAATTATTTGCAAAAATTTCAATTATTTTTAATGATTTTTATAATATTCTTCGAAAAAATTCAATTATCTGAAAGCATTTTTCAATTAAAAACTTTTGTAATTCAATTTTTTTTATGTGATTTCTAATAAATTCTTCATTTCAACAGTAATCATTAGAAATTTCTCTTATTATAATTATTGTCTGAAATTTAACACAATCTTTTGAAATTCAATTATTTTCGAAAATTTCAATTTAAAAGCTTCTAAAATTTAATTATTTCTCTTAATTTTCCATCTCAAATTTTTTGAAATTTAATATTTTCAATTAGAACTCTCCTGAAATTCAATTATTTTTAATGATTTTTTATAATATTCTTCGAAAATTCAACTATATAAAACCATTTTTCACTTAAAAAGTTTTCAAATTATTGTATTTTTGTCTCCTATTTCTAATAAATTTTTTAGTGAAATCATCAAAAAATTTTAATTAAAAATCACTTGAAGTTTAATTAATTTCATTTTTCACTTAAAAAGTTTTCAAATTATTGTATTTTTGTCTCCTATTTCTAATAAATTTTTTAGTGAAATCATCAAAAAATTTTAATTAAAAATCACTTGAAGTTTAATTAATTTCATTTTTCACTTAAAAAGTTTTCAAATTATTGTATTTTTGTCTCCTATTTCTAATAAATTTTTTAGTGAAATCATCAAAAAATTTTAATTAAAAATCACTTGAAGTTTAATTAATTTCAAAAATCAAAATTGTAAATCTTTGAAAATTCAATTACTTACTTTTAAAAACTGTTATCTAAAATTATTTGATAAATTATTTTTATTTTTAGTAACTGTAAAATTTAATTATTGTGTGAAAATTAACAAAATCTTTTGAAATTCAATTATTTCTAAAAATTTCAATTTTAACTCTTCAAAAATTATTATTTAAAACTAATTTTTATTTAAAAATCTGTAAAATTTGATTAAGTATTGCCTGAAATTTTTTTCACCATCAAAACTAAAAACTATGACAAAATTTTAAATTCGAATAAATTGCTGAAATCAGACTTGAAAAAATTATAAAAATGGAAATTTAAGAATGTTTCTTAGAAATTTTTCCTACTTAAATAAAATTTTGAAAATTTGTCTTGCAATTAGTTCAATTCTGAAATATTCGAAATAAATTTTCTTGATAACATTTTTATAGAATTAATTCTAATTACAGAATTAATAAAATGAATTTAATATCTAATAGTTATTTAAAGTAAAATATTTATTAACCAATTAAATTTTGTTAAAATAAAAAAAATTAATCGACTTTTTGGAATATAAATCAATTAAAACGACTTAATTTTTGTGTCTTAAAGTCAATCCGAGGCCTGTTTTATCGAATAAATTGGATCAGAATATTTAATTTAAATTCTTGATTTTTTAATTAATTAGCTGTTAAAATAATGAATTAATGTTGCATTTATTAATTTACGTTAATCGAATAAATTGGATTAGAATATATAATTTAATTTCTTGGTTTTTTAATTGATTATGTAACTTAATATCAAACAAATTGGATGAAAAATTAATAAAATTTAAGGATTATTGAAATTTAATAAATTCTTTTCTTTTAAAGAAACGAATATTTTTTTTACTTTCTGACTACTTTTTTTTTGCAGCTTGTTGTTTTGCCAGCGCAACCAACAGTCGCGACTATTTTAGAATCATGGGTAAATCATTTTACGGAAACGGAATTAAAAAGTATTCCCGATAAAACACAACGAAACAAAGGCAACAATGTTGTTGAGAAAACATTGACTGATATAAATCTTTGCCGAGAAGTTGCCGATGGCCTAAGAGTTTATTTTGATTTTACGTTGCAAAAACTTCTTCTCTATAGGCAAGAAAGAGAACAAAATAATTCGATAATGCTTGCGTCATTGAATATGGAGCCAGTTGAAATTAAGGAAGAAACACTTGAGTTAGTATTGAGATATACAATTACAAAAGAAAATTATTTTTTTTCAATTATTAATTAATAATAATTATACTATTTTAATTAATGTAAAAAATAATACTATTTTATTAAAAATGTAGTGTATGTGTTTTTTTAATTAATTAATCAAAAAAAAAAATTTTTTTTTCTTCTATTCTCAGAATTTTGGATGTGTCAATAAAAGAGGAAATTGAAGATACGGAATATGCTCATCTACCTCCATTTCAAGAGCAGGAACCGGAAATGGAAAATTCAAATAAACCTATATCACAAGTGAAACGAAAATTAAGATCGTGTAGAGTTAGTTCCGTTGAAGAACCTAGACAATTACGAAGTCATGAGGAAACAAAACAGGATCAGGGAAATTTGTCGAGGTACTCTTTTTTTTCTTTGCAAATTCTGTTTTAATATTGTATTGAATTAAATATTTTTATTTTTGTCTCAATTTTTAATTATAAAGTTCTTTTTAATTATCCATCAAAAAAAAAAAAAAAAAAAAAAATCAATTACTAGGAAACGAAATTTGTTTTCAATTTTTATCAGAAGAAAAACCAAAATAATTTAGATGGAACTTTTTTGAAATATTAAATAAAAATAACATATTTATATTTTTATCAAAGGAAAATAGAAATTAATAATTAGAGTAATTAAATGAAAATTAATTTTTTTTTTAATAATTTTTAGCAGTATGGCCAGCACAAGTTCGCGTTGTTCTAGTCCAAGAGGCGTTACACTAAGAATGCCTGTCGTTGTTCCCGCTCATATCGGTACATTACTTCAAGAATCCAAAGGCTGGAGATTAATTCCAGAATCTGCAAAATTTAAAGGCATACGAAATCCTTGTCTCATTTATGGCGCTGTTCACTTTGTTCGGCTATTCGGTAAGTTATTTGACATAATTATTTCAATAACAGAGTTTGTCTGTAGTTACATTTTTAAAAATAATTGAATTTCAAACGATTTTAAATTGAAATTTTTCTTATTTCAGTCAAATTACCGGAACTGTTGCAGAATTCGGATATCGCTGATAAAAAATTGAAAGTTGTTTTAAAGTATTTAGATATGGTTCTAAGGTAATTGAATTATTTTCTTCTTTTTATTTAAAAAAAAAAAAAAAAAAAACAGGGTGGCCACAAGTTCGAAAAAAACTATCAGTTAAAAAAAATGATTAAAAACAATAATCTAAGTTAATTAATTTAAAAAGTTAATAGAAATTTACTAAAATTACATTTATTTTAAACATAATCTAAAAAAAATTAATTTTACTGACAATTATTTATTTTTAATTAAATAGTTAGTAAAAATGAAATATTACTATTTTAATCAGTGAATAATTAATTTTTTATCAATAAAAATAACTATTATTATTATTATTATTATTATTAACGGGCATGTCCCGTTAATAAATAAATAAATAAATTTTTAACTAATGCAGTTTTAGAGAAAAATGAGAAAAACGAGGTATCTTTTAATTAAAGAAAAAATAAAAATCTTAATGCATTTAAATAATGTAAAAATTTTCCAGTCGTGGAAAAAAAATAGAAAATTAAAGGATAATGAGAGTATTTTGAAAATTAAATTTTGTCGACCACCTTGTAAAAAATACGAATTATTTATAAATTATACAAATTCAATTGTTAATTTTTTGTACTTAAATTATTAAATACAAATTAACAATTGAATTTTTAATTTACCAATCGATTTTCATATTGTACTAATTTCTTTTTTTTTTTTTTAATTGAATATTTTCAGTTATTTAGAATTACATCGAGAATGGTTTGGCGAGCAATATTACACGCAGGCTGAGCCTCCAACAACTGAATTGTGTGAGAATAATTGATTTTTAAAATGAATGACACTATAGATAATGGATTTATTTTTATACCAGGAGAATACGTGAGAGCATATGATTGATTTATATACTTTATTAATGAAAGTTATTTCTTTTTAAACAAAAAAAAAAAATTGCGATTTCGCACAACACACATACACAATTCACACATTTTATTATATATATATTACTATTGTGAATTGCTTTTAATTTCAATAACTGCAGTTTGTTTGTAACAAACTATTTATATACATATGAAAAAACAAAAGAAAAAAAAAGAACACTTCGAACTCTTTCTTTTTCTTGATCTCGATAAGTTGTTTTCTGCAACGTTCAACTCTCAGGATTAATAAATACTCCGTTTCGTACCAAAAGTATTGTCGATTTTTTTTTATTCCAAAAAAAAATGCTTTTTTCTTGCTACTAAGTCGTAATTTCCATTATTAATTAATAAAAAAATTATTTTACTAAAATTTTGAGTAATTTGAAATAAATACATAAATACATACATACAAAAATTAACAAAATAGTAAAAAGTTTTGAAAAATGAAAATATGAAAATTACCGGTATAGAAATCTACCTTACCGACTGACGGTGAAACAGTTTTTTGAAAAATTAAAATTTCCGATACAGAAATTTATCTTACCGACTGATGGTAAAGAAATTTTTTTGAAAAATTAAAATATAAAAAAATTTTAACGCAGAAATCTATTTTACCGACTGATGGTAAAGAAATTATTGGAAAATAAAAATATGAACAATTACCGACACAGTAATCTACATTACCGACTGATGGTAAAACTTTTTCAAAAATGAAAATATAAAAATTACCGACCAAAAAATCTACCTTACCGACTAATGGAAAAGAAATTTTTTCAAAAATAAAAATTACCGACATAAGAATCTACTTTACCGACTGATGGTAAGGCAGTTTTTTGAAAAATGAAAATATAAAAATTACCAACACATAAATTTACCTTACTGACTGATGGTTAAATTTTCAAAAAAACGTTACCGTCAGTCGGTAAGATAGATTTCTGTGTCTGTAATTTTTGTTTTCATTTTTCAAAAAACTGTTTTACCATCAGTCGGTAAAGTAGATTTCTGTGTCGGTAATTTTTATATTATTCATTTTAAAAACTGTCTTACCATCAGTCGGTAAAGTAGATTCTCATATCGGTAATTTTTTATATTTTTATTTTTTAAAAAAATTTTACCATCAATCGGCAAAATAGATTTCTGTGTCGGTAATTTTTATTATCATTTTTCAAAATACTATTTTACCATCAGTCGATAAGGTAGATTTCTGTGTCGGTAATTTTTATTATCATTTTTCAAAATACTATTTTACCATTAGTCGATAAGGTAGATTTCTATGTCGGTAATATTTTTATCTTTTCATTTTAAAAACTGTCTTACTATCAGTCGGTAAAGTAGATTCTTATGTCGGTAATTTTTATATTTTTATTTACCATTAGTCGGTAAGGTAGATTTCTGGGTCGGTAATATTTTTATCTTTTCATTTTAAAAACTGTCTTACCATCAGTCGGTAAAGTAGATTCTTATGTCGGTAATTTTTATTTTTTCAAAAAATTTCTTTACCATTAGTCGGTAAGGTAGATTTCTGGGTCGGTAATTTTTTATATTTTCAGTTTTCAAAAAACAATTTTACATCAATCGATAAGGCAAATTTCTATGTCTGTAATATTTTTATATTGTCATTTTAAAAAACTTTTTTACCAGTAGTTGGTAAGGTAGATTTCTATGTCGGTATTTTATATTTTTATTTTTCAAAAAAACCTATTTTACCATCAGTCGGTAAGGTAGTTTTTGTGTTTTTTATATTTTTATTTTTCAAAATTTTTACGCATGCTCGCTAACATCGGATTTTTGCCGGTCCCTTGAAATCCGATACACGTGGGTTTCACTGTAATTAAAAATTTTTTTTTTTCTATAACGGAATAAATTGACAAAATTATTAGAAAAAATAGATTCAAATGTAACACTTTATTTTTCAGCTCTAAAAAATGTTACAAGATTAGTGTACAAAATTGAAAAAAAAAATTTTTCGGTGAGTGCTAAAAGATAATTTAATAAACTATTTTTCATGTACGTATATTATCAATTATAATATATATAATATATATAAATTTCTTTCTCAATAATTACAAAAGTCTCATTTACAATTTTTAATAAAAAATATAATCTTAGAACTATATTAATATATTAGGACGGATGTACGATCATTAAAAATATTTTCTTATTTTGTTACAGACTCTCTATCTCTGTCTCTTTAAATATAAAATATTTTCAGTAATATGCACCTGAAATTATCGAAAAATCGATAATTTTTTTTTTATTGTCATTTTTCAATATTTTGCGCAAATATTACAAAGAAAGAAGTCTATTAAATAATTTCGTCTAATTGCAAATAAGTTGGATTACTTTTCTTATTAATTAAGTACGTTAAAGCTAATCAAAAATATCAAAAATTCTTTGAACTGATTTTTTTTTAGTAAAGTTAGTAACTTGAGTTACTAATTTTTTTTATAATATTAAATACATCTCTCTTTTTTCTTTCATATATAGTTAACTGCATAAATTTTTACTCGTTTTGTTAGCCCTTTTTGTTAAATTAGAATTTTTTTACTTTACTTTTATTTAATTGTTACCATTATTTTTATTATTATTATTGATTCTTTTAATTAATTATCGTAATTCCTTAAATAGAATTTTTTTAAAGCAAAATTGGAATTAAACTTTAACTTAGAATCAAATTCAGTAATAAAACATCGAAATTTGTAATTTAAACTAAATAATTCGCCATTTAAACAAAACAAAACAAACAAACAAAATAATTAAATTTATAATTTCACTTATTTTGTCAATAATTTTTGAAATTTCAAATTTCACAACGCAAAATGCTTTGAAATTAAATAGACGGAAAATAAAATTTTGAAAAAATATTTTCATTTTCAATGAAAACTAATATGTTTGTTTTTCATAAAAAAAAGTAAATAAAAAATTTTGAAATAAATAAATAAATAGAAAAACTTGTATAAAATAAAAAAATAATAATTAAATTTATCATTCGGTAAAAATTTAAAATTATCAATCACTCCGAGTCAATCTTATAGAGTTATCGGAAATAATTTTCATTCTTTATACTTAAAAAAAAAAATAAAACAAAACAAATTTAAAAATATAAATATATAAAATTATTTTAAAAACAGTAAAATTATTTTTAAAAAAAAACTACAAAAATATTTTTAAAAATTGAAAAATAAATTTTAACTGAATTAATAAACTATAAGTAATTCTTCGCGATTCGTGACTTTTAAATTAAAAACAAAAATGAATACAAAAGGTAACTGTAGAGTTTTTAAACGTAAATATATAAATAGTTAATTTAGGAATTGCAAAAAAAAAAAATAAAAATAAAAATTAGAAAGTAAAAAAAAAAAAAAATTCTACATACATTATATGAAATGGGATTCTAGTTTCGTTTGCTTGAATTAATGAGGTACTTGCAGCAATGAGTGAGTAAATGCTTTTCGCCGGACACTTCATGATGGGATGGACTAGCCGATTCCCTAGTGTAAATATCAAGCCCATATTGACCTTCCTCCGGGAAGCTAATGGAGAAAGTCACTACATCATCGTCTGTCACAGAATGCGTGACATACTTGGACAGACGTTTCTCCTCAATACCGTTCTTGTGTAGCGTTGCCATAAAGTCTGTCAGAGGCCGCGACATCCGAAATTGAATTTCCAATTCACGACCCGCAAACACCAACGCTTCCTGAAAATTGTTTAAGTATACTTTTTTTTTAAATTTTTATCGAAACATTTCTACAGGCCTCGAATCAAGTACATATAAATTACAAAATTTTTAGCTACCAAATTTTTGTTTAGCAGAATTTTTATTTTATAGTCATTTAATTTATATGAGTTTTTATTTCAGAAAATTTAAATTTAATCGAAGTTTAATTTAACAGAATTCTCATTCAATCGAATTTTATGTGATTTGAATTTTTTAAATGACAGAAATTTCAAGTCACCGAATTTTAATATGTCCGAAATTACAAATGACCGAACAAACAATCAACAGAATGATTTCGGCGGAATTTTTAAAATTGACCAATTAGAAATTATCAAGAAAATCGTAATTAGTCAATTTTTAAAAATTGCTCCATAATCTTTCTGTCGATTATTTGTTCGGTCATTTGTAATTTCGAACAAAATAAAAATCGGCGTCTTAAAAATTCGTACAAATTAAAATTCAATAAATTGGAATTTTTGTCATTTAAAAATTCGAATTACACACAAATTATTATTATTTTTATTTACAATATAATTCATAAATTATTATTATTGTCATAAACTATTATTCATATCTTATATTCAGGATTTATCACCGATTTCTAAATCTAGAAAAATAAATTATTATTTGAAATCCAAACTTTTTTTTATAATCAAAAAAGAAAACAAATTTTTTTTAAATTTAACCATCTTTTTTCTCGAAAACTATATGATAAATGTTTATTGATTCAATAAACTAGTGAGATGTCAAAAATGTCTAAATTTAAATGAAAAAAAAAAAAGAAAAAAAAAAGATTAAACACAATAAATCTATTTGAACTGACCTGATGCGTGATTGGCACAAGTCCAAAGAGTCTTGTGGCTTTAGTGGGACCCCATTCACCACTCGCACAATCCGGAAGTGGTACCATTACCGTTTGAAGTTCCTCGCAAGCGATCTTAAATTTACAGACACTCTTAAACTTCATTGGCTCTCCTGTTAAATATTCTTTGGGCGTAACTGCATTTGCAAATACGTCCAAAAGAAAAGCACCTGAACATGGAGCGTGAACACGAAATGCAACTAAATTCCCAACAACCGACTGTAAGAAAAAGAAAAAAATCATTTCTGTTAAATTTAACACGAAAATTCAATTAAATAAAATTATTTATATAAATTATTTAAGGGTTAATCCATTATATTTCGACCAAAGACGTTGAGGCGTATTTTTTAAAAATTCTAATATTTTTTTGTAGAAAAATATGAAAATATTTCAAGCGGTTTTTTGAATTTTTAAAAAATAAAGACAATAATTTTTAGCAACAAATGTTTGAATTGAAAATTTCAAAAATTATTATTTTAGTAGCATTTTTAGAAATTTTTAATATTTTCCCAGTACTTTTTATAAAATTCCCTGATATTAATTTTAAAGGCAAGATGCACCATAACACAAAAACATTTAAATTTTCGAAAAATAGACCTCAATGGCTTTGATCGAAATATTGACCCTAAAGTTAAATAACATAACTAAAGAAAAACAAAGTTACAAATTTCAAGAATATATAAATAAATCGCAATAAACAAATTCAAGAAAAACAATTGAATTTCTTTTTAAATAAACAATTTTTTTTTCACCGAATTGTTTAATAAAAATTTTTTTTAACACTAAAATATGTTAATAAAATTTTTTTTAATCAAACAAAATTTTCAAATAAAATTTGTTTAACAAAGTAAGATAATAAGTAAGATCTTTGTTTAACAAAGATAAAATAAATTGAAAAATTAATTTAATTATAATAAAAATTAAAATTGATTAAATAAAATTTTTTTTTAATAAAAATAATAGAAAAATGTTTAAACAAAAATTAATAAAAGAAAAAAGTTTTAAATAATTACGATTAGTGAGAAAAAGTAGTTTTTAAAATAATATTAAGAAAAAAAAAAAATTTTTAAATCGTTTTGCTTTTAAAAATTATCTGATGTCGTTTTTCTTTATTGTATTGTAATTACTTTTATTCAAACGTGAAATGTTGTAATTTGCATTTTTGTCGTATTTTTTAATTGCATAAACTTAAATAAAAACAAAAATAAAATAAAAAAAAAAAAACAAGACGTTATCGTGTTTACCTGCATGACGAATCTTTTGAGAGATACGCCATCGTAATTATCACCGTCACTGTCATAAAATTTCAGGTTGTAGTGGAAGATCAGGGAAGATTGCATGTGGGCTGGCATTGCTATTCTCACAGTCGCTGCTCCGGTTGAATCCGTGTACATTACAGCATTTGTATTCGTGTCAGGAAAGTAAAGACCATACCTGTGGAAAAAACAAAATCTCTTTTTTCTTTCTTTCTCCAACATTCAACGAATATATTTATTAATTCACAAATTCAATATTTTTGACTGTATAATTTAAATTTTAACTTTAAATTATTTGATTTTAATTTTAATTTAATTTCAATGGAAATTATATTTTCTTTTTTCAATAATAATTTTATAATTTGCAATTAATTATAATTCATAGATAATAATAATAATAATATAAATAATAAAATATAATAAATTTTTTTTGAATTTATTCGTACCTGAAGAACAAGGACCGAACGAAAGGCAGCTCTTCGAAATCTTTCAGAGAAATTGGTTGCTTCAAAAGTTGCCATTCTTCTTGAAGGGGGAAGAACTCGTAAATGAATTCTCGAGGATCAGTGAGGAAATAATGATCGTCGTATTCGTATCTGTGAAAATAAAAGCAATATTTTTTAAACTAAAAATAGAAAATTTTGTTATTTTTTGTTTAAAAAAAAGAACCTCAGAGAGAATCAACGTAAAGAAATAGAACAAATTTTGTTTTTCCAACGAACAAAAAGTTGAAAAATAAATTCTCTAAAATTAATAAAAATTAAAAAATAATAACAATTATTCCCAACACATTACCAATAATGTGTAATTAAATTTAAAAAATGTTTATTTTGGAAAATTTAACGAGTTAAAAAATTAAATATTAAATAATATATAATTAATTTATAAGAAAATTTAATTAATCATAAATATAATACCCGAATAATAATAAAAATATTTTAATCTGATAATAAAAAATCGTGAATATTAAACGAAAAAAAAAAAATAAAATAAAAAAATTCGCAATACCGTAAACTGTCACTTTTTTCCTTCGGTTGTCCAGGATTTGGAACCTCTTTAGCATTAACAAGATGTCGAGCTCCCCAATTACATTGAACAAATCTCCAGGATCCGGCAACGTAAACGGCATTCCAACTATTTCTGAACCTGTTATCCTCAAAACAAACACCTGGCTGATAACCTGCTGATTTACTGTATCCTTTAATTACCACACAATGAAGTCCTGCATAACTAAAATACACAAATAAAAATCATCTTTTATTTTCAATTTCATTTCAAAGAAAAAATCGTCACAATTTATTATTTAACTATTATTTTTTTTTTTTATCACGAGTGAAATTTTTTATTTATTTATTTATTATAAATAAGTATAATATTATAAATTGGTGGAAAAATGTGTGACACAATCAGAAACAAAAAATGTTTTAAAATAAAAAGTTGAATTATTTAAATTAAATAAAATAAATAAATAAAAACCTGTTGAGGAATAAAAATATCAAGAAATAATATTTTTGTACAGAAAAATCAAATAGGAAAATAAAAACGAAATTGAAAATGATTCTGAGAAATAATCAATCATAATGAAAATAGAAAAAAAATGTATTTACTAAAAAAAATAAGGACTAAAAAAATATTTAAAATACAAAATGTAATTTCTAATAAAAAAATAAAAATAAAAATAATTACCTGCACAATCGTTTAAATAGGACATGGTAACTTTCAGTTCCGTGTTTGATTCCTCTTAAAAGTCCCATAGGCGTGTCTCCCCGTAAATTATCATCGAATTGCATTGTGTTTAAATTTTTCACCGTAATCCATCTGAAAATTGTTCTCGCCTTTTCAATGTCGGATCCACATTTAGTGACTAATTGACGAACAAGGTCAGTGAAGGTCTTTTGATCTTCTTGTGCCACCTGTGTTTTGAATTTTTCGATTTTTAATATAATAACAATAAATTTTATAAATGAAAAAAAAAACAGAAACTTTAATAATTAAATCCTAGTATAAAAACATTTGTAAATCTTTCCAATAATTTGTAAAAATTTCTTATTGAAAATGAATTATTTTTTTATCAGAAAAAAATGGATTAAAAAAAGGAAATAAGTGAAATAAAAAAAAAATTTACCGAAATTGCTATTTGATCAATGTCAGCAAATTCAATGGGATCATTATAAAGATGATATTTGGCAAGAGCTGGCGGATGAGGTGGAGGCGCTTGTGATGGATATGGTTGCGGAGGTAATTCCTGAGCGTATTCTATACCTTCATCGAGATATAAACTTTCTTGACGCATATATTCACTTCTCGCCCCATTTATTAATTCTAACATTTCCGAACTTTGCTTCTCAACTAAAGCAGCTGTCGCCGCTCTAAAAAAAAAAAAGAAACAATGAGGAATAATTTCAATCTCAATAATATAATGCAGTCTAATTAAAAAAAAAAAGAGATAAAATAAAAAAAGTAAATTATAATTTGAAAAAATTAAATATTATTAAAATTGTTAAAGAAATTTATACTAGAAAATTTTTAATTACAAATTTTAACTAAAAGAATTTAAACAGCAGCTGTCGCCGCTCTGAAAACGAAACAATCGAGGTAAAATTTCAATCTAAATAATAACGCAGTCTACTTAGAAAAAACCAGGTAAATTAATTTAAAAAAATAATCTTAATCTTAATTAATAATTAATCTTTTTTAATAAGAAAATTTAAACATAATAGAATGAAAAAAATTTGATTATAAATACAAATGCTTCAATTAAAAATTTGAAGATTTTGGAAAATTTCTAGTAGAATAAAATCAAAAATTATTCTATTCCATTGTCACATTTTGAATCCATTAATAATAATTTAATTAATGAATTTGAAAAATGGATTTATTAATATTCAAAACTATATATATTTATAAAATTCAAAAGAAAAATATGTACCTTTCATGCTCGAGCATTTTCCTAGTCAGGCTTTCTTTCTTTTTATCCCTACGAAGTGTCATATTTTTCTCGAGATCATCTTTTTCTTGTTGAAATTGATGACTTCGTTTCAAACCTCTTTCACGATCCCATCTTTCTGACAATTGTTCCAATTCTTTTTCCCATTCGTCCTATTTACCAAAAAAATAAATCATTCAATTTTTTTTTATGAAAGACATTAATTTTGTTAAAAATTATTATTTAAAAAATATTTTTATTTTTATTATATTATTTTTTTTATATTTTTATTATTTTTATTTTTTTTATTTTTACAGGTATTATATTAAATTTTCAATTCAAAAAAAAAGGAAATATTTCCAAATTAAAAAAAAAATAGGAAAAAACATTTTCGTTATTAAAAATAGATTTGCAAACTTTTGTTTTTCACTCACTCGGAATTCTTCTCGAATTCTTCGATCTTCCTCCTCGCGATGATGTGCAAATTTTCTATATAAATCATCTTCTTCCTTTCGATGCTTCATTTCCAATCGAGTTTGTTCATCTCGATCCTGAAAAAAAATGTATTTTAATATTTTTTAATTAAATAATTTAATAATATATAATAATTATAATTAACGTATTTATTTTATATTAATTAATAATATAATAAATAATTATCAATCAATTTTGTACGTATATATTTATTTTTCCTTAATAATTAAATGTTTTGTAAAAAAAAAAAAAGAAATTTCATAATTTAAAGAAATTCCTGATATAATAAATGAACCATGACTGAAATTATTTTGTAATTATTACGATTAAAATAGTAATTTGTAGTTGTTATTATTTTGAGTGTATGTGTGAGTGATTAAAAGCGAAGAGTGTCATCCTCGTTAATTTTATCGAAATGAAATCTCGTCGAAAGGAGTTTAAATCACCGAGATGGGTTTACATATATACTATATATATATATTTATCTCGCACGTGAGACTCACGTTTCTATTGTCAGAGGACTAGGCACAATAAAACATTGTGCGCGCAGCCACAGCTTAGCAATAATGTTCTAATTAGTCCTCAAGTTCAAAAGTACCGTAACCGGAAATGATTCAGTTGCAGAGAAAATAACGAATATATATATATATATAGAAGATTCACAACGTGACGTTTTAATTTGAATCATATATGATACAAATTATGCAAAATAAATAAATAGCTAACTAAAATAAAATAAGCTCGTAATTATTCGTCGCTTGCTCATCGCGATATTTCCAATTTTTGATTCACTAAAAAATTATATTCTCACACTAACTTAAAAGTATCAAATTGATACCAAAAAATATCAAATTGATACCAAAAAATATCAAATTGATATAAAAATTTGTATCAATTTGATACTTTCAAATTTGTGTGCTATTATTTTAAATAGAATTTTATTATTATTAATTATTATGATATAATATTATTATTATTATTGTGTTATTTATTAACAGCTGAAAATGAATTTTTTCCCCCGAATTTAAATAATTTAACAAATTATATTTAATAGTAAATTAAATTTAAAAAAAAATTTTATGTTATAATTAATAATCTAATTTAAAAATAAAAAAAAAGAAAATTTGCTTTGCAATATTTCCGCAATGAAATTCGCTATATTTGCACCGAGAGAAATTGATTAAAATCGATGATTGAATTAATTAAAAGAGAGTTGTTAAATAGAGAATGTTTTAAGTTGTTCACGGTCGTGATAAGGATTCATAAAGTACATCGGGACTTTTTTTTTTTTTTTCTCCATCATGCAGCTAGTGTATAAGAATTAGGGCATGACGTGCGGCCAAGCACGCGTGAGTGTGAGTGCAGAATGGCATCGGCATGTGCAAGAGAGAAAAAAAAAAAAAGGATCTCTTTCGTGAATATCGCTGCCTGCGTACGCGAAAGTACCGCAATGAAATATATATGTATTATAATAAACAGTAGAATGAAAATTAATTTCGATTTTTTTCTCTACAAAATAATCAATCAACTAATTTTTTTAAATTAGTAAATAATTTTTTTACAAATTCCTTTGACTCGAGTAAATAAATAATTTTTTTTTCGATCTCATGTGAATTCTAAATAAAAGAAAAATATTTTTCATTTTCCTTGAAATTCCCCTAATAATTAAATTATTTATTATTATTTTTTTTTTATTGTTAAAATTAAAAAAAAATAATTTTTTTTCATCCATTTATCTCGAATTTCAAATAAAAGAATAATTTCTAAATTATTTTTTTCCTTTTTCGTTCAAATTCCAAATAAAGAAATTATTTATAAAAAAATAATTATTGTTCGCGATCACGCTCGAATTCGGAATAAAAAAAAATTATTTTCTAAATTAATTTTTTCGAAATAAAAAAAAAAAATCTCTAATAAAAGAATGATTTCTAAATAATTCCATTTTTTTATTTTCCATTCAAATTCCAAATAAAGAAATTATTTATTTAAAATTTTTGTTCTCGATCAGGCCCGAATTCTGAATAAAAGAATATTGTTTCTAAATTAATTTTTTCTTCAAATTCAAAATGAAAAAAAATTATATATAAAAATAAATAAATTAATATTGTTCAAATCATCTACGTTTATTAAACTGTTGTTATCTCTGAGAATTCTAAGAAAATATAATCCTCCTCTTTAAATTACTTTTCGTTAGAAATAATTTTCTTAAATAACTCTGTAACTAAAAGCATAGATGTTTTATCAATGATATTAACTTCTCATGATTTTTTTTATCAGAGACTTGTTTCATCTGAACTTCAATATTACGACAAAAAATTATAATAATAATAAATAATAATAATAATAATACTCCAGCGAAATTATTTGCCCGTATGTTTAAATAAATAAATAATAAATTTTTTTCCTCAATATTAAAATTCCGAATAAAGAAACGTTTTCTTCGTTTTTGTTACGACTTGAGAAATTATTTTTATAAAAATAAAATTATGTCGAATTAACAGAAAAAATGGATTTAAAATAATTTTCTCAAGCAATAAAAACAATTTCGTGGAAAGAAATGTAATTTTTCATTTTTATAATTTTTTTTTCCTTGCGAAAGAGACAAAATTTGAAAAAAAAAAAACAGAAAGAAAGAGATAAAGAACAATTTTCGCGAACGTAGAATAATAATAATTATTTCAAGTTGATTGTAGAAGTGTGACAAAGAGAAATTGAAACATTGCTAATTCCATTTTTAGGATGTTTAAGTGTGCGGAAAATGCACTTTCTTCTTCTCCATTGATAATGACTTTATGGAGAGTCTGAAGCGTCTAGTATATTTACGAGGCGGCGCGTTTACCCGGTGCGCTAGTTAGTAAAAGACAACAGGTGTGCCTCGCTATGCGCGAATGGAATTTCTCCTCGCGTATTTTGTATAGAGACCTTCTCCCACACACGTGCATTTTAGCTTTATATATATATATATATATATATAAACACTTGCAATCAGAAATATTTGTAATTCCGCTATAGTCTCAGTTCATTTATTCCATTCAGGATTATTCTCCTTCTCTCTCTCTCTTTCTTTCTTTCTCTATTTTATTCTCTTCGCGGTGTCAGATTATCAAACCACGGAAATACACGCCATCGACTCATTTGCTTTGACCCAAAAGTTCATGGAATGGAACGATTTTTATATGGATTGAAAAAAGAAAGTGTATCATGCAAAACTAGAGCAAAAATACCTGTGAAAAACAAAAAATGTTAATTTTTAAATTTTTTCAAATATTAGTGAATATTAATTAGATTCAAATATAATTTACTAATTTTACAAAATCGTTTCACTTTCCATTTAAAAAAATATATATTACTTTAAAAAATAATTAATTGAAAATAATTTTTCATGGAAAATTAATTAATTTGAATTCAAATCTTTTAATTTTTATTATTTTTTATTAAAAACTAATTCAATTTAGTTTAAAAACAATTTCACATTAAAAAAAAAACCACAAAATTAAACATTTTTTTTAAAAAATATAAAATTATTTTTAAAAACAATTGAAAATTTATTAAATTAGTTCAAAAATGGAAAAAAAATAAGTTTATCTAAATTCTGTTTTTTTTTTAAATACAATTTGAAAAACTAAAAAAAAAAATTACAAACGAATAAGTTTTCGATATTTGGAAATTATACTCACCAAATAAAAGTCAATTGGCTTTTCTCGAGCCTTGCTGTAACCCTTTTGAAGTTCCGTTTGTTTTAAAGCGTGAGCGATGTGAAGTGCACTCGCATCAAATCTTCCATACTGATAACATCCATCTCCCGAAAAATTATTGTAGGGAGACGAATTACCACCGTAATTACCGTGAGAATCACGATTTCCTGGAGGTGATCCATGACCATTTAAATGTTTACTGTGCACCGGAGAATCAGCGTTATCGTAACTGTTAACAAAATTAAACACACACACACATTGTTATTCAACAATAGTTAAAATAAATCAATTCAAAATTAAGCTATACCTATTTTTTTTTTTACACAATTATTTTTTTATAAAATTATTTATAAAACTAGCAAAATTAAACGCGCGCCAAATTGAGTATTTAATTGTTTGTTATAAAGAAATTAAAGATTAATATTATCAATAATAATTTAATTTATTAGAATATTATTACATATTAAATGATAATAATGAAAATGATATGTTTACAGGCCTCGGATTATACGACTTTTTCCGACTTTTTTCAAAAATACATACGACTTTTATTGACTTATTTTAATAAAATGCGACATTTTTTTTACATTTGAAAAAAAATGTAAATAAAATACATTTTTTAGTATAAAATGTAGATCTTCTTCAGATCTTCTTCAATTCAATTATTTACCAAATTTTGAACTAAAATGATTCTTCACTAAATTAATTATTTTTAATAATTTTAATGAAATACATCACAAATTCAATTATATCAAAATTATTTTTCAATTAAAATTTTTATGAAATTTAACAATTGTTTATAATTTAAAAAACAAAAAATATCACAATAAAATTGAATTATTTTTTAAAAATTTCAATTCAAAATAAACTAAAATTCAATTATTACCCGAAATTTTAATTCAAAATCAATTAAAAATCCAATAATTATCCAAAATTTTCAATTTAAAATTTAATTATTTACCAAGTTTTCAATTTAAAATGAAATAAAATTCAATTATTTTCTAAAATTTCTATTCAAAATTAATTATCCAAATTTTCAATTAAAAATGAACTTATAAATTAAATAATTATCCAAAATTTCAATTAAAATTCAATTATTTCCCAAAATTTTCAATTCAAAATGAACTGAAATTCAATAATTATTTTCCAAATTTAAAATCAAATAAAATTTCATTATTCTCAAAAATTTGAATTCAAAATTAATTGAATTTTCAATAATTTGAATTTAAAAGCATCTAAAATTTAATTATTTCTAAAATTTTCCATCGAAAATTTTTTTTTTGAAATTTAATAATTTCAATTATAACTCTAAGGAAATTCAATTATTTTTAACTATTTTAATAATATTCTTTGAAATTTCAACTATCTGATACCATTTTTCAATTAAAAATAATTTTCAAATTATTGTATTTTGTCCACATTTTCTAATAAATTTTTAGTGAAATCATCTAAAATTTTAATTACAAAACACTTAAAGTTTCAATTAATTTCAAAAATCTCAATTTTAAATCTTTTAAAATTCAAATTAAATTTAAAAAATGTTTTCCAAAAATTGTTTGATAAATTATTTTTAGTTCTGTAAAATTTAATAATTCTTTGAAAATTAACAATATCTTTAGAAATTTAATTATTTCTAAAAATTTCAACTTTAACCCTTCGAAAAGGATTATTATTAAAAACAAAATTTTTTATTTAAAAAACTGTAAAATATTTTTGTTAAAATAAAAAACAAATCCACTTTTTTTTGGAATATAAATCGACTAAAACGACTTTTTGTGTCTTTAAGTTGATTCGAGGCCTGTGTTTTTATAATTAATATTTAATAGATATTCGTTGGCCCCTGGTACCTTAAAAATTAATTTTTAAAAATAAATTTCTTTCAAATTACTATCTTGTACGAAATTTCCTGGCGCATCTTTTTTCTCATCATAAATTTTTTGTATTTGTATACAATTTTTGAATGAATATACAACTTTAAAAAAAATTTCGTTGGTAAACGTTGTGTACTTCAGCTGCGTGAATTGAATTTTCGAATTTGGAATTTTAAAGAAACTTATTCCGAAATTTGGAAACACAATTATACAACTTTGGCAAAAATGAGAAAAAGAATTGTCAAAATTTGACACGTCATAAGATTACTATTCAAAAAAACACGTGAAATCAGAAAAGGCCAACTTCAAGTTAGGACAGAAGGACAGACCAAGCATTTTATTATTATATATAATAATAATTATTAATATATTACATAATATTATTATTATAATAACAAAATATTTAAGTTTAAAATTAATTAAACTAAAAGTCAATTAGTAAAAAAAAAAAAAATTTTAACGTAATATTAAATAAATAAAATAGAATTATGAAATAAAAACCAAAAATTAATTTTTAAAAATAAAATGCCTTTTTTAACCCTAGGGAGAAAAATGCATTTTTTAAATCCTATAAGCAATAAAATAAATTAATAACTAAAAAAAACAATTTGTTAATGAGAAATTTAATTTTTCTCTAATTTTATATCGATACCTCTAAATTAAAAATTGACAATTTAAATAAATTTACTTTTAATAACCAATTCATTGGAGCAGCTTTCATTGAATTAATTAATAATCCACTTTCTATAAATGAAAAGACACATTTTGCATATAAATATATATATTAATTATATATGGGAATATTTTTCCAAATTAAATTTCTTTAATTTAAAATACAGTAAAAAAAAAAAAAAATTCAACGAGTACTTTCAAGCAAAAGGATAAATAGAAATGTGGACAATATATTTATAACTGAAAAGCCATATTAATTAAATGAGATTTCTATAAAATTTTATTGATTGTTTTGTATTTTATTTTTCTATATTGTATATGTATACTGGGAACAAAAACGGCGATACAGCCCCATATATGTAACTCGTTTCTTTATGAACAAACAAATACAAATAGAAATTTTATGGTTAACTAATTACACGGCAAAAGGCGAGGTTCTGACAATTATTATAGTCAGATTACTCTTACGTAAATAAAACTCCTTTTAACATCGTCAACAATAATTACGCCCAGGAAATTGATATTATAAAAATATAATAATGAACAATGTCTCTTGTTTAAAATTAATTTTTAAAAAATAATGTTAAATAAAATCAATTCCAAATTTTATCATTGAGCTAATATTTTTGTTAATTATACCAAAAAAAAAACTAATAAATTTTCTATTTTACATTAAATACAAAAAATTATTCCCAAAAAGAAGTAAAAAAAAACAAAATTTAAAAAAAAATCATTTTTAACGGAATAAGAAATTAATTACTTTACGCTGAAATCGAGAACAATGCGAACAAAAATAGATAAAAAAGAAATTTTTTTACACATAAAATATAAAAAAAGAGAAAAAAATGTCTAAAAATAGAATTTCTTTTCAAGATTTATGTAATTCCCGTCTAGTTGATTTATTCTAAAGGTCAAATAAAAACATTTTAATGAAAAGAAACTTGTTTAGAAGTTTTTGCACTGTAACTATTTTTTCAAAAAGAAAAAAAAAAATTTTTTTTACCACATATAAATATACAACAAAAAAAGATTCAACTGAGGAATTTGAAAAAAAAAAATAAAAAACTGGAATGTTTCTATATAAACGAAGGTGATTAATGCTTTTATAATGATAACTGGTTAGTCAGGGTTCAGTTCAACTGCATACAAATTTCAAAGAATTTTAATCCCCGAACAAATAATCGAAATTGATGGAAATTTTCAAAGCTCTAATACACAGAAAGTTAATTATGATAAATTGAATTAAAAATGACCTATTAATTATATTATCTATCTACAATCATTGCCCTATTAATAATAATTAAACTGTTATTTATTTTTAATAACATTATTAAAAATTAAAATGAAAAAATTTTTTTTTTTATTTTTTCTTCTATATACTCTTTTAAAAAATTTATTAAAAAAATAATTATATATTGTTAAAATTAATTTCTAAACAATATTTTAATTTTTATTGCGAAATAATTGAATTTTCAATATCATATTATAAAAATAGAAACTCAAATAAATGATCAATTATTCTAATTTTATTAAAATAATCTAATTTGAAAAAAATTAATTTATTATCAAAATAAATATTTTGATTGAATAAAAATTCAATTAGATGAAAATTCCAGTAAGATAAAAATACAGATAAAAAAAAATTCGTTCAATTTACAAAATAAAAAAAAAATTTTTTAGATGAATTTTTTTTATTTGAATCAATTAACTAAAATTTGAATAATACAATCCAGAGAAAATTTTTTTACTTGCATTTATTTAAGACAAAATTTATTTGAATCAATTAAAAATTATAGTTATCGCTAAATTTTTATTTATCTTAAATAAAAATATTTTATTTAGCGCAAATAAAATTTTTATTTAAACCAAATAAAATTTATTTTTAACAAATAAACGTCGGTGAAGTTCACAACGTTTATGAATTATCTTTCTATGCAAATTATTATATTATTTTTTGACTAAAAAAATTTTTGAAACGTTTTTCGATAAAGTTTTTAAAAATAATTTTTATTTATAACAAATAAAAAAATTTATTTATCTCTATGACAAATATTATCTTTTCTCTGGGTGTAGATAAAAAATTTTATTAGATTGAAATTTGAATAAAAATGAAAATTTTAAAAAACTAAAATTTGTATGTAAATTGAAATTTGAATTAAAATTTCGAAATGATTGAAATTTATTCATTTATTTTTTCATTAGTTTGATTAAAAGTTAAATCGAATAAAAATATAATTAGATTATAATTTGGATAAAAATGATACAAAATTAGAATATTTTTAAGTTTTTGACAATCGAAAATTTTATGTTACTAAACTTCATAACGATTATGATCAACGATTAGAAAAAGAAAATATTATTTAAGGCGGTAAACTATAAAATTTCGTATTTAAAAAATGTTTTTATTAATAATTTATTAATAATAATTTTTCCCTCCAAAAAGAAATATTTCTCTCAAATTCAATTATCATAAACGTTGTGAATTTCAGTATCGTAAAAATTTGTAGAGAAATTAAAATTTACATAAAAACTAAATTTTCGATAAATTAAGTTTTTAATTAAATTAAAAATTGGATAAATTAATATTTGAATACAAATTAATTAATAAGATTAATATTTAGAGAATTTTTTATCAATTGGATAAATTAATATTTAAATAGAAATTAATTAATTAATTAAATTAATATTTATCAAAATTTGGATCAATTTCAATAAAATTAAGATTTAAATAAGATTAGATTTTTGAATAAATTAAAATTTAAATAGATTATTATTTGTTTTCAAAAAATACTAGCAGCCAAACAATTGCTTCAATATTGAGAAAAAAAAGTGTCAAAAAATGAAATTAAATAAAAAAAATTTTGATATATAAAAAGAAAAGAAAAATATGGGAATTTTTTATTCGTGCTCTTGAGAAAAAATAATAATTTTCGTCACATTCACTAACCTAGATGGATAAACTGTTCTCGGTGAACCGCCAGCTCTTATTTGTTCATTAACATATCCACTTCTAGGTACATTGAGTGCACTTCTTATTCCCACGCTGGATCCATCAAGTGTTCCGGGTCCCGGTTTTGGGACATGACTACTGCAATAGACTTCCTTGTCATTAATTTTATGTTGATTATTGTAATATGTCTTCAATGTCAATTTAGTACCACAACGTGAACATTTAAAGCAACCAGCGTGAAAGAAAGTAAAATCCTTTAAAGGTCCCACCCTATCGACTTGGTAAACTGTCTGCTGGCACCGAAGGCACGTGCTTTCATAAAAATTTGGCCGATACATTGCGCTCTATAACGGGAATTCTGGATCACGTTTTCCCTAACTTTTATATCTCCTCTCAACGATCAACTGCACACTTTTTCTTTCTTTCTCTCTCTCTCTCTCTTTTCGATTTCGAAGAATCCAATAATCGTTTATTTCTCTCTCTCTCTCTCGCTCTTTCTTGAAAGATTATATCAAAACTTGATTTGGCAATTTACTTTAATCGTTTGCCATTATCGAAGTGACGCTCGTTGCCGCAAGGAAATCGTTTGTCTCTTGAGATTCATTTTTTCCCATCTCTCTCTCTCTCTCTCTCTCTCTCTCTCTCTCTCTTTCTCTCTCCACTATGGATATTCTTTTACGCTACCTAATTATCATCTCGAAATGATATTATCCTCGGCACCTTGCGATTTTTACTCCTTCACCAATATTTCTTTCGTAAGATCAGCACCTAGAAGGAAAACAGTTATTTTTGTTAGAAAATAAACGTTTACGTAAAAGTGTTTCGTTTTATTATTATTATTATTATTATATATATAGTATAGAATCAAATATATATAGTTTTTTAAATTGAAAATCGTGATGAAATAATTTCTTGGAGGAAAATCGTAAAAAGCAATATTCCTTTTTTTGAGAAAAAAAAAAAATCAAATTACATAGAGAATTCTGAAAATTTTTTAAATTACTATTTCTTATATGTGCTGAAAATTCCAAAAGTTCAAATAAACAAAAAATGTTTACTAATTTTTTAACGATTAAATTTTATTATAAAAATTATGATACAACTACAACTACGATCAACGATTTTCAAAGAAATATATTTTTTTTTTTTATAAAAAATTATATGAATAAAATATTCGTTTTTTTGAGCACTATGTGAAAAAAAATAACGAAACTGAAGTACGCAACGTTTATGATAAACGATTTTTTAAGAAATAATTTTTAAAATAAAAATTCTATAATTTTTTGCCTAAAAAATATTTTTTTATAATTTGTTGATGAATGAAAACTATAAGAAATATTTTTTAGGCAAAAAATTATAGAATTTTTATTTTAAAAAATTATTTTTTAAAAAATCGTTTATCATAAACGTTGCGTACTTCAGCTTCGTAAAAATAACAAAAAAAAAAAATTTTTTTAGATAAAAAATTTTATAATTTGATTTGATCGTTGATCATAAACGTTGTCGACTTCAATATCGTTAAAATTTTACTTTCTGTATCCAATAATGAAGCTGAAGTACGCACAACGTTTATGATAACAATTTTTAAAGCAATAATTTTTTAAAATAAAAAATTCTATAATATTTTTGCCTAAAAAATATTTCTTGTATTATTTATTAGTGAAGAAATTATAAAAAAAAATATATATTTTTTTTAGGTAATCAATTTTATAATTTTTCGTGTTAAACGAAAATTGATTTCTAATCGTTGATCATAAACGTTGCGTACTTCAGCATCGTTATCCAAAAATAATTTTATAATTTATTAAATGTTTATTTTTATTTTTTATTGTTATAGTAATATTAAAAAATTATTATTATTATTATTATTATTATTATTCTCAATGATTGAGAGAAAAAAAAAAAATTTTCCTTAACAGGGTGTCTAACAACTGCTAGGAAAAAAATTCCTTGACTTTTTCATGACCTAAATTACACTAAAAAATTTTTATTTTCATTTATTTTGATACAATTAAATCATTTACCTGTCTATTATCCACTAATTTCAAATGTGTTTGAACCAAATAAATAATGTTTCGTAAAAAATAAAATATTTAAGTGAAATAAATAAACTAATTTGGGGGGCGTATAAATATTCTCAACATTTAATTAAAAAGAATTTTTACGACGTAAAAATCTTAATATCAAATTTTTATTTAGTAAAATTATTTAAAGCAGATTTTCTAGTACATCGAATTTCAAATTAATACAATTTCAATTTAACGGAATTTATGTCAAGAAAAATTGCATAAAGAACAATTTTTTTTAACAGAATTGTTATATTTTAGTAAATTTCGATTTATCAAAATATTTACTTGTCATTGAATAAATCAATAATTAACAGAATTTCTATTTAACAAAATTCTTAATTAACAAAGTTTTTATTAAAGAAAATTTTAATTCCAACTAATTCTTATTTAAGAAAAATTCTACTTAGTTCTCTTTTTTTTTGTCAATTTTTATAGACATAAATTTCGTTAAATTGAAATTATATTAATTTGAAATTTTTAAAAAGAAATAGAAAAAATGCTTCATAAGAGTTCTGCTAAATATAGAAATTCTTTTAAATCGAATTTTAGTTAAATGTAAATTCTTCGATATGAAAATTTTGACGAAGCTGAAGTACACAACGTTTATGATAAACGATTTTTAAAGAAATAATTTTTTAAAATGAAAAATTCTATAATTTTTCTCTCCAAAAAAATATTTCTTGTAGTTTTCATTAATCAACAAAATTATTAAAAAAAATAATTTTTAGGCAAAAAATTATAGAATTTTTCATTTTAAAAAATTATTTCTTTAAAAATCGTTTATCATAAACGTTGCGTACTTCAGCTTTGTAAATTTTGAATAATATAAAATTCATTTTATACAATTTTGCTAAATAGAAATTCGATAATTTAATATTCAACGCCGTAAAAATTTTTATAAGTTAAATGTGATTATTAGCATTAAATAATAAAATTTATTCGTAATAATAAATAATTTACTTGAATCGATAAAATAAAATTGTATCAAATAATTTTTATTTATATTAAAAAACCAAATATTTCACTGAAAAAAATTAATTAATTGTTATCTAAGTTTAAAAAATCATTTATTAGATTCAATAAATATAGTAGTAAATAATTATTTACTTCATTAATATAAGATATATCACATGCTTAATAATTGAGTGTGAAGGGCAAATTTTTAATTTGCATTTGCTTTGGGAAAAAAGTAAAAAAAAATTTTTGAAACTAATAGTTACTTTAATTTATTAATAAAAAATTCCAGAAAATTAAACAAAATTCCCTGACTTCCCTAACCGTTATAGACACCCTGATGTCATTTTAAAAATTGCTAATCAAAAAAACTTTTTTCAGATAAAAAAAATTATAATAATCATAGAAATAAATTTTTTTTTTATAGAAAATTATTATAATTTTTTGTCTGAAAAAAAATTTTTGCAATGTTTCTTAATCAACAAATAAAAATAAAAATTTGTAAACAAAAAATTTTCTTATTTTTCGAGTGAAATTAATTAATTAATTAATCATTAAAAAATTAATTAAAAAATTAATTAATAAAATCCAATTTTTTTTGGTCTCGTTTTGTGGAAATTTAATAAATAAAAATTTGGTTTATTGAAAAACATCTGCTAAATAAAAATACAAAATACCAGTAACCCATTATTTTTGTCACATTTTATGAAAATGCAATAAATAAAAATTTGATTTAGTGAAAAAAACCTACTAAATGAAAATACAAAATACCACCAGGCCGATAGAGAAAAAAAAGAAATAAAAGTAAATAATAAATAAATAAAAATTAATTTTAATAATATATTAAAAATTAATTTTATATTAAAAAATATTTTTTTAATATCAAGTTTCCTAAATTTTTTATTTTAATAAAAATTCTCAAATTCTAATAAATTATTTCTTAATTCTGAGTTTTTAGATTTCAAAAACGATTTGAGTGATTGAAATATCGTTGTGTGGTTTATTTTTTCTTTTCTTTTTTTTTTTCTAAAATTGACATCTGCTTTTATAGAGTTGTTACAAAAGAGACTTTTTGAAGTCGATTTTAGAATAGTGACGTCAACTAATTTTTGTCCTGTATGTTAAGTTGAATGACTGGTTTTTTGCATTTTGGTTAGGTGCGCGGAAATTTCATTCATTTTGAGTGTCAAAGAACTTCTCATAAACCAAACAGAAATTAACTCAATAATGTTACAAAGGCCCACGCACGCCCATACACTTTAGGATATGGGAGAATGTAATATAATAAGTGACACAACCGTTCGTGTTGCGCGAAGGTAACTAAAAATGGGAAATTGCTAGTCAATCACCTCATCTTACGGTTTTATGTGAAAAAAATTTAAAAAAAAAAAAAAACTCCAAACTTAGGAAAATCGACTTTTGAAAAAAAAAATTAACTAACTTTCTTCTTATAATATTTATTTAATAGAGAGAAGATGTCTTTTTAAATAAAATAATAAATATTGAAATAAAAAATAATAAAAAATAAAAAATACCTAAAACAATAACAATGAAATTAATAATTTCGTTGATAAATTAAATTAAATATTTAAAAAAAAAAAATTAATTTTAATTTACTATTTCAAATAGAAAAATTTTGATTTAACTAAAAAATATCGTTTAACCTGAATATTATTATATAGAAATTTTATATAAAAATTATATAAAATTGCAAATAAATCATTTCTTAAGGGGGAATTCGCAACTTTTTTCTATATAAAAAGAAAGAGAAAAAAAAATTCAAAATCCGTTAACTATCTTAAAAAGATTAAATATTTTTATGTCTAATGAATATTAAATATATTAACATAACGTTTTGTCTCTTCACTCAACCGTACACTTTGTATATGCATTTTAAAATTTTTTTCCTGTTTTAAACTTAACATTATTATCGACTTTCAAAATCATCGAAAAAAAAAACTATTACATATAAAATCCAATTTTCGTAGAAATAAAATATTGTTAAAAAAAGTTTACAATAAATGTATTATTCACATATTTATAATTTCAATTTCTTTCCGTATTACTTTCTATATATTTATAAGATGTTAATATAATAGTAATAATATTATAACAATAGAGCAACAATAATAATATTAATAATAAAAAAAATAATAATAATAAAATTAATAATAATTTAAATTTTTATTATAATAATTATAAAATTATTTTAAAAATTTAATTATAAATTTATTTCGTTATCTAATTAATTCCCAATAAATATTATTTATTTACTTAAAGAAAAAAATTATATTATAATAATCTAAAATACAGAAAAAAATTTAAATTATAGATTCAAAGATTATTTTTTTCATAGGTAAAAAGCAGATTTTCTCGATCTAAAAGATTATCCGGGCTACCGAAACGAAAAAAAAAATGCGCAAACCTACACACCGCGTAGGTAGAAAATATTTCATAACCGATATATATATAAAGTGATACTAAAAATGGGTTTGTGTGAATTATATTCTTATTCACTTGTTCATTTATATTATTTAAAATCTATTTTCGTATGAGCCAAAAGTTCTGAACGTTCAAATGAACAAAATATTTTTTTCAATCCATAAATTATTAAAAATTATGATGAAAATATAAAATAAAACAATAAATTAAACAATTATTAAATTAATAACTTCTTTTTAGATAATTAAAATAAATATTTTCTAATAAAATTAGTATTTAAAAAAGTTGAAAAAAAAATTTTCGTTCATTTGAACGTTCAAAACTTTTGTCTCATATTTTCGTTGTTGACCATATTTTTGTGAAAATCAAAAAAGAAATTTAAGTATAATTAATTGTAATATAACACACAATTTTATCAAGAAATTATTTTTTATAAATAGATATATAAATACATCTATTATACTATATTCATTATTCATTAAAAATTTCCATGTCACTTTTTTTGAAGGATATATTCATTAATTTTGTTCCAATTAAATATCAGTTTCGGAGAGAGAGAGAATTATTACATAAACTTCAGTCATTAAAAATAATTATACCAAGATTTAATAAATATTCAAAGAAATAAAAAAAAAAAAAAATTTTCTCACATTATTCAACGTGACAATATTTCAAGTATAATTATTGTCAATTTTTATTTATCTATTAATTATCAATTAATTATTAGTTTAGATTATTCGTTATTATTACGTAAATTAGATATTTTATTTTAATAAAAATTATTATTTTTTTAAATGAAATTGAAATTATATAGTTTCTGTTTTCTTTCATATATTCTATTTATCTTCTAATGTAAAAGGATAAAGGAAGTGTGCTGATTAAAAAAAATGAGGGTCGGATCAATATTTTTTTATTTTTTTGCGATAAAGTCAAAGAACTTGAGCCCTTTATAAAAAAAAAATATATATATAAACTTCAGTAAAAAAAGAAAATTAATTATTTTTGTTTTTTAGACGATTTTAGAAATTTTATTTCTTTATTATTGCGCCATTTAGTATTTTTTCGAAAAAATTAAAAATAAACAAAATTTCGATAGAAATTGAAAACAAGAAATAAAAAATTTTCAAAATTACAATTTTCTATTTTTATATTTAAAAAAAAAAACAGTAAACTAGAAACATAACTCGATTTTTCTCACTTTCAGTTATTATTTGAAATCGTTTTACGAATATACAAAAAAAAATAATAATAAGGAAAAAAAAGACAATAGATCAAGCAAAAGAGTTCCACAAGTTTTCTCCATTCATAATAAAGTAAAACGAAAAACTATAATTATGTTTGAATGAAGAGAAATATTTGTCGCAATTGAAATTTTACATTCTCGTTTCTCATTAACTTAAAGATTCTTCATTTACCAGATTGTTAATTATATATATATATATATACGACTTGGTATAATTAAGAATCTAAATTATTTTAAAAATGACACCCCCGACTCTATTTATATATATATACAAGTCAACAATTAAGTTTATATGAACACAATTCTTTCCCATCATTGTTTTAACTTTTATGATTCCATCTTTAAAATATATTAACCTTCTTTAATCATAATTTACATTATTAAATATTATCACAAAAATTCATCTCAACTAGATCAGGCATTTAATTTTAATATTCATTATAAATATTTTCACAATTAATTTATCTTAGCACTCTCTTTTAATTTAAAAAAAAAAGAATTTTATTTTTATTAATTAATAATTGAATTATTATAATTTATTATTTTATCATATGAATTAATTTTCAATTATTTATAATATTATTGTACTTTCAATAATTGAAAAAATTTAAAATGTCATAAAACATTTTTCCTGTTAAGAAAAATGTGTCTCGACTGTTTATTAAATTCATTTTTGCTTATTATATTCTATCGCGCGTCTTTATGAATGCAATTTTTGGAAAAATTACTCTTTAATGATCAAACTAATAAAAAAAAGATATATACTCATTTCACTTGATTGCGCAATTAAAAAAGTGCCACGCGGATTTATATATATAATAAGAAATAAGAAGATATGAAGACAACTTTCTCGTGTTATAATTACTCTAAAAGTCCTCATAAGACACACACACGTCAAAAAACGTGTAATGTGAAAGTATAGATCTAAAATTCACTTCAATTTATTTTTTTTCGGGGAAAAAAATTTACATACGAAAGTAATAAATGCAAAAAAAATTTCATATTTAGTGTCACATAACCTTTTTTTGATTCTTTATAACAAAAACTTTATTTTTCCACATATAACCTTAAAATATAATTGACAAAATAAATCCTATAATCAAATATATAGAAAGAACAAAACCTTATTTGTTAAAAGAATGAGTTGTAAGTTTCTTTTTTTTTTTTTTGGTGCAACAAAAAAGAACCCTTTACCTGGAATGCAGCGAGGTCGATACTGGACCACGGATCTCAGTTACACATCCGTTCATCTAGCAATAAGCCTCCAGTTAGACACACCTTGAATATCTTTCTGATATGCTTCTTTAGTTCTCTAATCCGTGACTCACGACTCTATTCCATATTATCTATTACTCTCCTATATTTATCTCAAATTTTCTTCCGCAGCCTCTTCACTGTCACTTGCACCAAACGAAACAAAAACAAATATATCTATTACACTTATATTCAATCTATTATGTATATAGTCAAATTGAAAATCTACAAAAAACACACTCGATGGTGGTACCCAATATCAAGGTCATTGGTCGAATTTCTCGGCCACGCGTTGAAATTACCGAACGACCGACACCGCGAGTGAACCAGTCGCGTCATGCGAGCCCGGAAAAAGGAGTGCATTCATCAAAAAATTCAAATAATGATATTGAAATCGATGCCAAAGCTCATACGTATCACTACTTCTTGTATATATATATTGAGAGAAATTTCTTTTTCACTGAAGCGCGCCGAACTTTCCTTACGCGGATCGACGATTTTTGAGCACTCGCGCTCTTTTATCTCATCAGCGAAATCGGATCAGAACAAATAACGCTTTCTTTTCGATTTTCATTGTTTCGTTTCGTGACGATTGCAATTGTATTGCGATAATGTTTTTTTTTTTTTTTTTTTAGAAACACGTTTCGATTGTTGACAGAATATATATTTTCAATGAAAATTATAGTAAACACATACACGAGCGGTGACACCTGTGAAATAACCACCTGTTCCGTCCGACGTTGCGGAGTAATCTGAAGACAGCAGGGGAAACCGGCCATTTTGAAAGCTGATGCTACAGTGGCGCTCCTGGTGATAATCGGCTGAAATAATGTGGTGGGGTTTTTTTAACAATCATGGGGGAGGGAAATAAAGTTAATTGAAAGAAAATCCTTTCTAATTGTTTTCCTTCATTGTTGTGGCTTTATTGTTGACATTAAAGGGAATATGTAACTTTCTATTATTCTCTTATAGGCCACTTAATCGTTACCGAAAATTGGGGTTTCCCTCTTTTTTTTTTTCTAAACCCCAATAGCGGGAAATTTTTGAATTTGAATTCTTAACTATAAAAAGGCGGGAATGGAATATTTTTCCAGCAGTTGAAATAGTTTAATTATATTTTCGAAACTAATATAATATAAATATTCTAAATATTGACAATTTGAAAAAATGTGATTTTTTTAATTTAACAGTTGGTATTACTTTTGAATTTTTAAATTTCATTTTTTTTTCTCTATATTTGTAAAACAGTTGTTTGTATAAAAATACTGAATTAAAATGATTTAAAATAGTTTAGTTAAATAAAAAAAAGGAATTTTAGAGAAAGAAGAGAAGGAAATAAATATGGACAATGGAAATAGTAAAAATACAATTTACAGAATTTACAATATTTATTTTTTCAAATTGTACTTTATAATACAATTTAAAAAATTCTTAAAATTAATTATAAAATTGAAAAAAAATGAATGCTAATATTTACAATAGTTATGTACAAAATTTCGTTGAATTTACACCTAATTAAATTTAATTAATTATTATTAATTTTCATTTTAGTCCATCTTGTAATAATTAAAAGAGTGAATTGCGTACGATGTATTTTCCACATTTTTTCTATCTGAAACCACTGGTGTCATCAAATTTAAATTCTGTAATTATTAAATAAAAATTAATCGATTTAGTCATTAATAAACAATAATAAATTATTTGTTATCAAATTTTTACAAAATATACATTCAATTAAAATTTTTATTTGTAATTTAAAAATTATTTTTTTAATCAATAAGAATTTTTATTTAATTTTTCAAACAAAAAAGGAAAAAGAAAAGAATTTTTTTAAATTAATAAATAAAATAGTTTTTGTATTACTGTGAATTAAATAATAATTTATTAATAAATAAACTAAAAAGTGTTAAATAAAAATTCTAAATAATTGAAAATAATTAAATATTTATAATAATTAGAATTCATGAATCAAATTATTAAATTAAAATACAAAAATAAATTAAAAACAAAGAATTTTTTTTTTGACAAATATTTGTAAAATTATAGTAATAATATATAATTAATAATTGTTTATCCATAATTAATTTTGATAATTCACTAAAAGAAAATAATTTTTGAAAAAAAAAAATTCAAATATTTTGAAATTAAAACGAAATTACTTAAAATAAAACTTACACATTTTTTGTGATTTGAGAGGCAAAATGTACAGACTTGTGGCCTTTTTGTTGATTCCTTCCAATCATTAATTTGATAATTATGTTTTTCATTTTTTAAACATGGTTGATCAATAGCGCCAGCAACTAAAACTGCACCCAAATGATTGATATAACTACTGGCCAATCTCAATGTTTCAATTTTTGATAATTTCCTATCGGCAGGCTCTGTTGGAATTAGTGTCCTCAATGTACTGAACGCTGTATTTACACTGCAGAGTGAAGATTGGATTTCTTGAGATTGACACCTGTATTTATTTAATTTAATAAAAATAAACAATTCTTTTTCCCTTTAATATATTTCTCCATCAATGTGCAAAAATCTATTCCCCGTCTGTCTGTGTGTGTGTGTTTTTTTTTTCGTAATACAATTTACAATTTCAAAATTTATTTTTGTACATAAAAATTTGGTTTTCTATTTAGAGAATTTTTTCGATTTTCATTTAAAAAATTTACATTTTGAAATTCAAATTTAATTATTTTGTAATAAATAAACGATAAAGTTAAAAATAAAAAATCGATGTTCAAAAAATGTTTATTTTTATTTTTGAATAATTTACTACAAAAAAAATTTGTCGTTAGTAAAAAGGGATTGCAAAAAAAAATTTTCAGCGATTTTTAAATAATTTTTTATTCTTATTTTTGAATTATTTTTCAGAAGAAAATTTGATTGTTAGTAAAAAGTCCTTGGAAAAAAAATTAACTTCAATTCAATAAAAAGATTCGTCTCAAAATAATGAATATTTCATAATTCATTTAATTATGTATAAATTTTCATTTTTGAAAAATCTTTTACAAAATTTTGTTCACTGAAATTTTTGGATAGAAATAAAATTTCATAACACAAAAAAATAAAAAAAAACTATTAAAAGAAATAATAATATTTTAAAATTCAATTACTTTTATAATTTAATCATTTTTAAATTCAATCATCTATTTTTAACTGATTTCGAAATTTTTGCTGTTATAATCGCGATTTTTTTTTCATTTTTCAAAAAAAAAAATTTGTTAAACAAAAATACAAACAAAAAAAAAAAAAAAAAAATATTAAATTATTAAAACGATTGTTAATTAAATAAGTGTTATGACTTGATTTATAAAAATCTTTATAAATGTATAGAATTTGGAAAAAAATAATAAACTTTATAAAATATTTCCTTTTTAAATTCTACTTTAGTTTCTAAACTGTTTTCGTAATTTTTTTTCGTTGAAAATCTTGATAACTTCTATCGGAATATATTAATTAAAAAAGATTAATTGAATTTCAAAAACAATTTGCAAAATAATTTTATTTTAAATAAATTAATTATTAAATTTATTTAAAAGTTTATTGAGAATTTAAAAAAGAAAATGATAAACTAAAAAATAAAAATTAATTTTACCACTGTTAGTCGAACTAAAAATTAATTAATATTATAAAGATTATTTCTTCTTTTATAAATAGAAAATTTCATTTTAATAATCATTTGAAACCACCGGATGTTAGAGACGATAACGATAATAATTCCATGCGTGTAAAATATATTCTCAGTGAAAAATAATATATATATATACATAAAAGATAATTCACCTGTGAGTTCTGTCTCGTTCACGAGCATTTGCCTGATATCGTTGTTTGGCAGGAATTTCTCTGCTTTTTGATGTCATTATAATATAATAAATAATAATCCTTCTGGTAGTTTTTTTTTTGAAAGCACTTTAAATCCGTGAAAAGAATTTCAAATTGACAATGCGCGTTGATAGTGGCGGCATATATATATAAACTCAAGAAGACTGACGATTTATGAATGAGTCAGCCGGTCAACAGACTTGGGGTCTCGCCGGCGAGTTCTTTTCTACAATATCCCCACTTTTATTCATACAATTTCTATCCTACATTTCTGGAGCACCCCCTGAATGCGCCTTCTTTACACACGTGTTCACCGGATGTGTGATATATGCCCTCCAGATTACTGAACCGTATTTTCTGCAACGAAAAAAAAAAAATGAGAAAAAAAAACAGAGAAAAATATTATTTCATAAATCACAAAAATCAAAATATTTCATATTGACGGATTAATATTTCTTACGAGTCACATAAAGTACAATTGTTTTTTTAATTATATTCCATTTTTTTAAAAAAGAAAATTTCTTTTACGAAATTTTTTTTCTATTCCATACAAAGCAATAATTAATTTTAAGTTTTAATTATAGTTTACAAAAAATTAAATTTTGCAAATTTTTTCTTTTTTTAATATAAAAACTACAAATTACGAATTTTCAAAAAAGTAATTTTATTTATGACACTTATTTCTTTCAAAACTTTTTCACTTCTTTTTTCCACTTTTTAGAAAAAGTGTAAATTTTTTTTTTTTAATCAACATTAATGACTAATAAAAAAAACCTTGAAATATTTTTATTTATTTGAAAGTTTGAGAAACTTACCTCAAAATTGGTGGGGGAAAAAAATTAATCAAAAAGTATTTAAAAAAAGGAAAGAAAAAATATTTTTCTAAATTAAAAAAAAAATCTGTAGTTTTGAGAAATTTTTTTTTCTTTCCCTTTTTTTTTTTTTTTAATTTTGGAAAAAAATTTTACAGCCCTGAGTGCAAAAATTGTGCACGTGTGCGCGAGAACTCCCACATAACAAGTGAAGCCAGATGCAGAGTTTCGCATTACATCTAATAAAAACGAGTCAGCAGCACACATTCGAAGAGACAAAAAGCTCCATCTGCTTAACTAATTAAGGTTTCCTGGTTACTTCCGCTTCCAGGAAATTTCCACACTATTTTAAATTTTCTATTGTCGCAGTTTGTCCATTTTTCTCTTGGAAAATTCCACAAACACATTTTTTTCCTCTAAAACTCAAAAAAAAAGACATTTTTTTTAATCCAAAATTCTGCAAAAAAAATTTATAACAAAAAAATAACAAGAAAAAAAAATTTTTTAAGAAAATATTTTACAATATTCTTTAAATAAATCCGTATATGAATTTTGAAATAAATAAATAAAATGTTCTATAAGGAAATATTTTCCAGAAAAATTATTAATTAGAATTTTTATTTTAAATTATTTTTTAGATTAATTTTTTAATTTTCGAATTAAAATTTGACATATTTTCTTTTTATACGAATTTTTAATAACAAATTTTTTTAGCTAATGAATTTATTTTGTTTGGCAGAATTTTAATTTTTATCGAAATTTTGTCTTATTCGAATTTTTTAATTACAAAAATTCCAATTCACCGAATTTTAATTTGTCCGAATTTTTATTTGTATACGAATTTTTAATTGATAGAATTTTTAAGACGCTGAATTTCTCATTTGTCCGAAATTACAAATGCCCGAACAAACAATCGACAGAAAGATTTATGCGAAAATTTTTGAAAATTGATCTATAGAAATTATCAAAAAAAAAATCGTGATTGGTCAATTTTCAAAAATTCCACCGCAATCTTTCTGTCGATTTTTCATGACAAAAATGAAAATTCGGCGTTTTAAAAATTCTGAAAAATTTGAATTTCTCTCATTTAAAAATTCGAATCACATAAAATTCAATTGAAAAAAAAATTCTGCTAAATTAAAATTCCATCAAACAAAAATTCGATAGCTAAAAAATTTTGTTAATTAAAAATTCGTATAAAAAAAAATTCTCTTAAATGCCAATTCAAAAACTGAAAATTCGCCTCTAAAAAATAATTATTTCTATAAAAATTTTCAAAAATAAAAATTCTAATTAATGATTTTTTTATATGGAAAATTCATGTGCCCTGAGAAATTATCTTTTGGAAAATTCTGTAAAAAAAAATAAATTAGTGAAAAAAAAAAATGCTCAAAAAAAAGTTTTAAAAAAATACTCTCCAAATTTAACTAAAGTAATATTCACAAAGAAAAGGAATAAAACTAATTTTTAATTTAAAAAAAATATATATGCAGGATATTTGTTGGTCGCCGTATTAAAAGAAGAATAATTTTTTTTTTTTGTATGAAATGTTTACTGTGATAAGTTACATAGATTCAATTTCATAGCTTACAATTTACATGTTCCAATGGTCTTTTGAAGACAGAAGAAAAAAAAATCGAAGTTATTTTTATTAAGCGCTGAGCATGAGCTTCTAGCAAATGCTTTTTTTTTTGTTTTTAGAGATATACATATATATACCTATATATATATTCTAGAAAGTGATTTACATATTGGACAATAGGACCATGGAACATTGCGCATCTTTTAAATTAACGTTTTCGCATGAAAAAAAAAAAACGTTTATTTACTTTGGTCACTCTCTTTTACAGTTTACAATAATATCGACCAGCCACCTTTACTTCTATAGAAGATGCTCACATTTATAACTCTTGAGTCATGAATAGTCGACAAAGAAAATATACAAACGTGTTAATATATAATTGCATTTCCAATACTTCAAAAATTAACTTATTCGATACGAGTCATTAAGCTAAAAAAAAAAAAAAACAAAAAAAAACATTCTATTCTCATTAAAATCGAGTCGTCCATCTCCTTTACGACAAACTTTGCTCCATTTCCAAAATAAAAATTAAAAAAAAAAAAAAAAACAAAACAAGAGCCCCTTTTTCATTTTGTAAATAAAAATTTAAAAATATATTTTCATTTGCAAATCATTTGATTTAAAAAAAAAATTTTTTCCCTTTTTTTCACGATTTTGATTTAAAAAAATTTTTACATGATTTATTAAAATTTTCAATAAGTAAAATCTCTGTGAATTTAGTAAAATCTTTTATATTTTCGTTAATTTACAATAGGTACTGTTATTTTGTATAATAGTGGAACAAAAAACTTGTGTCAATATTTTTTTTAAGTCAAAATTTGTTTCATAAAATTTACGTTTTTCTATTCAAAGCAAAAAATAATAAAAAAAAAATACAAGATGCATAATTTTGCCAAAAATTTGAAGATTTATACAAGTTATTATTATAAAACATTTTTCTATGATTTTACAAATTTTTACGAATATAAAAAAAATATTCGAAAAATCGTTTGTTTAAATAAACTGTTTTTATATTTTTAACAAATTATAAAATTTTTAAAAAATGTAAATTATTAATCGAAAGCGGTGTTAATTGAAAAAAAAAAATCCAAGCACTAGAAAAATTGATTTTGGATATTAAAAAAGAAAAACAATTTGTAAAATCGCACACAAAAATATTTATAACAATAAATTGTATAAATCTTCAAATTTGGCAAAACTATTTAATATTTTTTATTTTCTTTATTGAATAGAAAAAAGTAAATGAAAAAAATGTCGACTTTTCAAAAAATATACAAATTTTGACTTAATAGTCAATGTACAAAGTCGTAAGGAAGCGATTAAATTAATTTATTAAAATCTTCAATATTCTATTTTTTTTTTTTTTTTTTTTTGATTCATTGAAATTGATTTTGTTTTCAAAATATATGTATATATGTATATATATTTCCAGTCAAATATAATTTGTATATAGATAAAAATTGTATAATGTACTTTAATATTGTTCAAATTGCTACATTTAATTTCTATATTAGTTAAAAATTAAATTCTCTTTACAGTATAAAATTTTCTAGTACATATTTTCTAATATGCTTTCATTTTTTCTAGATTAAAAAAAAAAAAAAAATCAAAAAACTATTATTTATTATATCATTTAATTTACTAATATTAATATCTCATCACTATTAATTTATTATCAATAATAATAATAAAAAATATCATTATTAAATTATTTATTAATTTTTCATTATATTAAGTATTAGTTATTAAATAAATAATTAATTATAACTAAATTAATTTAATTAATTAGGCAAAAAAAATTGAATCTTTAATTTACCTTATTAAATAAATTATTTAGTTAAATTAATTAATTGAATTGTCAATATTATTAATATTAATAAATATCACTATATATTTATATAAACGAATATAATTCAAAATATATATATATATATATATTGGTAAAAATCTAAGTACGTTCTAACTTTTGTGTTTTTGTCATAAAAATCAATTCAAAATATTTTAATGAGAAAATCATTAAAATTAATTAATAATTTCGAATTTCTATATAAAATGAAAATTCAAATTTGATTTTAATTTAATTTTCATTTTATATTTTGCATTAAAATGCATAGAAATAATCATTTAAAAACTATTGTCTAAATTCAGAAAGAATTTGAATACATTATTTTCTTTCAAATAAAAAGTATTTCAAAACAAAAATACTTAAATATTTATCGACTTCACAAATTATGAGGCTTGTTATTTTCATTTTATATATTAGATTAAAAATACATTTTTATTTGATCGGATTTTTAAAAAGAAATTTAATGTGTCGTCAATTAATTTAAAACAGCTGAAATAAATTTAGAAATCGCGATATATACAAAAAAAAAAGCATTTGGATTATTATTATTTTCATTTGAAAATTTTTAATTTTAATTAAATTAAAGTTTGCTATACTTTAACTAATTAATTTAATAATCCACAATTTTCGTGTCGTTTTGCATTTATAACAAAAATACCAAATAGGTAAATAAAATAACTATAAAAAAAAAGAAATCGAAAAATTATTTTAAAAGTAACAAAAAGCAGTAAAAAAAACGAATAAAAAAAAAAATTGTATTAAAAAAATTTCAAATCATAATTGTAAATTGATAAATTTGATTCAAAAATTAAAAAAAAAGGATTCAATTTTTAAAAATGAAAAAAATTAAATTAAAAATATAAAACAATTTTTAAAACAATATACATTAAATTAATAAATTTCAACTATCGATGATTTTCCATCTCTGTCAAATTGACTAAAAATTTCAAAAATCAATTATTTATCGACAGAAAAAAAAATAACAAAAGATTCAAAGCACAACAAATTTTTTTTTGAAAGAAATGAAGTTAATTTTCGTTTTGTTATATATTTCAGAAAAATAAATCCTCAATTTAGAAAAAATTTTTCTCCAAACTTTGTTTTTTAATATAAAAAAAGTTGTTAATAAAAAAAGTCTTTTTAAATCAAAGAAAATTTCATTGACCGTATATAACAAAAAACAAATTTTTTTCTTGAATAGCAAAAAAAAATTACATAATTACAAAAACACAAAAATTTCGAAAATAATTCATATGAAAAACCATTAAAAATCAATAGTTTTTCTTTATATAAATATAAATTATATTTAAATATATGTACAATTTTTCACCAAACTTTCGTTGTGAAAACAAAAAAAAAAAAACTTCTTTGTCGGAAAATGAGCAAAGTTTAGTCGTGGAGTTATGATTCCAGTTAAAAAGAAGTGAAACTGGAAATATAGAGAGAAAGAGAGAAAAAAATGTTATTTTAGTGAAATATTACAAATGTAAATATTTTAAAAATATTGTACAAACGTAAAATTTCTGTCCATGAAAAAAAAAACAAAAAAAAAAAAAAAACTATATAGACAATATCCTCTAATAATATGTGTGCTCACGACAAATTTTGAGTGAGGCATATTTCAAATTTTTTTTTTTCATTTTTTTTTCTTTTTCCTTGCGCGAAAATATTCCCAATAAATTTTTATCAAGTGAACACTTTGGTACTGACACCATATTGAAAATAATTATTTTATATATCAAAGAAATTAAATAATAATAATATAATTATTACAATAATAATAATAATATAAAATAAAAAAAATGAGAGTGGATTGAGCTCACGATTTTGTTAACTGCGATATCCATAGACTCGAAATTAATTTACAATTGCTATATATATATAATATATTTATATATATATATATATTTATATATCAAAGATTGCTTTTTTCAAGGACTTAGATCTACTGAGCTAACACTCCAAGATCTCACTTTTTGTATTTACACTAACATGTTACATGACATGACAATAATTCATCATGTCGTTTACACTTTGTTTTGTATTTTTTTTTGTTTTTGTTTGTTACGTACATAAACATTAAGAAAACATAAAAATAGTTTCTTAAATCGAAGGGAACTAAAGAACGCATGACGAGCGACTAAAATAATCTCTGTACGTTCATTTATATTTGTGTGTGTGTGTGTGATTGTTTTTTTAGTACAAGTTATTTTATAGAGCTCACAAATCATGCGTTTTTCCTTTTCTTTTTTTTTTATTATTTTGTTTTGTAAATTACTCGGCTAGCTGTCAAAGATAATTAGAATATAAGTTTTTTTTTTTAATTTTAATTTACGCTTTAAGGACGCGATCCACGTGCAGCTTCTTCCAGGGCACGAACTTTAAGGTCGCGCTCACGTTGTTGTCTAAAACATATTACTCGTTAGATTTTTCACTACAATTTTTTTTTTTATTGTAAAAAAACATCTTTGATTTTAGTTTTATTTTACAAAAAAAAAATCTCCTATTTTCTCCTCCCTATTCTTTCATTATGCGAAAAAAAATTTCGTTTTTATTTAATTAAAAATTAAACTCAATATTAAATTAAATATTAAATTAAAAAAGAAATTAAAAGAAAAATTATACATTTCAATACAAGTAAATTAAAAACGAATATTTAATATTCAATAATTGTGAAAATTTATTTTTATTAAAATTTTCAATATAATATATTTGAATCAAAATTTTCAATAAGGGCTCAAACCGTCGTTATTTTTACTCACTTTTCGAAATTAGAAAAATATTTGAATTTTCATTTCATTTATTTTACTCGGCTAATTTACTAATTATACTTTTATAATTATAATACTTTTACTTTTTTTTACTTTTATAATACTTTTACTAATTTTGTCTAAAAAAAATGTGGTAAAATGGAATTTTCATGTCGCGGGATTTTTTAAAAAATAAAAATAAAAAAAAAGATGTATCAAAATTACATTTGCCTATATGAATAACGTGCTGTGATTTTTAAAAGTTTAATTTACAATATTCACTCCAACTATGGCCAAAGTTTATAAAAAACGTTGTCTGAAAAAATAAAAAAAAAATAAACATATATTAACAATTTTTGCAAAAAAAAAAAAACAACAAAAAATTACAAATTCTCAAAATTTTTAATCTTTTATAGGTTACAATTTTTTTTAAAGATAAAAATAAATAAAGGAATCATTCCATTATAATTTACCCAAACTTGTTGCGGTTTATTTAAAAAAACAAAAAAAAAAAAAAAATTCTGTTACTTTTATGGAAATTATTTACTTTTTTCAGTAAATTTGAATTATTCTTTTTGAAAGGAGACAAAATAGGAGTTCAATTATTTTCGAGATTAAAAGAAGAAAAAAAAAAATGTGCTTCTATTTTGATTATTGATTAAACCTACCTTAGGTACTCTTCGTGATGGACAAAGACCGAGGCGTGTGGAGGAAGTCTATCTCTTTCTACCATAAGATGACGTTGAAGCTGTTCGTGATGGGCCGCCATATCCGCGTACGGTCTTCCAAGAAGTTCCGCTGGATGAAGACCCATCGTTGGATCACGTGGTATCATTCCAGGGCGTGGATAATTTGCTCCTGCGGCCGCTTCATGAAATAATTTACAAAAATATACAAATCCAAAATAAAATCGGAAAATCCAAAATACAAATCCGTCTAATAAAAAATTTAAATCCCAAAGAAAATATGTACAAAAAAAAAATTCATATGGAATTTAATATTTACTTTGAAATAATACGTATTTTAACCTCGAGACTTGTTAGCAACAATTTATTTTTAAATTACCTAAATCTTAAAATATTCAATAATTATTATTTGGCAATAAATTTTGACTCAAAAAAAAATTTTTTTTCTTTGAAAATGGCGTTTAAAAAACCAAAAATGAGTTTTTTCATTTTTTTACTGAGAAAAAAAATAGTAAATCCTTTCTAAATATTTTATTTTGTAAAAAAACCATTGAGTAGCACTATTATTAAAATAAAAAAATTAAATATTAAAAACAAAACATGCTTAAACATTGTTTTTTTTTTGAGAATTTATACCATTTACAATTTATCATAGTACCGTCACCAAAAAAAAAAGTAAAATAAAAATGCACAAACCAATTTTTTATCAGAGAAAAAAATCACTAATTTAATCTAAACCAAAGGAAAAAAAAGTATTCTTAAAAAATTACAATATATTATAAAAAAAAAAAATTGAAGGTAATTGAAATATTAGTCAATTTTGATAAAACTGAAATTCAGTTACATGCAAATTTTATAAATTTTGATCAAATAGAAAATTGTTCAAATAAAGTTTCGAAAATTTTTAAATTTAAAAATTTTCCAAAAGTAAATTTCATCAACTAAAATTTGTACAAATGAAAATTTGTAAAAGAAGAAAAATACAAAAAAATTCGATGTTTAATCAATATTGAGAATTCCGTTTCGCAACATTTTTTTTCTAATTATAGATTCTTTTTTAAATATTTTTTTTTTTAATATTTACTTTTTCCTAAAAATATTTTCTTTATTTAAATTTCCTAATTATTTTTTTCATAAATTATTTTTTTTGAATATATAAATTTTCCGAATGCAGTTAATTTTTTTACGACATTATTGATTTGCATTTGTTTTTTATTGCGCATTTCTTTTTTTTTTGATTAGTAAAAATTATAAATATACCAAATTAAAGTAAAAAAAAAAAATTAATCATGGATTCTGTCTCGAAAATTTTCGAGACTTTTACTTTTTACTTTTATTTATTATAGAATTTTGAACTTTGAATTACAAAAAATTTCTGTTCATAAACAAAATAAAAAATAATTTGTGCTTTGATTTCAAAAAATTGCTATAAAATATAAATAAATCATTTAAAAATTAGGAAAAATTAATAGATTTAGGAATTATTATTATTATTATTTTTTTTTTTTAGAAAAATTGCATTAGAAATGTATATTTTCGAAAATTCTAAAATTAGGAAAATGAAATTAGAAAAATCGAATCAAAAATAATTCGGTTACTGAATGTTATATTGACTTTCGTTTCGATTCAATCAAAATTACATTCAAGTAATTTTTTTTATTTTCAAATATCGAAACAAAACAAAATCGCTCTCTGATTCTCCGCATTTTTATTTATCCGAATTCTCATTTATCAGAATTTCTACAATTATTCTAAACTTTCATTTAGCCAATTGTTTATTAAAACAAAATTTTTAAGAATTTTTATTTAGTATAAAAATTGGAAAATTCTCTCCGAAATATATTAACAAAAATGCAATCAAACGGAATTTTAATCATACAATTTGGTCAACTATAAATTCGGACTTTCTATTTTTTGAATACCAAAAAAAAACTAGAAATTCGTCCACTTGAAATTTTGACTAAATAGAAAATTCTATATTATTTTAAAAATTCGCTGATTTTATCAAATGGGCAATTTTTATTTCTCCCAAATATAGAAATTCCAGTATAATTTTTTGGAATTTTCAATAATGGAAAAAAAAACATTTACATAAATTTCTTCATTTTTGTCGAAAAAATAATTTTCTTCGTTTTTTTTTCTTTTTCTTTTTTTGTTTTGTAAGAATAATTTCACTTTGAGCAGAATAAATTTCCTATTGTGTAAAAAAAAAAAATGAAAATAAATTGACATCACTGATCATTTTTCTGATGCGCCTCGACTCCTTACCAAGCAAACGATTTCCAGCTGCAGCCGCAGCTGCTTCTTGCTGTTGTTGCTCCTGATGAAGGTGCAAATGAGTATGCGCATGAAAGTGAGTACACTCAGCCGATGAGAGACCAGCCATCTGCAATCGGACCATCGGATCGGCAGCTAGAGCAAGCCACTCATTCCGCTGACATTGTTGATGATCCGCTGCCGAATGGCCAGCCCCTGATCCCGATCTAGGAATCGCTGGCCAACCGCCAGTTGCAGTTGTTATTCCTAAACCTGACAGTGTCAAACACCATCATCAAAAATATTGGCTCCTCCAAGTCTCCAATTATACATTTTTAACTAATTTTCATAATTTTTTTTTTTTTTTTTTAAATAATAAAATAATTTTGATAAATCTCTCAAAAATTCTCTATCGTTCCATCAAGAAATATCCGATCATTTACAAATTTTATTTTTAATTATTAGAAGAAAAACGAGTCGACTGCCTTCGTTAAAAAAAAAAAAATGTTTTTTTTTTAAATACAATAAATTAAAATGAAAAAAAATTATTTTTATTAAATATTTCACTTTTTCAAATTTTATAACAATTTTTTTTGTTTAATAAAATAATTTATTTTTTAATTAAATTAAAAATTGAAATTAACAAAAATATTGTCTTTTTAAAATTCTCGAATTGACGTTTTGAATGATTTGTAAAATCAATAGCAAATTTGTTTATTTTTACTTCCGTTTTATTTTTCTTTTACTAACAATTGGTAATTCAATTCTGCAGTCGAAAATACATTTTCCTAATTGAATCGCTGAATTTCGAAAAGGGCTCGTCTCTGAAAACCGTAAGAATTATTTTTAATATCAATTTTTATGCGAAAATCACACTTACGCTTTTTAAGCCTTTTTCGAAATTCACCGATTCTATAAATTTTTCTTGATGGCAACGTCGAATCACATTTTTTTTTCTTTTTCCTTTCAACAGGAATGAAAAATGGTTCAAAAATTCAGCTCAAAATTTATCGTTCCTTCTCCTTATTATCAAAAAAAAAATATCACTTTTTTGATCCAAAAACAAAAAAAAATTTAATAAAATAATTTCATTGTATTTATAATATTATTTATTTATAAAAAATTATAAATACAATCAAATTAATTAAAAAATTATAATATATATTATATTTATAATAAAATTTTATTTATCATATATTTTTTTATAATTGTATAATAAATAAATTGAAATAAATAATTTATTTTTGCAAATAATAAACTTTAAAACTTTTAAAAACTTTGTAATGAAAATGAATAATAAAATAAAAGAATAAAATTTAATTCAATATTTGTATTTCTTAGATTTACTTTTTTGAAATATTTTTTACAAGAAAATAAAATAAAAAAAAAAAAAATTCGACAATCAATAAAAGAAACTGAAACTAAAAGAAAGAACGAATGACAAATATTGAACGAGATAATTAAACATATTTCTAATTTCATATCTCTGTGGTCGATGATTTTTTTTTTTTATTAATTTGAAAAACTATTTGTTTCTCAATTTCAATTCTCAATTTTCAAAAAGAAAAAAACAAAAATTTACTCGATAATTCACAAAAATTCGAATTGGAATTGAAAAATTGGTTTTAAAACTCATTTTTATGAAAATACGTGAAAAATTTTTTTCAAGCTCATCAACATAAAACATTTAGTTATGTTAGTTAAATTTAAAAAAAAATATAAAATCGTTATATTAAAAAAAAATTACTGAAAAAACATTTTATTTTTATTATCATCATCAAATCACTAATTTGTAAAATCTTAATAATATTTTTTTAATAATAAACATTTAACTCAACATGACATTAATTTTGATAATTATAATATAATAAAAATAAATTGAACATTATATATTATTATTATTATTATTTATCGTTCACATCTCCGAGCATCAATAAAAAATAAAAATAGAGATATTCAATCAATATCAGTGGGCAGAGTGAATAAAAATAAATTTACTTATATATATATATTTTTTTAATATATATTAAAATACCCTAAGCTCTTGGAGGAAGCCACTATTTTTCTAATTTTAAAATATTTCTTTCAATCATCATTATTTTGTTCAACATTCATTTCTCTTTTCAAATATTTTTTACACATGGAAATTTTTTCTGCTCGAATGAAATTCTTCAAATATAAAAAAATGCCTATTATTATTTTTTTTTTTAATAATTAAAACATTGACAAGTTTTAATTACATTCAAATAATAAAAATATCGTTAATTTTTATTATATATTTTAACTACGATTTGCGTGACAAAATTTTTTATTTTTTTTGAAACGCCACCATTTTTTTTTCTTTTCTAAAGAATAGGTATATTATAAAAAAGTATTTCATACTTAATTATCAAATTTTTTTTCGAAACTTCCACAAATTTCGTGAGAAATCCAAAAAGGATTCAGAATCGATTTTTTATTTACAATTTTTAAATTTAAATTCATTTTTTCAATTTAAATTCAAAAAAAGAATAATTAAATATTATTATCAGATAGAGTAAATATAAATCAATGTACACCAAATGATGCCGATTATATTTTTCACTCTATTTATTCAATAAATGAAAATAGTTTTTTTTTTTTTTTTTTCGTTAATTCTAGAAAATTTTTTTCAATTTTGTCGATGAAGAAAATTATTAAATGGAACTAAATTAACAGAACGGATTTACTTAAGGTTATTGGTGCAGAAAAAAAATAATTCCGTTCTGTCTTTTTTTTTAATCACTTTATAAAATAGATTTGAAGATTTAAAAAAAAATCTTTTTAAAAATAAATTTTTATAGAAAAAAATTTTTTATGTCAACTTACGTTAAAAAAAATAATTATTTTTTCAAAAAAAAATTTTCCAATTTTTATAAAAATCTATTAACGCTTATTTTTATTAATGTAAAATTACATTTATTATTTCCTCACATTGGAGAGAAACAATTCAAAATTTGTCAATTTAAAACGAAGCTAAAGTAGACAAAATTTATGATAAACGATTTTTAAAGAAATTTAATATTTTTTTAAAATGAAAAATTCTTTAATTTTTTGCTTAAAAAATATTTTTTTATAATTTATTGTTTAATGAATACGACAAAAAAATATTTTTTAGGCAAAAAATTATAGAATTTTTCATTTTAAACAATTATTTCTTTAAAAATCGTTTATCATAAACGTTGCGTACTTCAGCTTCGTAAAAATAGAAAAAAATTTTTTTTATATTCTTTTTTAATTCTTGCTCTTTTATTTTTTTTCGAATTTTCATCCCTTGATATTCAATAATATTACGATTAAGTAATAAGAAAAAAAAATTAGCAATTAAAAAAAAAAATTATCAACTAAAAATTTTTTTTTTTTTTTTTTAATCTAATTCTTTCTCATAATGAGAATTAGAGATTAATACATATATATTGATCTAGTTTGGAACGAAAGGAAGGTATTATTTACACTATATATCATACCAACTATATATATATGTATATTAGTTTCTGTTTTAATCATTCTAGACAGTGAGGAACTTGCCAAGCATGCTTCTATTGTTTTCCCCACTATTTCCCATTACCAGGGAGATCGTTCTGCTGGATCTCTTGACATTTTGTATATAACAGACTTTAAACTATAGACATTTATAATATATGTAATATAATAAGAAGAAAAGCAATAAGGACTTTCTAGTTAAAAAAAAAAGAAAAAAAAAATGTTCTACACAAAACTTAACCGATATTTTATATTCAATCGACCTTTAAATATCCATTTTTCCTTCCCGCTTTTTTTTTCTTATATTTTTCCTAAATAATTTTTCTCTTTATTTCTTTCTTTTTTTAAAATTTTTCAAAAATGTTTTCGTTTAATATTTATATAAAAAAAAATACTTTTATTTTCTTTATATTTTTCTATTTCGAAACCGATAAAAAAAAATTATACGAGTATTTGACAAACAATCATTATTACAATAATCAATTACTCAATTTATTAATAATTAATTAACAAAGCAGAGTGAAATCTCGTGAAAAAAAAAATATTTCAATAGTTTAAAAATAATATTATGCAATTAAGTAAAATAAAAGAAAAGAAATAAGAGTTATTTTTGGTGATACATATAAATAAATAAATAATAAAAAAAAAAAAAAATACAGCCACTCACTAATTTTTATTCACGCTACCCAATAGTTTGATTGACAAGTATAAAGATCATTTAATGACTTTGAAAATATTTTGATAAAAGCATCACATGCAAATAAATAAATTTGTAATTTTTTTTTCTGTTTTTTTTTCTTTTTTAGAATTTCAAGTTCCACAGAGACAAAAAGAATTAAAAAAAAAATGTGTCTAGATAATTTAAGGAGATTTATGAAAATAGTGCGTTCGTGTGTAATATATAAATATAACTTTCATACTTTTCTCAACACCCATTATAATATACGTTTTGCAAAGTAAAATGTAAATTAGGAGATTAAACTACGAAAGAGAAAAAGTGTTTGACCTGATTTTTCAATTTTCACGAGAAGAAAGTTTAATTTGTCTTTCCAAGATTTATATTTTCACATTTAAATTGCAATAAAGAATTATACAAATTTATTATGAATAATTTTCTGCTTTCAATAATTTTTAATTTATAACACAAATTATAATTATTTAAAAAAAAAAAACTATGTAAAAAAAGTAGTTGTTTCTTTTTATAATAATTAAAATAATAATTTTTTTTCAAATCATTTCTTTTTAATAAAATAACAATTTTTTAAATAATATAATACTTATTTTTTTTTAATAATAAAATAATTACAATTTTTATGAATAATAAAAAAACAATGCATGTTTATCTCATAAAATTCTAATAACAATTTCCGTTTTTTATTTTGTTAGTAATGTAAAACAACACAGAGTGAGCAATTTAGAAAAACGATATTCATTTACGACAAGGTTAAACATTATATATGTTTTATTACATAATTACAAAGATTTATTCATTTGACCTTTAAAAAATTTTAAAGTAAGATTTAATCGTTTGACCGGAAAACATTTGTAACTTATGTAATATTTTGCAAATTATTTATTTTTGTAAATATTTATTAAAAAATTATTATTCTCAAAAATAATTAATATAATTATTGCCATTTAATAAAAGTAATAATAATAATAATAATAATTTGTATTATTCATTAATTAGTTATAAATTGCAGAAAATATTCTAAAAATAAAAAAATATTCAATACATAAGAAAAATTAGGTGCCACTTTTCAAATACTTTAGGTGAAAATTTCTACTCCGGACAATCAAAAAAAAAAAAAAATTCCATTTTTCTACTATTTTTTTTTTTTTATCTAAATTAAAAAAAATATTTAATGCATGTTAAATATTTTGTTTTATTTAATTTAGAAGAAAAATTAAAATAGATTTGAGAATCTATTTTTTGAAAGTAATTTTTAATTTTTTGATTATCCAATTTTTACAACACACACTAAAACAGAGTTACTCTAAATATTACAAATAGTCGATTCGAAAAATTCAAAATTTTTTATGTGTTTTTTTTTTGGAAATTTCAAAAAGACTATTCGATCCAACATGCGAAAAAAAAAATCTCCCTTAAGAAAATGCGCACCCCAATTTCCAGCTCAGTGAAACAATTGCCACATAATTTAATTATTTTCAAATTGTGCGTTTGCTAAATAATTGATTTTTTTCACAAGTTTATAAAATTTTTCAATAAATTTAAATTTTTCCTCGTGTCAATTTTTTATTTTAATATCAAAAAAAAAAAAATAATAATAATAATAATAAATTCATATGCAATAATAAAATAAATAATTTATCCCCATTTCACCGAATTTATATATTATATTTATTGAATTTTCAAGTTACTTAATTCTTTCTAAACCAAATTTTCATTTTTTCAAATTTATATTTAATGAAATTTCTACATAATCGAATTTTTCCTTGGCTGAATTTTAAGATTTTATAGTTGATCAAATTTCCCTTTTCCCTAATGGAATTTTTAACCAAATTTTTCTTCCACTAATTTTTATATAACCAAATTTTTATTTAGCAAAAATATTATAACTAATCGAAAATTCATTTAGCAGAAGAATTTGGCGTGAATTTTTTTAATTAACCAACAAAAATTTACAAATTATTATTGTCCGGATGTGAGTTCATTTGAATAAAAATTTTCTGAAATAAAAAAAAAAGAGTTTAAATAAAAATTAGGCCAAATGAAAAGTAGTTCTAATAAAAATTTGATTAATCGAATATTTGACCAATTTGGTGAAATGAAAATTCGGACAAAAGAAAAATATGAATAAATGGAAATTGTGTTTAATAAATTTTTAGTCAATTGAAAATTTAATCATAATGTAAAAGAAATGAATTAACAATTCAATTAAATACAAATTCGATAATATGGCAATTTTGTCAATTAAAAATTAGAACGTATAAAAATTGGGTCAATTGAATAGTAGATTAAATCAATATACGGTTAAGTAGAAATTTGAACAAGTGGAAATTAGATTTAATAGCAATTCGGTAAAATGAAAATTTCGCCAATCACAAAATTTGATTAAATACGAAAATTGATGAATTAAAAATTCGGTTCAATAAAAATTCAGACAAATAATAGTTCGTTTAAATAAAAATTAGAGGTTTATTTAATATCTTATGAAATGGAAATGTAGTTAAATAAAAATTCGCTCAAATGAAAATTTTTTCACTTGAAAATATGAAAAAGTGGAAAATTAGTATTTCTACAAATTTTTTCTTGCCAATTTTTCTAACAGAATTTAAAGTGATTCGAATTTTTAAATGATAGAATTATTAAAATGAAAAAAATTTTCGTTTGACCGAAATTGGAAATAACCGACAAACAATAGACAGAAAAATTTAGTCAAGAATTTAAAAATGAAGCAATCACAATTTTCTTGATAATTTCTAATTACTTGATTTTAAAATTCAATCCAAAATCTTTCTATAAATTATTGTTTTTCGGTCATTTACAATTTTGGACTAAGGGAAATTTGGCGTTTTAAAAATTCTATCAAATAGCAATTTGTGCAAATAAATATTCGATGAATTAAAAATTTAGGCATTTAAAAAATTTATTTAACATAAATTTAAGATACCGTATTTTTATTTGACATAATTTTTGTTTTATCGAATTTCTTTTTATCCACCTTTTGTTCAAAAGAATTATAATTTAACCAAATTTTAATTTAACAGAATTCTTATTCAACAGAATTTTCGTTATTCGAATTATTTAATGTCCGAATTTTTAATTTATCGAATCTCCACTTTTTTGGAATTTTTATTTATACGAATTGTTATTTGATAGAATTCTAAAAACAACCAATTTTGCATTTGACAGAAATTGCAAATGACCGAATAAACAACCGTCAGAAAGATATCGGCAAAATTTTTAAAATAAACCAATCAGAAATTATTGAGAAAATTGTAATTAGTCTATTCTTTAAAAAATGTGCCGAAATCTTTCTGACTTTTGTTTGTTCAGCCATTTGTAATTTTTGTCAAATGAAAATTTACTATTTTAGTAATTCTATCAAATAATAATTCGTATAAATAAAAATTCGGACACATGAAGATATAGATAAATTAAAAATTCTGACATTAAACAATTCAAATCACTAAAATTCTATTGAATGGAAATTTTGATAAATTAAAATTGGTTTAAATTATAATTCTTTTAAATTTAAAGTTGAATAAAAAAAAAATTTGGTAAAATAAAAATTCGGTATCTAAAAATTATGTTAAATAAAATTTCGTTTACAAAGAAAGTAATTCAAATGCTAATTTGAAAAATGAAAATTCGTCTAAAAAGAAATTCTATCAAATGAAATTCATACAAATATTAACCCTAAAGTTGCATCCCTTAAAAAATTCCTGTTGAAACTTGTTCAGAGTTCTTCACTGACCATTCTCAATAAATATAAGCAAAATCCTCCGAGCGCTTTTTTTTAAATTCCACTTCTTGTGTTTTTTTTTAACTCAAAATTTAAGAAAATTGGTTTTGATGATTACATTACTTGGTTTTAAATGGTCCAATTTTGTTCAAAAAATATAAAAATGTCTGATTTTAATCGGAAATTAGTTTAGAGTTCCATGGAAAATTTCCAATAAGAAACATTTATCTTTTTTTTACAATAATTTTAACTCACAGGGTGTCTAACAACTGCTGGGAAAAAAATTGCCTGACTTTTCCCTGACCAAAATTACACTAAAAAATTTTTATTTTGATCAAAAAAAATTTATTTTGATACAATTACAGGGTGTCTAACAAGGATTGAGAAAAAAATTCCCTGACTTTTCCCTGACCGTTAGACAACCTGAATTAAATCATTTACCTGTCTATTATCTACTAATTTCTTATGTATTTGAACCAAATAAATAATGTTTAATATAAAAAATAAAATATTTAAGTGAAATAAATAAACTAATTGGAGACATATAAATATTCTCAAAATATAATTCAAAAGAATTTTTATGGCGTCAAATTATAAATTATCAAATTTTTATTTAGTAAAATTATATAAAGCAGATTTTCTAGTACATCGAATTTCAAATTAATACAATTTCAATTTATGGGAATTTATGTCATGAAAAATTGCATAAAGAACAATTTTTATTGACAAAATTGTTATTTTAGTAAATTTCGATTTATCAAAATTCTGCTAAATAGAAATTCTTTTAAATCGAATTTTAGTTAAATGTAAATTGAAAATTTTGCATAATATAAAATTCAATTTATACAATTTTTCTAAATAGAAATTCGATAATTTAATATTCGACGCCGTTAAAATTTTTATAAGTTAAATGTGGATATTAGCAATTAAATAATAAAATTTATTCGTATTAATGAATAATTTACTTTATTTGAAGTTGAACCGATAAAATAAAATTGTATCAAATAATTTTTATTTTTATTAAAAAACCAAATATTTCACTGAAAAAAATTAATTAATTGTTATCCAAGTTTAAAAAATCATTTATTAGATTCAATAAATATAGTAGTAAATAATTATTTACTTAATTAATATAAGATATATAACATGGTTAATAATTGAGTGTGAAGGCCAACTTTTTAATTTGCATTTTCTTTGGGAAAAAAGTAAAAAAAATTTTAAACTAACAGTTACTTTAATTTATTCATAAAAAATTCCAGAAAATTAAAGAAATTCCCTGACTTTTTCCTGACCGTTATAGACACCCTGTCACTTCTTGTGATTTTTTTTTACTCAAAATTGAAGAAAATTGATTTTGAGCAATTCCATGGGATGTGATCACAAGAATTTTTGATGATTGGAGCAATTTTATTGAAACCTTGTGAATATGTTCCTTTGTATGTACAGAATGAAAGCCCACAAACACTTTTTCAAAATTTTTTGAGATATTTCTAATTCAAAATTTATGTCATTTTTTTTAAAAAAAACCATGTAACTTTTTTTCTTGTTATCCAAATGAGATCAATTTTTTTTTAAATTTTTCACAAAAAGATGCTAATTTAAGAAAAAAATAGTTCATGAAAAAAATTTTTTTGCCCAGAAAAAAGTCAAAAAAAAAAAAAAATTTTGAATTCATTGAGAAATTAATCTTTAACGTCCGAGATCTTTTATTAAATAGGGTAAATAAAACGAAAATATTCGGACAAAGAATAAAAAATTTTTTAATTTACTCCAACGTTTCGAAATTGAAATGATTTATTTTTTATTTGTATTGTATTTTATTTGGTTTTGTATATTTTTTTTATAGACTCCCTGAAGAGGAAATCATTTCGATTTCGAAACGTTGGAGTAAATTTTGAATTCATGTTTTGAAAAAACTATCTCTTCGATTTCAAAAAATTTTTAAATTCACCTTTCAATATTTACCTTAATTCAACATCGAGGTCATAAACATTTTTATAAATTTTCCCCAAAAAAACCCTGTTTAACTGAGAATTTTAATTTGATCAAAAATAATTTCATATCACTGAGCTGAAAACACAATCCAAACTCTTTGAAAGAAAAAGAAAACCCCAAAAAAAAAAAATAGAAAGGAAAATTTCATCCCAAGATGATGAATTAAATTACCTAATCGTTCCAATCGTTCCCTCTCGAGTTGTCCCGGTGGCGCTCCATACAATCCAAATTGATGAAGTCCCTGCGGTGGTCCCGAGGGTCCAGGCGCTAAACCAGCCGCAGCATATCTCCTATGTATCTCCAACCAATGTGGATCAACAGGCGCTGGCATTGGTCTCGGTGTACCCTTCAACAATTCCTCCTTTAATCTATCATTCAATTCACGTTCACGCAATTCCCTGAGTTCACGTTCCCTCTTCTCCCTTTCAAGATGCTCCAATTCAAGCCGTTCCCTTGCACCCGGTCCATACATATAATGAATCATTGGATCGGGTGGCGCCGGATGACGTGCAGGTGAAAATGCCGCATGTGGCCTTGCATATTCCGATAATTGTCTCAATGCAGGCGTATCGGCATAGCTACCAGGTCGCGTTGCATAACGATCATAAGGCGAAACAACCGGTTCCATTGGTCCTCGACTTGGTGGTTTACATATTTCCGGTTGTTTCTCAGGCGTTGACATTTTTCTTTGTTGCGCCGCAACACGATCACGTTCCTCACGCTCTCTTTCGGCTTGTTTTCTCGATCTCTCATCACGTTTACGCGCAAGTTTCGAGTCAGGTACTGGTTTAAACATTAAATCCGTTCTTGTACATGAATTATCATCGCCACGATACCAATGCCTCAGGAATATCGCTGATTGTGAACGATGACATTCGGAATCGTCGATACGTGGCTCGGGACTTGGACCACGATTTGGACTAGGCGATTCCTCTGGTTCGTGTTCAATTTCGGGTTCTAGTTTTGGTTCAGGTTGATGGGGTCGATGATGATGGGAATGATGATGCTGTGGTATGGATTGTTGTTGTTGCTGCTGCTGTTGTTGTTGCTGTTGTTGTTGTTGTTGCTGCTGCTGTTGTTGGGGTTGTGGTACTTGTTGGGCGGAACTTGATATTAAACAGGAAGCGGAAACCAAAGACGAGGGTTTACGTTGAGTGTTGTGTGAAGAATGGGAGGAAATTGCTAGGAGTTTATCGTGATGTAGATTCGATTGATGAAGAGGCGCGTGATGGTGGATCATGTTTTCTTCTTCGCGATTTTGAACAACGTTGGGTGTTGAGTGATGGGCGGCCATTAGATTGGGATTCTCTTGGGTTCGTTGGGGTGAGGGCGGTGGAATTGCGTGGGGAACGGGACCGTAGGGATAGGGTGGGAAAGAGGGATAGCCACTCACTGGAGGATAGCCGGGATAGTGGGGATGATAGGGATGCATTGCGGCGAATAAAGATGGATGCATTAGGGGATGATGGGGATGGAATGGATGAGCCATGTGGGGACTTGGCTGTTGGGATGGATGCATAACAGGTTGGGCCAACGATGTTGGAGGTGGTGGCGCCAGGGTTGGTGAGGCGGCAACCGATTGCATTTGTGGCACTTGGGGATTTGTCGAGTGTATGTGTTTACTTGGCGTTGAGGGTTTACTCGTACTGTCGGGATCCTTTTTGATATTGTCGATACTGGGTCCGGGGAAACTTGTTTGGAATCCAGGTACTTTCACCTCCTTGAGACTTTGCAGTGGATCGGGTTCGGGTGGGATTATCTCTTGTTTCACGAGATTTTGCGGCTCCATTGGCGGTGTACTGGCGAGATTGTAGATTTTTTCCGGCGCCATTAGAGGTGGTGGTTGTATTGGTTGAAAGAGATTTGGTGGTTCTGGTCTCTCGGGTGGTTCATTGTTTTCGGGTTGAGGTGGTAGTGGTAGACGATCGCGTATGCGGTCTTGATTACGGTCGTTTTCGCGAATTCTGTCTGGAATTCGATCTAGACGATCGGTTAGACGATCTTCGGAAATTCGTGAGTCTATTCTGTTTTCGGGTGGCATCACTGTGAGACCGAGGGGTTGTGGTGAGCCGGGCATCATTTGCATTTGGTTCATTGTTGCCGTTGTTGTCATGTTTTGCGGTATGTTGAGATTTAGAGGAGGTGGTTGTTGCGGTGGTGGTTGTTGTTGTTGTTGTTGTTGTTGCAGTGGCGGTCCTCCGGATGTTTGTGCGTTGGATATTTCGGTGTGTTGTAAAGAAAGGTTTTGTGCTGGTCCCATATTTTGTGCGGTTGTCATATTTTGCGGTAAACTCGGTGGTATTTGAATGTTCTGCGAGAGATTTTGAGGCACATTTTGACTGACTGGAGGCAGACTGCTGGCGTATTGCATACTGAGGGGTAGTGTTTGTTGGCTGGAAGGTGGAACAACGGAAGACGGACATAATTGAGGTCCGATTGATTGGGACAAATTGCGAGGTACATTTTGACTAATGTCGGGAATATTTAGAGGCGGTAGCGTTGGTGCTGTGAGATTGACTTGTTGTTGTTGTTGTTGCTGTTGTTCGGGTTCCTTTGATTCCTCGGGTGGCGTGACAGCGGGTTCAATTGACAAAGGTTCGATTTTCATCGGTTGAGTCATCTGTAATGGCACTTGTTCAATTTGTTCTTTCATTTCGGGTGATACGTCCTCGACTGGGGGCTTTTTGTCGAGGGTGTGTATAACAGGAACTGATATTGGTAAAGTTTGAATTGGCGCCGGAATTGGCGTTGGTACACGTATTTCTTCGGGCGTTGTTGTGGTTGTCGTCGTCGTCGTCGTTGCTGGACTCACAGGTTCCTCAATTGGCGCTGGCGGTGCGACTGGAGGCTGTTCCGTCGAATCTCCCTCTGCTTCTCTCTCGGGCTCATCCATAAGAGAATTACTGTCAGTTGTGAGTGATTCCGAGGGACTGTCAGGTCGCTCACCGCGTTTTCGTTTCTGAGGATCCTTTTCCTCTTCGACTTCCTCGACAGCCACTCTTTTTTGGCCCTTTTTCGGCGTTTCTGGCTTATTGGAATTCTTTTTATTTTTCGTTTTCTCACTACTTGGTTGCTGCTGCTGCTGCTGTTGTGACTGTTGTTTTTCTTGATCAGGTGTATCGGTACCACCAGTTCGTCTAGGTCTAGCCGGTCTCGGGATTTCCTTGGCCTTATTTCTCGTTCGCATTCTACCAGGACTGTCGGGTGACTCAGCTGGCACTGGGCGGAAGAGATAAGGCGGCGCAGGTGGTAATTCCCCTGACTTTTTCAAGTGTCCTCTGCATTCTGCGCAAAGTAACAGCCTATCCTTACCGGTTACTTGATAATCTTTTGAATTCGTTGAGAAACAATGTTGACACGAGTGATTTACACCATTTGTATTAGTATCCCTTGAGTCGCTGTCCTCTTCCGAATTGTCATCTTCAGTCACTGAACTGACTTCACCACCGGGATTGCCATTATTGTTGGCAATTGCCGGAGTGCCGGCGGGAGCACTTTCCGGCTCCGAAGCTTGCTCCTTGACGTTCGTCGTACTTGGAGGCACGTCTTTTGGTGGAACAGGAGCCTCCTCCTTCGGTGTACCGGCCCTTGAATTCCTCGTGTTGCGTATTCTGCGCAGAGAACCTTGAGCTCTGCGTCTTCGATGCGGTCGATTATTGTTCGCCCCTGGCGTCTTCTTCCACAAATAATAGAATTCCACGAGCTCTGGCTGCAATTCAAAAAAAAGAAAACAAATGTTATTCAAACCAAAATTTATAAATCACATTCTTCAAATGGCCATAAGCTTTTTAAATTTGTCTCAAACTTTTTTAATTGTTAATAAAGGGCTTTCAAGTTTTCAAATATTGTTCTATCGAAAAATTGAATGAAAAAAAAAAAATTACCGTATCTTTGTGTGGTAAAAGATCTTTCTTAATGCGAGAGAAATTTTTCCCAAATTGTCGAAGACCTTTGACGAATCGTTTCTGAAAAAAGGAATAATTTTTCATTATCATTTTTTTTTTCGAATACTTGAAAAATACTTGTTGAAATTTTGCTGAAAAGCAAAAAAAAAACATACCGTTTCTTCTTCAGACCATTTTTTATCGATGCCTTTTGGTACAGGACACTTGACGAGGGCTTGTAATGCTCTTGTTGGGTCATAGCCAGAATCGTGAAGGATATCAAAGGCATTGATGGTTGTATCGTCACGGGAAGCTGCCACACAACCATCATCAGTCGATCCTCCATCACACATACCAGCGAACGCGGCAATTGAACGAGCCGCACTCAGGTACATGAGAAGATCGAGATCCAATGCCATTGCTGGGACCCATCTTAGCTCTTCGCGTTCCTTGGAAAACTCAGGATCAGGAAGCAGCTCACCAGAAGGAATACCCGGCCGATACTCAGGCAATCGGGCCTGACAAGAAACCAATTCCTGTACCCAAAATTCGGGATTTTGTGCGGTTAGCACCATTGCCAAAGCAAGTTAGTTTACGCACCTACACTCCGGCTTGTTGTTTACTCTAATTTCCTATTATTCTACATCTGAGTTTTTTTAGGTCTTTTACTGTTTGTAAAAATTAGATTTACCAACGCGAAATTTTCTTCTTTTTTTTTAAATAAGTAGACAAGTATTTTTAATTATCAATTGGCATCAAAATTGAATGTTTTCAATTCAAAAATTAAGTTAATTAAAAAATAGTTAATTGTAATTATTATTAATATAATGATTTTGGTAATAAGAATATTTTTTTTTAATATTTCAGTTAATTATCTAATAATTTAAAATTTAAATCGAAAAAAAGAATTATATAAAATTTTCAAACAAGATTCTTTTGAAAAATTGATTATTAAATCATTTAAAGATAATAAATAATAAAAATAAAACAATAAATTGATAAATTTTCCAACTTTGTAAAATATTGACATATTCTTTTAATAATTTATAAAGCTGTAAATTGATAAATTTTTTTAAATGATTCACAAGCCAATGAATATGATTAATTAAATTTCTCAGAGATAAAATATTTTATATATATATATATATACTTATTGTTTATATTAGATAATTTACTTTATTTAAAAAAAAAAATTCTTAAAAATTAATCATTCAATATGATTAGCCATTGAATAATCTCTTTTCATGTATAAAATTGAAAATTAATTAATTTAAATTAAATTTTATTGATTAATATTTCAAAGACCTAAAATATTTTATTGTATAATTATTGTATTTCTTATTTTGTTAATCACTATAATTATTATTTTTTTTTTTTTACTATTTATATAATTAATATTTATTTCACATTTAAATGATTTAAAGTTATTTACAATTATTTACAATTAGATAATTAATTGTTATTTACATTAACATGATTTATATAGTTATTTTTATATATTAATTAGCAATTTCTTAATTATGTAGAATAATTAAAATTTATTTCTTCTTTCTACTGTCAATTAAATTCAATTATATAATATATTTCACCGTGACTGAAAACCACCATTTACTAATAATAATAATAATAATAATAATAATAATAATAAATTCCATTGTATTTACGAAATTTTATTTAAATAAAAAAAATCCAATTTCTTCTTTTCGTAAATACAATGGCATTACAAAGAAAATTCATTAACACTAAGGCAACAATTCACTATAACTAAAAGTATTTCTAATAAATATAAGAACAGTGTATCTATTTTTTTTTTTAAATTAAAATTGCAAAACTTATTACTACCAATAAATTATAAAAAAAATTGCCAAATATCAAACAATAGAAATCTTATTTATAATATAAAATAATTGGAATTAAGTAATAATTTAATTAAGATAAATTTAATATAATAAACGATCGTTTACAATTGTCGCATTTGAAATTAATTTTGCAATAATCAACATTTTTAATTATATTAAAATAAAGTATGAAAATAATATACGGTAATAAATAATATAAAAATAAAATAAATTATTTTTAAAAGTTTTTTCTGATAATTCGTGTTACAAATTTTTTTTTATTTCTATTGTTTGATATAATAAATAAAAAATTTTTTCCCACTTATAGAATTCTTGAAAAAAATTAAGTTACAAATTTTTTTTAAATATTTTCCAACAATTTATAATTTTTTTTTTTTTTGTTATAATTAATAATTATCTGAATTATTGAAATAAAATCAAGAATTCCAGAAATGGGAATAATTTAAAAATTGGGAAATATAAAAATAATTATACATATATATATATTTAGATCATAATAAAAAGTTGAATTTAATTTAATTTTTTTTTTTTTTTTTATGATGATGAAGAATTGATAGGAAAATATATATAAAATAAAAATAAGTACAAAAAACAAGCCTTGAGTTAGGTACGTTGTGCGGCGATATAGCTAAAGTGGCAAAAGAGTTTTTGTCAAGGAATAATGGCAAACCTGGTGCGATGGACCAACCCGAATCTCTCCCTGGGTGCCGGCGGACATCTCCCCCTCCTCCAAAGCTCCGCCGTCTTTCTCCAGTGTTTCGACTGGCTTCACTCTTCCCTTTTAGGTAAATTTCTATCATCCACCCCCTGAACCGTACATATGTAGTCTAATCAGTTTTTTTTGTTTCATCATAATTGACTTTTAAAAGATTCAATTACAGTTTTACATGCTCTTATATATTTTCGAATAACTGGATAATCAGTTAATTCGTCATCAAAAAAATTATTGTTATTAACAGAAACTATATAGCATTTCAAGGTGTCTAGTTATATTGAATTTTTTTTTTTTTTTTTTTTTAAATTCTATTTATAAATTTTATTAATTTATTAATGTAATATTTTTATTTACATTTTTAAAAAAATTATTTATAAAAATATTTATCTTTATAAACATTTTTTTTTAATTTGATAAAATAAAATAGTTTTTTATTTTTTCAAAATGAAAATATTTTAAATTTCTTTATGTTTGTAATTTATAATTATTATTTTTTAACAATAGAATTTTTTTTTTCATTTTCTTTTTTAATATTGATAAATTTATTATTTTAAATTGAATATCTAATTTTTAAATTTTTTTCCCCCTATTTTTTTTATTTAGAAAATAATTTTCTATGAAAATGACAAAAAAAAAATTTTTTCTAGAAAAAAATCTAGACACCCTGATTCTGTTACATATATATATAACTATAAAGCCAAATCTGACAATTTCAGAAGATAACAGATGCAGACAAGTTTGCATGCAAATTTTGCATGATTTTTTTTTATTCTCAATAATAAAAATTTTTAGTTAAAAAGAGAATTTGTTGTATAAGTAAAAAAAAAAAAAAAATATTATTTAATTTTTAAAATAAAATTTATTTACCTTCTATTGTAATGATATTTAATGACAATTTTTAATAGTCAATTACTTTAATAATGAAACTTAGTCTAGAAAAATATTTTGTTTAACGATAATAATTTTAATAATAAAAAAAAATAAAAATTTTTGTAATTAAAATTTTTCAAAGATGGAAAAAAAAATATTTTTTAAATTTCATTATTTAAATAAATTATAAATATAAGTATTGCGAGCAAATAAATAAAAAAAGAATAAAAAAAAAAATGTAAATATGCACACGCAATAATCGTTACTTAGTATATATCAACTTTAGTTATCTTTACGTAAATTGAAAAACAATGTTATCATATAGCTCATAATTATAGTAACTATTTCGTTTCTTTTAATATTTATCTATAAATTCTCTTTAAAACTAAATTATTCGAAATAAAAGAAAAGTCATAAAATTTTAATTTTTTAATTACACCTTAAACTTCTCTTCTCATATTACAAATTACTTTTTAATTGAACGTCACACATTTTTTTTTTTTTTTTTTTTTTGAAAGTCAGTATCCATAAAATGAAAGAATTACCTTTAATAATTTAATATAAAAAAATAATTTGAAATATTTTTTAAAAATAAAATTGAAAAATTTATTTCCATTTTTTATTCAAGAGAATTAATATTCTTTTTATTTTTGTGAAAAATTTTTATTTGTCAAAAATTTCAATTATACAAGTATTTCAAGAAATAATAAATAAAAAATTATATTTATTGCTCAACAATCAAATCTACTAAGCTTCAATAAATTGAACAACAAATATAATACCTCTAAATTTTTATAATCTAATAAACATAAATTTTTTTTTTTTTTTTACCTCGAGAAATTGTAAATGCATAAAAAAAAATGAAAGTAAAATTAAAATTCTGGCTTTCACCAAAGCTAAAATAAAAATACTTTTTCGAAATAAAAAATACTACCTATATTTACCAATACAAATATACTTTATAAAAAAAAAAAACTTTCATCTGTTTGTCAAATTGTAAAACTTTTGTTTCGATTAAAATTCAATTAACGAATATAAATTTCATTTTTTTTTTCTAAAATATCAATTATTACAGACTTATTTTTTAAGTGCAGCAAAGATTGATGAAACAACGATGAATACTTGCTACAAAATAATTTAAAAAAAAAAAAAAAAAACTCCAGAAACGTCATTTTAGCAAAGCTTTTAAAACAACAAACCAACTATATAGAAAAAAAAAATTAAAAAAAAATTTCTTTAAAAAAAAAAAAAACTCGAAGTTTGCCATTTAGATTCATATTTATCACATTGTATATAAGGACAATTAATAAAATCCAGTCTTCATAGCAATATTTTGTCTCTAATTGCCACTCGTATTCGATGCTTGCTTTTTCTACAAGGAAAGTTACATAACCAACAAGTAAAAATTATCTATTATTGCCTAGGAAACAAAATGAAAAAAGGATCAAAAAAGTAAAAAAAAAATATTTTTGATCAAGTGGTCTTTAGTCACGGCGAAAGTTTCTAAAATAATTGTGTGTGCGTGTGTGTATATTTTATTATTTTTTTTTTTTTCAATGGTATATATTTGCCTTGAAAGCAAAGCTTCGAGAGACGTCGCAACTTGTGACAATCGGGATGACCGAAAAAAAATCTCGTCTTTTCAAAAAGTCGTAAATAATTCACTAACACAAGCGAGAATGCAATATAACCATTTAACCAATAAGGTGCCTCGTGCACCATGACAATAAATAACGCTTCACTGAAAGGGGGGCCCCAGTCAAAACCCAATAAAAAAAAAAAAAAATACAGCGAGCAATTAAAAAACCCGAACCATCTGCGAGTAATATACAATTTTAATAAAGAATTTTTCACATTTTTCCCCAGACACCTGATTGTCGCAAATGCGATTGCAAAAGCGTGCATAACGTATATATATATATATAAAATAAAAAAAAAAAAAACGGAAACTTATTCACTCACCCAGAAGTCACAAGTGTGCCTCAGTCTTGAGATGTTCGCATTTTGTTTGGAAACCGATCAGTCCGGTCGCCATTCAATTCATTCACCTTGATTTTTGCACAACACTGACTTGTGAATAATGAAACTAGTTAGGTCGACGACGACCTAATTACGGTTGAGAATTGTAGAAAATATATATCCTTGTAAATAACGTCAACCACAACACCCGAGGGAAGCCATCTTGTACTGCGATTGACTGCGATGACTGCGATTTGTTTCGCTTTTCTTCTCGTGGGGGTGTGTTCCGATTCCGTTTCGTTCCTATTGACATTCAACGTGTCTGTGTGTGGTAACTTTAATCCCTTTTACTGTGTGCGTGTAAACATATGTATGACGTGCATTCTCTTCACTGATTCACCAGATTCACCGCACCAACACAAACAAAACATTACGCTTCAAACGTCAGGAGCGTAACAATTGAATAAGGATCCAAAAAGGATTCAATGTCCTTTAATGACAATTTTTATTTCATTTTCTTTAAATTCAATAATTTTATCATTTATTTTTAAAAATATTCTTACATTTTTTTTTTAATTTTTTTTTTTCCTTTTTAGGTTATATATATTTCTTTTTTTTTAAATACACGCCTGATTGGTAAATGAAAGCTACTCACTGGAGAGATGAGTAATTGAATTACTGAGAATTCATTTATTTTTGGGGACTTCTTCTTCTTCTAATCGATGGGTTTTTAGAAAAAAAAAATCGATTTTTTTCCTAAATGGATTTTCTTCACGGCGGGGAAAAATGATTTATTTATTATTTGTAATATTTCAAATAAAATTTAAAAGAAAAAGAAAATTTTTTAAATTGTAAACAAATCTTTGTTTCTCTGTTTTCTGAAAGTTGATTTTTTTTAAATAATAAAAAATAAAATATTTTATATATTCAGGAGTTTTGCATAAATTTAAAGAAAATGTCAGGTACGCAACAAGTTGAAATGATGCCCTATACTTAATAAAAAAAATTAATGGAAAAAATAAATTGAATAAGAAATAAAAGTTTTAATTTATTATGATTATTAATTTTCTTAATTTAATGTAACTTGAATGGAAAGAATAAAATTTGTCTAGGAAATAATTAACAAAATAAAATAACAGGGCTACTGGTTGTTGATGATACGGCATAGGTATTGTGTGTTTATCAACTTGATAATTAGCTCATGGGATTGCATCTTTTTGCAAAAATTGCAAACGTTTATTTTAAACCAATTAATTCGATTTTTGTTGCAAATTATTGTGTTAAAATGTCAAAAACGGCGATTTTACTTTTAGCTGAAGGAGCCGAAGAAATGGAAGCTGTAATAACGGCAGATGTTTTACGTCGTGCCGGGGTAAGAAAAGGTTATGTTATCGATATAGTGTTGCAATTTATTTAATAAATAAATATTTATTTCTATTCGACGCTTTTTTTTAACCATTGTTCTCGAAATTTCTAAAAAAAAGAACAATTGAAAATTGGCAAATTTTCTGAAAATCAATTTCGAATAATTGGAAATTTTTACACTTCATTAATTTTTATTACGCGTCATTAATGGAAAAATAAAAAAAAAAAACGTTAAAGATCGTTAAAAAAAATGGTAATTGCTAATTATAGGTTCAAGTTACTATTGCCAGCATTACAAATGAAACTTGTATAAAATGCAGTCGTGATGTAAAAATTTGCACCGATTCAAATTTCACGGATGCCACTAAAGATAAAAATTATGATGCTGTCGTATTACCTGGCGGAGTTGGTTATAAAAAATTGGCGGCTGTGAGTTTTTTTTTAGTTTTACAAATAATATTTTTTTAAAAAAATTTCCAGAATTTATAATTTTTCCATTATACTTACCTTTGTAATTTAAATTTATTATTTTGCTCCCTTATTGAGAAAATATTCATTTTTAATTTTTGTAATTGTAAAATATTTACTTCTATTATAATTCGAGGTTAGTAAATTTATTTTCAATTTGAAAAATTCTTTTCTAACTTTTTTCAATTAGTTTAAAAAAAATTTTCACAATGAAAAAGAAATAAAAATTATTACTTTAAAATAATATAAAATAGTTTTGAATTAATACGTTTTTTTTTCTTGAAAAATAATAAATTTTTCTACAAAAAAAATTAGTGATTGGAATTTATAAAGTTATAATGTAAAAAAATGAGATTAGAATTCGGATTAGAATATTAAAAAAAATAATCCGAAGGTTTTATATGTAAATTAAAAAATTAATGTTAATATCGCAGTCGGACTGTGTTGGAACTTTGCTAAAAGAGCAAGAGGCAAAAAATGGAATAATCGCTGCGATATGTGCAGCTCCAGTTGTTTTGAAAGCTCATGGAATTGCCAAAGGAAAGCAAATTACATCCTATCCGTCTACTAAAATTGAATTAAAAGGCGATTATAAATACATTGATGACCAAAAAGTCGTGACTGATGGTAAGACATTTTAATGACAATAAATTTGTACTTTTTTTCTTCTATAAAATAATTAATTAATACCAGAAAATTAATCCGTTCTTTTTTTTTTGTTTCAATAAAATTCAATTTTTAATTATTAAATTGAAATAAAAAAAAAAAATTTTCGCAGAATTTAAATTAATTTATTGATAAAAAGGCCTTGGTTTAAAATAATTTATTTTCTCGCCTACTAAATTCGTTTTTTTCAAAGGCCTTTATAAAAATTAATTTAAATAAATGGGTTTTAAAAAAGCAAATATTAATCAATTAAAAATAAAATTATTTCAGGTAACTTAATAACAAGCCGAGGACCATCAACGGCATTTGCTTTTGGTTTAGCGATTGTCGAAAAATTATTGGACAAAGAAGCTGCGCTTTCAGTTGCAGACGCGATGCTTTATACCGATTATAAATAGAAATTAAAAAAAAAAATTCAATTACATTAGTAATCAGTTTTATCAGAACTAAAATTTTCCCCAAAGATAAAATTTCTCTAAATATTAAAAAATTGTATAAAAAATTTAAAAAAATAAATATTAAATAAAAGCACACAAATATTTGTATACTTTAAAATATTTATTTTTCAAATATATATATATATATCAATTATAAATTAAAAATAATTTTTCAAAGTACAAAACGTTATGATTGAAATGAAAAAAGAAATTTATTTTTATTGATCAATATAAATTTTTCCTTTTTTCAAGAAAAAAAAATTGGGAGGGGATATTTAATTTGAAAAAGGAAATATATGTACACCGTATAACAAATAACATACAAAATTCCTTACACTAAATAATTATAGAAACGATACGTTTCCAAAATTCATTTGGCAGGTTTCATATTAATATTTCTTAGCATGCACAAATCACGTGCAGTTGCTTTTCGGCCCGCTGCTGTTTGAATGTCATACAACCTTAATAGTAAATCAGTTGTGAAACATTCCGGCAGTGCTTTTAGAAGACAAGGCACCTATATGAATTATTTTTCAATTATTAATAACTAATCGCTATGTTTTTTTTACTATTATAGTATAATTTCAATTTACAATAAACAGGCCTCGGATTATACGATTTTTTCCACTTTTTATGACTTTTCTTTCGAAAATACGATTTAACTTATTTAAATAAGAAGCGAATTTTCGACTTTTTTTTTCTAACATCCGAGACCTGAATAAAGATTCAAACTTATTGTGAAATGATATTAATTCAAAAATTATTAATTATTTTCAAAAAAAAAAAATTAAAATAAATTATTATTTAAATTTAAAAATTTTAAAAAGCTCAGAGAATAAATTTAATATCTCACCAAAGTTTGCGGCATTTCCTGTAGAACAATTCGCGTTCTATCCTTTCCACATTGCACCATTAAACGCAAAAATTGTAATATAAAATGCGTTTGTTGTGAGACCTCGCCATTTCTACCGGCGAGAAAAGTGAAATTGTTGAAAATTTTATTTAACGCTGACAATAGTGGATCGCGTAAAACAATCATTTTTTGTCCATTAGTTGGTCCCTGTGATTGTGGTGAATTTGAGCCAAATATTGGATTTGTATCACCTGCTTCGTTCAGTCTTAAAATTTTATTTGCCGGCACACCAAGTGCATCTAATTCATCAGCGTCTAAATCGTGACGAGTTCGTTTTCTACTATTGCCATGCTGTGGATTTGTATTATTGTACTCGAGAGTTGAAAATATACAATAAACACACAATTTTGCCAATACAAACGATTGTGGCTCGACCAATTCTTCACTTCTGGAAATTGAAAAAAAAAAAAAAATAATGAGAAAAAATTAATCGAAGCCAAAATAGTAAAATAAAAAAATAAATAATATATAATAATTATAGAGTGAAAAAAAATGTTACTTACTGTAAGCTATTATACAAATACTGGGGAACAACGTTATTTAAGAGATCGAGAGTACAATTCTCAATGTCAAAATGAAAAATGGCAAAAGTCAAGTCAACGGCTCTGTCTAATTCTTCTTGATATTTATATTTTAAAGTCGCTTTTACCAAATTTGAAACAAACCAAAGAGATCCGCCTGTATTTAATAATGAAACGAGAGCTTCCGCTGCTTGAATATTTATCCAACCACGATGATGAATATCCTGCCATATTGATTCCAGTTGTTCCAAAATTGGTTGACGCGATATGAGGCTTTAAAAAAATTGAAAAAAATTATTTTTATTTTAATAATGAAAAAGAGAGAAAAAATTATAATTGCATTAAATAAAAGAAAAGAAACACAATTAAGTAAAAATGCAAACAAAAATTATACATCAAGAATATGAAAAGAAAATTTTACACTAGAAAAAGAAATATAATTTAAAAAAAAAATAAAAAAAAAAATTATTTACTTTTTAAAAATTCTTAATTTAATTTTAAGAAACTAATAACAATAGTTATTAATAATTTAAAAAATTATTAAATATTAAAAAAGAATTTTGAAGTTAATAGATAATTGTAAGACAAGTGAAATAAAGATTATTATTATTATATGGAAAATTTTGATTGAAAGGGAAATGGATAAAATTTTCAAAAATATGAGACAAAAAAAGAAAACGAAGAAAAATTAAAATGAAAATATGAGAAAAATAAAAAGAGAAATTTTTTTTAAAAGAATCACAAAATTAAATGAGAAAATAAATAAAATTAGAATACAAAAAAGAAAAAAATAATTTAAAGACAAAAAAATTAACAATTTAATCATTATTTTTAATACCTGTGAGAGACGGTGAGAACTTTCTTAGATTGCGTTGGTGGCCGAACATCGTATTGCATCTTTCGTATAATTTGAAACATCAACAATGATCTGAAAAGGCAATTTTTTAATTCAAAAATATACTTTCGATTCTTAAAAGCGCAAAGCAATTAAAACCTATTAATTGTTTTTTCTTTTCATTTTCCAAAAATACTTCCAAAAATTGTTTACAATAATTTCTGTTATCGAATTTTTTTGGTTAATTTTTTTTTTCATTTATCATAGATTTTCGTTAATATTCTTCTTATTCGATAATAATTAATAAACTACATAAAAAATCATGTTAAAAGAAAAATTCTGTTAAATAGAAATTTTATTAAATATCTAAAAAGAATTTTAAATTAAAATTTTAATATTTTAATACTTAATCAACTTTATACAGATTTTTAAATAAAAATTTTTTTTTAAAATAACAATAATTTTAGAAGAGTTAAAGTTGAAATTTTTAGAAATAATTAAACTTCAAAAGATTTTGTTAATTTTCAGACAATAATTAAATTTTACAGAACTAAAAGAAATTTATCAAATAATTTTAGATAATATTTTTTAAAAGTAATTGAATTTTCAAAGATTTACAATTTAGATTTTTGAAATTAATTGAACTTCAAGTGATTTTTAGTTAAAAATTTTTTTGATGATTTCACTAAAAAATTTATTAGAAATTGCAGACAAAAATAGAATTTGAAAATTTTTTAAGTGAAAAATGGTTTCAAATAATTGAATTTTTGAAGAATATTATAAAAATCATTAAAAATAATTGAATTTCAGGAGAGTTATAATTGAAATTATTAAATTTCAAAAAAATTTTAGATGGAGAATTTTAGAAATAATTAAATTTTAAAAACTTTCAAATTGAAATTTTTGAAAATAATTAAATTTCAGACAATAATTATAATAAGAGAAATTTTTAGTGATTTCTGTTGATGAAGAATTTATTAGAAATCACATAGAAAAATTGAATTCACAAAAATTTTTAATTGAAAAATGCTTTCAGATAATTGAATTTTCGAAGAATATTATAAAAATCTTTAAAAATAATTGAAATTTTTGCAAATAATTTAATTTCAAGTGATTTTAAATTACAAATTTTTGCTAATTTTTTTTTAAATTATAAACAGTTATTAAATTTCATAAAAAATTTTAATTGAAAAATAGTTTAAGAAAATTGAATTTGTGAAGAATTTGATTAAAATTATTAAAATTAATTAATTTAGTGAAGAATTTTATTTAAAAATTTGTTAAATAATTGAAATAAAGAAGATCTGAAGATCTGCATTGTATACTATAAAAAAGTATTTTCTTAAAAAATTTTTTTTTTTTTAATGTAAAAAAAATCGAAAAAGTCGCATTTTACTAAAATAAATCGAAAAAAGTCGGAAAAAATCGTATAATCCGAGGCCTGAATGAAAAAGAAAAATGTACCTCTCCTTATAGTATTCCTGTGTCTCGTCGCTTGTAGCGGGAGTCAAAAATTGTTGCACCATATTCATTGGCTTAAGAAGTGCATCCTGATGAGTTATACTCATATGTGCACAAAGCCATGTTGTCGCACAAACTGGTAAACAACAAAAACCATTTCTTAAACGATCTAAAGCACGTTTCACATCACCTGCACTCAAACCACCGCATTCCCATCCAATTAATAATTCCTTAACAACACCCATTGCCGCTTGACAATTTGCATCCCAATTCATTGTACTTGTCATAAAATCACTTTCACCCGAATAAATATGTTGTAATAATGAATCAACAACACTTTGATCAATATTTTGTAACATTTTATGTGGTGATTTTGGTTTTCCACGTTCTGGCATACATTCACGTACCCATTGTTCAAAAAATGAATCGCCACCCTCCTCAAGTACATCACAACCATATGTTTGTACAATTGAATAGAGCATTAGGAATGTGACATCGAAAATTATACTTCTTGTTGATGCGGCTTTTTCATTAACTGGCTCATTTGCTTGTTTACTTGCCTCATTGAATTTTATCATTTTTGTGACAAATGCCTTTAATTTACCCTCAACTGACGCAACGGCCATTATTAAATCGAAACTTTTACCCGCAAGAATTTGATGAAGCATACTTAATAGGGCATCTTTAATTTTTGCATAATCGGCATTTAATGTTTTTAATAATCCACTCAACGTTTGTTCGGCGCGCATTATCACTTTTGGAATAACTGATGTTGAAGTAATTGGTGTCTCAAGCTTTTGTAGAGCCACTGTCATACCCTCCCTGTGAAAAAAAACGGAATAAATTAAAAAAAAGAAAATGTTAAACAACTAATTTTAATTGTTAGATATTTAATTAACATTGATTCTTTCAATTTTCAGACATCGGAATCCGAGGCATTAATTTTATTATCGTCAAAAATGAAAATAAAAAATTGAAAATTCCATTTATTTAACATACCTTCGGCTACTTATTTGTTTCGCTTGTTTCTCCGTGATTAAATTAACTTTTTGCAATTTGTTTAATATACTCTCGATGCAATTGCACAAATATGTTGCGTCAATTTTATCCAATAATGGCGTGAAATGAAGTAAAAGTTCAAAAGCCTCCAAAATATCCTGTGAGTACTCCAATTTTTCATCACCTAGACAAAAATAATTGTTTATTAACGAAAAATAAAAAAAAAAACCAAAATAATAAATATTATTTTATTAATATTAAAATAAAAAAAAAAAAATTGAAATACAAACCATTTAAAGTAGCGGTATGTAATTCTTTTAGAATAATTGGAACTTTCAAAAAAATAAAAGCACCCCAATGTGATTCACTGAACGATCCAGCGACACTGTGTAAACTCATTAAACTAGCGCGAATAAGTTCACAATAAAGTCTTGCGTTTGTATAATTTTTTAATCGCTGTACCATTTGCAATTGACTGACAAAAGTTGCCGTTTCTGTGCTTGAATTTAATGAGCCCTGTACGGCCAACAATGATTGTAAACAATGAGTAATTGGTTCCATGTCAATTCTCGTTGAATTTTGTGGCATATTTTCAATTTCTAATGTTGATAATTTTTTCAATGTCTCGTCTAAAGAAACGGCTGATTTAACATTATTTCCCCTATGAAGAACTTCAATTTCTTGACATTTCTTAACAACTTCCGCATAAAGATCTGTAAAACATTTATATAATTAATACGTAAAAGAAAACAGAAATAAAATAACAAAATAAATAGATTTGATCGGCTAAAGAATAAATAATTATAATTAATAGAAATTTTTTATTTTTATGTGAAAATTTTCTATTCAATTAATTTTTACCTTTATCGTCGTGTTTAGCTAAGTACATCATTGCGCAGATGAAATTTGAATTGAGCATTTCTTTAAGAATACTGGCGGGTTTGTCAATTAATTCAGATGGTTGTGGAATGAGAGGATTATTTTGTGGCGCTTTTGACAATGCATGTAAATAACATTGCAATAACCAATGTACAACCGACAATACTGCTGCGGCAAGAAGATCCTCTTCAGGTTTTCCACGGCACGTTATTCCAATGTGAATTGTTTCCAAGAAATTCAACAAACTCAAAATACAATGGGGCTTATGAAATGCGTCATATTTACTAATTCGTTGCAAAACAGCCGCGTATGAGACTAGCTGAAATTTTGTTTTTTTTCTCATTTTTACAATAAAATTAAATAATTTTTTTAAATTAGTAATTCTCTAAATTAAAATAGAAAACAATTTCAATTAAATTAAAATGGAAAATTTAAATTGAATTTATTTTATAATTTTAATTAGAATATTAGAAAATTGGAAAATATTTTAAGAGTCGGGTTTTTTAGAAAAAGAAGAGGTTAAAAATAAAAATAAAAATTACTGTAAAATAATTTAAACAAATTATATGGCAATTACCTGAGAACTGAGCGAATGTTTGAGGTAGGATAAAACTAAATGATTTGGACCTGGACCAACTAAAGCTTGTTGAAGTATACAATCTGCTAGATTATAAACATCGCCACTTACACCTCGTGGTAAAATCTGTTAAATAATAAAAAATATTATAAAATTAAATACATTTTAGGCTAAAATTTATTTTTATTAATTTTTCTTTCTTTTATTTTCGTTTTCTTACCGTTTTTATATTTATACCCCATTGCAAATCACTCCAACGTTCACGCCAAGCTCTAAGTAAAAGAGCTTTAAGACTACTAGTTTTGCTGGTAACTTTGTCCATTGTCAAAAGAGTATTACACATGATGTTTCACTAAAACGACTCTATAAAAAAAAATTCACTTTATATATATAAAAAAAAAAAAAAATTCCCTTAACTCTTTGAGGAGGAAATTTTTTTTCTTTAAACAGGGTATTTAACAACAGCTAGGAAAAAAAAATTCCTGACTTTTCCCTGATCTAAATTACACTGAAAAATTTATTTGCTTGAAATTCTAAACGTTCAAATAAACGAACAATTTATTTACTACTTTTTTAATTACAAAATTTCTTATAAAATTTTGCTTTTTTTTATTCAAAAATACATTAATAATTAAATATGTACCAAACTTTTTTTTATTTTTCATTGTCTGAGTAAATTTTTTTAAAAAAAATTGCTAGAATAAACAAATTATTTCGTTCATTTGAACGTTCATAACTTCAGGCACCATAAAAAATTTTTTATTTTGATCAAATAAAATTTATTTTGATACAATTAAATTATTTATCTGTCAATTATCCACTAATTTCATATGTATTTGAACCAAAATAAAATAATGTTTCGTAAAAAATAAAATATTTAAGTGAAATAAATAAACTAATTGGAGACGTATAAATATTCTCAAGATTTAATTTGAAAGAATTTTTACGGCGTCAAATCTTAAATTATATGAGCCAAAAGTTCTGAACGTTAAAATGAACGAAATAATTTTTTTCAATTTATAAATTATTAAAAATTATGATGACAATATAAAATTATTATTATTATTATTATATTATTATTATTATATATAATAAAATGCTTGGTCTGTCCTTCTGTCCTAACTTGAAGTTGGCCTTTTCTGATTTCACGTGTTTCTTTGAATAGTAATCTTATGACGTGTCAAATTTTGACAATTCTTTTTCTCATTTTTGCCAAAGTTGTATAATTGTGTTTCCAAATTTCGGAATAAGTTTCTTTAAAATTCCAAATTCGAAAATTCGTTTACCAACGAAATTTTTTTAAAGTTGTATATTAATTTAAAAATTGTATACAAATACAAAAAATTTATGATGAGAAAAAAGATCCGCCAGGAAATTTCGTACACGATAGTAATTTGAAAAAAATTTATTTTTAAAAATTAATTTTTAAGGTACCAGGGGCCAACGAATACCTATTAAATATTAATTATAAAAATACAGGCCTCGAATTAAATTTCAAAAGATATTGTTAATTTTCAAACAATTATTAAATTTTACAGAACTAAAAATAATTTATCAAACAATTTTTAAATTTAATTGAATTTTCAAAGATTTAAAATTGATATTTTTGAAATTAATTGAAACTTTAAGTGTTTTGCAATTAAAATTTTAGATGATTTCTATAAAAATTTATTAGAAAATGCGGACAAAATACAATAATTTGAAAATCATTTTTAATTGAAAAATTGTTTCAGATAGTTGAAATTTCAAAGAATATTATTAAAATAGTTAAAAATAATTGAATTTCCTTAGAGTTATAATTGAAATTATTAAATTTCAAAAAAAAAATTTTCGATGGAAAATTTTAGATGCTTTTAAATTCAAATTATTGAAAATTCAATTAATTTTGAATTCAAATATTGATTTTGAATTAAAATTTCGGGTAATAATTGAATTTTAGTTTATTTTGAATTGAAATTTTTAAAAAATAATTCAATTTTATTGTGATATTTTTTTTTTAAATTATAAACAATTGTTAAATTTCATAAAAATTTTAATTGAAAAATAATTTTGATATAATTGAATTTGTGATGTATTTAATTAAACTTATTAAAAATAATTAATTTAGTGAAGAATCATTTTAGTTCAAAATTTGTTAAATAATTGAATTGAAGAAGATCTGAAGAAGATCTACATTTTATACTAAAAAAATGTATTTTATTTACATTTTTTTCAAATGTAAAAAAAAAATGTCGCATTTTATTAAAATAAGTCGATAAAAGTCGTATTTTTGAAAAAAGTCGTATAATCCGAGGCCTGTAAACATATAATTTCCATTATTATCATTTAATATGTAATAATATTCTAATAAATTAAATTATTATTGATAATATTAATCTTTAATTTCTTTATAACAAACAATTAAATACTCAATTTGGCGCGCGTTTAATTTTGCTAGTAAAACAATAAATTAAACAATTGTTAAATTAATACGAAGCTGAAGTACGCAACTTTTATATAAACGATTTTTAAAGAAATAATTTTTTAAAATGAAAAATTCTATAATTTTTTGCTTAAAAAATATTTCTTGTAGTTTTCATTAATCAACAAATTATAAAAAAATATTTTTTAGGCAAAAAAAAAATGCTTTATAAGAGTTCTTTTTATTAAAAAACCAAATATTTCACTGAAAAAAATTAATTAATTGTTATCCAAGTTTAAAAAATCATTTATTAGATTCAATAAATAGTAGTAAATAATTATTTACTTAATTAATATAAGATATATCACATGCTTAATAATTAAGTGTGAAGGCCATTTTTTTAATTTGCATTTGTTTTGGGAAAAAAGTAAAAAAAAATTATCGAAACTAATAGTTACTTAAATTTATTTATAAAAAATTCCAGAAAATTAAAGAAATTCCCCGACTTTTTCCTGACCGTTAGACACCCTGATTAAAAAATCAGGGTTTTTTTGATTTTTAAACTTTTTTTTTAGCGAAGGTTGTTAGTTTTTTTTTGTTCTAAAACCAGAATTTGGAATTGGAAATTTATACCAAACGAAAAAAAAAATATTTGGTTTTAAAAATTAAAGAACTTATGCATTGGATAAAAAAAATTTTCATGTTTGAAAGCAAAATTGGTCCTCATAGAGTTAAGTATTTATAAAAAGAAACATTATAGATTCACAAACTTTTGATAACAATATTAAAAAAATTATAATCAACTACTTTCAATTTTTTTATTGTAAATAATTTTTTTTTTTTTTTTGACAATTACACAAACGTCACAAATGAAAACTGACACTCAATATGTCATTAATATTTCTATAAATAAAAACACGAATTGAATAAAAATTTAATTTTAACATAAAAAAAATTTTTTAAAAATATATTAATTTATAAAATACAATTTTATTATTGCTTTTTCTATAAGAAAATTTGCAAATATTAATCCATAATATAAGTATATGTATATTGAAAAACCAAACTAACCTATAAACAAGTAAATAGAGATTTTTGTTATTTTGCTAAAACAATAAATAATTAAAATAAAAACTTACCTGCATTTACCCTCGACATTTAACAATAAAATGTCCACAGAAAACATATTTTTTATCTGTTATTATAACATAAAAACACGACTTATTAAAAAAAGCAATAGAAAAAAAAATGACCAGGCATCAGTAAACACCATCAGCCATTTTGTTTTTCACAGGAAGTAAAATAGGTAAAGGATGGATAAAGGGAATAGCAATTTCCGGTGATAAAAATGGACAAATTTCTCTTGTTCCAATCACAAAATGTTTTCTAACTCACTGATTGGTTAATTTGTCACGTGATGTCTAATTGAATTTAAATCGATAAAATGAATTTTTTCAAACTCAAAATCAATTTATTTTACTTTTTTTTTTTTAATTCATGATTTTTATTATTTATTGGCAAAATTTTATTGTTTCTAATCAAGAATCGGACAAACAATCGAAAAATTTATTTTCAAAATTATTAAATGAACTAATGATAGATATTCAACAAATTATAATCTTTATTGAATATTATTTTCAATAAATAAAATAATTTCAAGTCAAAAATTAAAAATAAAATTTATATATTTTTTCGTTAGGCGAGAAAATATATATTATTTAAAAAACAAAAAATAAAAAGATACAGCGATATTTTAAATTTTATTAGTAAGTATTATTAAACTCTTTACATACTTCGTCGTTATAATAATGAATAACCGATAGAGTTATTTCTTAACTTTTTACATCCACACACGCAGGCACGCGCGACGTTCTATTTTTTTTTTTAATAATAATAATAATTATTATTATTATAATCTATCACACGATCCGTTTCTCGAAAAAAAAATAGAAAATTCTAATGCTTCATTTTTTTTTTTTTTTTTAAACTTCAAAAAAAAAAAAAAAAAATCTACACTCAACTACGTTTTTGAGAGTGTATTTAAAAATACAAGCATTTATAATGCAAGGAATCATCTTTGATATTACTGACCATACCAATTTCTCACTGAAAAAAAAATAATAATAATAAGGTTGCGTGGGTGGATAGGACAAAAAAAAATAATTTCTCTTAAATATCGCAAATATCTAACGGACTTGGATGACAAAAAAAAAAAAAAAAAAAAAAATTCCAAATATTATGCTAGTTGTTAAAATAAAATATCTTTTTTTTTTTCTAAAAAAAAGTTCGATATTGATGCTTATTTTAAGTTTCGAATGCCGTGATATAATTCTACTTGTTTTATTTGTTCTAATAGGCTGAATCCATCTCAGATCAGGCAAGCCGACTAGCTTGAAATTATGGATTTATCTGCCGATGAAATATGTTATTCTGTACAGAAAATAAAGAAACACGTATTTTTTTATTTTCCATGAAAATTATTTTCAACGAAGTTATTCACTTTTGAACTTTGAACGGTAAAACTCGAAAAGTACAGTGAAAAAAAATTGTTTTACTCGTAACTTTTTTTCTAATTAGTGTAATCAATTTTTCTTTCTTGGATCTTTTTAATGGTATTTGTCTCTTCAAAATCCCGTTTAAAATTTGTAAAAATCTTTAAAATTAACGAAATGGCGAATGATTTTCTGAAAATAAATAAGGTTAATTTTCTCAAAAACCCCACTTTTTTTTTCTTTCAAATTTTTACCATAAATTCTTACAAATACGAGGAACAATTCCTAGGAGTTTCAAGCATGCTAAACCATTCTGTCATTCAGGGGAATTTTTTTTCGAAATTTTATTTTCTTCGAATTTTGAGATAATTGGTGCGGACTTTCAAGAACAAAACAATGTTGTGAAGCTCACTGAAGTAAGTCCTTTTATAACCAACAATTATTATTGTCTTAAGTGAACGCAATTTGACAAAGAAAACATTGCAGGGATATTTATTAATTTGTTTGAATTTTCGTATTCATATTTAAAGCGAAATTTCAAGATTTGTTTTTGAGTAAGTTTTAATTTTTCTTCACCTTTTGGTTTATCTGATTTGAAGACAAAGTTTGATTATATTGTTATTTTCAGGACTAGAAATGTACCCTGTTCTTTTAATGTTAAGTGTTTAATTTTTGAAAATTATGAGTAGAAGTGAAAGCAGTTATTTTTCTGCAGATCGTAAAGTTTGTCCTGATTTTGCTAATGTGCACAAAAAACGCATACGGAACACCGAAAATAATCAATTTATTAAACTTGAAGGTTTATCACTATTGCTACAACCTTTGTTTCCTGAAAAAAATGTCAATTTTAATGATTGCGTCTGTAAAAATTGTTATAAACGATTCACTTCAAATTTTTTGGTGTCTTCTAATTTGGAAATATTTGACGATAGTGTCAGTAATTCAAGCGAGGATAATTTTGTCGATTGTGAACCTGAAACACTTGAACAAGATGATTTGTTTGAACCGGATTTTGAAACGCAAGTTGAAGAAATTAACGAAATATCTTCCAACCTTCGATTGAACGTTTCACCTTTGCGAGAATTAGATTTAGAAATGACCGAAGATAAACGAAAACATTATGTTTGCAGAAAAAGAAAAGAACTCACTGATTCATTTTCAAATGCAACAACCAGCAAGCTTTCGAAACTTTACGACGTTACATTGTCGAACGGAAATGACTGTAATCTTTGTGACCAGTGGATAAATAATTTTGACTTGGCGTTGCAAAATTGCGAAACAACATCCGAGAAGATCCGTCTATTAACAATTTTGCCCGAATCCCTCTCAAAAAATGCGTTACTTTCAAAGCTTACAACAACTAAGTACATTATTGATGAAGCGAGAAAATTAAAACGAAATAAAGGAATATACAATTTGCCAGATCTGTACAGTGGTCATCCAATAAGCGAAGAACACATAAAAGTAGCACAAGAGTATTACCTGAATGATGATTTGGATTGTTCCAGGCAGAGTCCAAATAAAAATGATGCTATAAATGTTAATGTCGATGGTGGAAAAGAAAAAAAAGTGAAACGGATTTTAACTAGAAGTATTAAAGAAACATACCAAATTTTTCGAGAAAAAAATCCTGCTATAAATATTGGAAGATCAAAATTTTACTCATTAAGACCAAAATGGGTAATAATTAATCCACAAAGAGAAGTGTGCGTTTGTATATACTGTGCTAATTTTGAACTTCTCCTTATTGCATTGAAAAGCTTAAGAAAAGAACGCTTTTTGGATATTAAAAAACTTCAAAAAGATCTCTTCACAGTCGTAATGTGTTCACCTTCAACTGAAAAATGCATTCTTCAAGAATGTAGCTTGTGTCCTGGTGCTGAAGGAATAACCACTCAAGTTCTGAAAATTTGTGAAGAAATTTCTCTCGGTGAAATAACCTATGCTTTGTGGAATGAAGGCGAATTAGTGAAAAAAACAACGAGCTTCAGTACATTTTTTAGTGAACTGAAAAACTACACTCTCAAAGCAAATGTTCATAAGCACATAAAAAATATCCAGAAAGAAGAAATAATAAGAGTTAAAGAAGAAGCTAAATTGAATCCGAAGAAACTGGTTTTTCATGTTGATTTTGCAGAAAATTGGAGCGTGATTTTCCCGAATGAAATTCAAAGTGCCTATTGGAAGACAAAACAGATTTCAATTTTTACAGCGGTTTGTTACAACAATGGAAAACCACAAAGTTTTGCTGTTGTTGCTGATGACACGAAGCACGATTCTGCTCATGCGATGTTGGCCTTGAATATGATACAAGAAAACTGTAAAGAGCAATTGGAATTAGAAGAAATAGAAGAAACCACAATTCTTTCAGATGGAGCCGGTGCTCATTTTAAAAATCGGTTTCAATTTTTTGAGTTCTCACAATCGAATATTAATAAACAGTGGATTTTCTCTGCAACAGGACACGGAAAAGGTGCATGTGATGGCATTGGCGGCATTGTGAAGCATTTCGCCAGCACTCATAATTTGCAAAAATCCCATCTTCAAGTAATTGACAGTGCTGAGTCTTTTGTGAGAGAAGTACAGAATTACACTCCTTCGATTAAACTGCTTCTAATCTCATCTAGGGAGTTGGAAAAGTTTCGAAAAGCAAAAATCCGTCAATGGAAGAGTGTTGAAAAAATTGCAGGAATCCAAAAATGCCACGTTTGGAAAATTCAACACAATGAAAATGGGGATATGGTCTCTTACATGGCTCGAACTGCTAAACATGATTTAGTAGAAATTTGATAAATACTTTCAATTAAATATTTGTATTAAAAATTTTAATTAATTTAAATAGATGTTTTAATGTGCAATAAAAATATTTTATTTGTAAGTAAACAAAATTATTCATGATTCTAATAACAATTTTTTTTAAATTTAATAAAGCACTTCAGTTTTTAAATTTAACAAATTTTGTAAAATTTATATTTGATTTAAAATGTTTTCTTAATTAAAAATTCCATTTTTTATTTTTTAATTATTCAAATTTAACTTTACATAATATTAACTGTCTTCAATTTTAAATTATAGAATTTAGACAAATAATAAATCCATAAATACTAATTTCTAAATATATGTTCAATTGGAAAAAATGAAAAGTTAAAGTAACTTGCAAAAAAATTTTCAAAGATAATTTGAATTTAAATAAAACTTTGATAAAATAAGCACTTCTGCAAGAATTACAATATTTATAAAAACATTTTTCTTTTCAAACTTAACAATATATTTAATTTGGTTCTAAAGAAATTTAAAATACTAAATTTCACATTTTTGATTTTTAGAACCTTCAACACAAGTTATTTTACAGTGATTATGTATGCAAACATTATTTATTTATTTATTTATTTATTTATTTATTGAGATTTAATCCAACAGTTATTATTGGTTATAAAAGGACTTACTTCAGTGAGCTTCACAACATTGTTTTGTTCTTGAAAGTCCGCACCAATTATCTCAAAATTCGAAGAAAATAAAATTTCGAAAAAAAATTCCCCTGAATGACAGAATGGTTTAGCATGCTTGAAACTCCTAGGAATTGTTCCTCGTATTTGTAAGAATTTATGGTAAAAATTTGAAAGAAAAAAAAAGTGGGGTTTTTGAGAAAATTAACCTTATTTATTTTCAGAAAATCATTCGCCATTTCGTTAATTTTAAAGATTTTTACAAATTTTAAACGGGATTTTGAAGAGACAAATACCATTAAAAAGATCCAAGAAAGAAAAATTGATTACACTAATTAGAAAAAAAGTTACGAGTAAAACAATTTTTTTTCACTGTACTTTTCGAGTTTTACCGTTCAAAGTTCAAAAGTGAATAACTTCGTTGAAAATAATTTTCATGGAAAATAAAAAAATACGTGTTTCTTTATTTTCTGTACAGAATAACATATTTCATCGGCAGATAAATCCATGATTTCAAGCTAGTCGGCTTGCCTGATCTGAGATGGATTCAGCCAATAATATAGAAAAATTAGTATTTTTTTTCAAAAAAAAATTTTTTTTCCAAAAAATTCTTTTCAAATAAACCGTTATTTTTTTTTAGCTCATTTTTTTAAAATTCCAAATACTCATTTTTTCTTTATTTATTTCAAATACCATTTTATATCATATTAATTTTTAATAATATATTAATATATAATTTAATTATTTGAATGAAAATAAATAATATTGACCGTTTCTAAATAAATGAAAAAAATTATTCTTTTTGAAAAAAAATTTAAAAATTTAAAAATAAAAAAAAAAAAGTCCTTTTTTGATAAACATAAAGTAAAATCGCTTTCATTCACTTGTTTCATGAACAGTTTACAAATCGCTCTCGTATCACATTTATTTAATTAAAGGACATTTTTCTATACAATTTACCCTATAAATTACGAAGCCATCAAAATGGCGATTCATTGTTAAACAATGGGGTGGAAAAAACAAAAAAAAAAAAAAAAATATTAACATTTATTCGATTCTTTCAGACACAAGTCTTCTGTTTTTTTTTTAAATATATATTTCCTCATTCTTGTGTTATTTCATTATTATTTTTTTTTTTTTGCATTCGTCTATCTATATAATTAAATCTAATTATTATGTATAGTAACTTTTTAGGCAAAAATCATATTTTTTTTTTCTTTACCAATTCAACGACTATACAACATCCACAAGGATTTTATAATGTCTACCTTGCTTATTTCTTTTTTTTTATATACTATATATATATATTTGTTTATATCCTTTTCGTTTATCTTCGTCTTCTTATTTATCCTCTTCTTCGCCCTTTTCTTATTTTTATTTATATTATGCAATATAAAAAGGTCGCGGGTACTCGTAGAAAATATCTCTAGAATCTCTCGCTACCTATAATATATTTGAAAAATTTCACGGCCGGTGAAAAAGATAATATTCAATTTTTCTTTTTTTTTTTTCATTACATTGGAACACTCGCTAAATAAAAATCGCGCTATTTCATTTATAATGAATCGATTTTTTTTTTTTTGAAACTCAATAATTTTTAATTTGCCATTTAAAAAAAAAATGATTACTATCAATTTTCAATCAATTGGAAAATTGACAAATTATTATGAAACAATAAATATTCGGAAAGATAAAAATTGTATAATTATTAAATTAAAAAAAAAAAAAAAAAAAAAAAAAAATTTATGGAATCTCACGTCCTATAAAATGGCAATTATTTTTATCTAAAAAAGAAAATATGATAAAAACAGCATTTAATCCAAGTCCGAAATTCTTAATTGTCGACGACAGAATGAAAATAATTATTAAACTGCTATTTGTATAAACGGAAGTCAATGACCTGTTATTTATTATCAATAAAATTTGCTAAAAAAAAAAAAAAAATTGGGTTTAAGGAAATCCTGAAAAGCAACGTATTTTATCATCAGTTTTAATTTACAAATTGCCAAATTCAAGATTCGCAATTGATTTATAATAGCAATTAATAGTATATAATACAGCTTCACTCAGATAAAAACACACATATTCATCTAGCATATTTATATATCGTTTTTAAAATTCTGCTGCGGCGATTCTATTTAATGCAATATTTTCATTTTTTTTTTTTTTTGTTTTAATTAATACGAAATTCGTTTTATTTTATTTTTTTTGACGATCTCAAAAGAGAGTATTCGACAAGTTACTTTCCAATCGAAAAAGTAAATAAAAGCTAATTTTCAAATTTTTTTTTTTTCATTTTTAAATTCTAAGTTTCATTTTAACGCACAGTCATGCTCATGTTTTTTAGAATGTTTCTCGTTTTTTTTTTTTTTTTTTTTTTCTCCCTTCAATGTCGAAAAAAAAAATTATTAATCATTCATGTTTTTAAATTCATTCAGAGGACGTCTCTCAATTTACAAGGAATAAAGAGCGCTCTTTACTTGTGAACAAAGCAAGACTACAATAATAACCATAATAGTAATAATAATAATAAAAAAAAAAAATCGTTACTTTCTAATAGTATTATTTAGTAATCGATCGCTTCTTTATTCGATGTAACAAATAAAGCATTTTCACTTTGGAAAAAAAAATAGTAAAAAAAAAAAAACTGTTTCACGATAATTCTCTCATTTTTTATTCCTTTTATTTCCTTTTTTTTTTTTTTTGTACATATCAGTATTTTTAAGTAGCATTCAGACACATTCAAAGTTTCGTTCAATCTCTCATTTAACTTCCGACAGAATCAATTTGAAAATTCTCTAAAAAAAAATAATAATAATAATTACAACAGCCTAAAACTCGTAAACTTTGGATATTTTGACGTCCTCAATGGGTGGAAAAAAAGACTCGCTTCTTTTTCTTTTTTGTTTCTTACGAGAAATATATATGTATATATATATATATAAAGTCAAAGTACAAGAAATAGCATCGCCAAGCAGGTGTTTTTCGCATTTAATCGACAACAAAAACTTCGTTTCATTTAAAATCCTATAACAGACAAACAAACAGACACCGCAGTTTGGGTTTTATCTCCGTAACAAGGGCGCAGTATTTTACACTCGTCGGTTTTAAAAGACAACAGTGCTGGATATTAGTGGCTTCTTTTTTTCTTTCTCTCTCTTTCACTCTCATTCTTTCTTTTTCACTTTCTCTTATTGACAAGTTAAAGGGAATTTAGTTTCTTTTTTTTTTTTTTTTTTTTTTTTATAAATTTTTTTCTAAATTACCTTTAAAATAGTCAATTAGAAGGCATTAGCGACCAGCACTGTAATTTTTCATCTTCATTACTTTTATTTATTTATTTTTTTTTCCTTTTTTTCTTCTCTTTTTCTTTTAAATCTAATAAAGGTCTTGCAATGTGGATTTGTTGTGGGTGGAGAGATGATAAGGAAGGATAATGGAATTAAAGGGGGAAGGAGGGATGATGGGCAGGGATACGATAGTACCTACGGCAAAGCATTTCTCGTTCAGGATGTGAGTGTGTATGTATGTGTGTGTGTGTTGTTCTTCTTGTTGTTGTTGATGATGAGAAAATTGGCTGGCTGGTTGGATGGTCATGGTTGATTCAGTCCTGCATCTCTTCCGGCATTTCATGAGGATTCAAAATTCCAGGCACCGACATTTGTTGTTGCCTCTTTTCTTCCTGAGCTATTCGTAAAGCCGTTTCTCGTTCTTCTAAATAAAGATCAGAATCATCCTCTCCAGTGTATTCCTAAAAAAAAAAAAATTTATTATTTTTTGCTTTTACAATTTTTAATTAACGATAATTAAAAAGTCGCTTAATTCTAATTTAACTGTATTTAAATAATATATTATATAAATTAGATATAAATTCCTCACTTTACGTTTAATTATTTTTTGGAAGAATTTTTTATTTTCGAATTAAAATTTGACGGAATTTCTTTTTACACGGATTTTTTGCATAACAAAATTTTTAGTTAGCTAATTTTTCTTTGGCTTTGTACTTTTTTTTGTCGATGGTTTGTTAGGACAAATAAAAATTTAGGCAAATTAAAATTGGATGAAAAAGGAAAAAAAAAGTTCCAAAAAAATTGTAGATGCAATTGCAAATGAACTTCGAATTTGGAGTGGAATACATACATATATATATATATATATATATATATATATATATATATATATATAAAAAGAAAGAGAAAAAAGAATTCCTCGAGTAAAATATGTAACTGAAATTAAATTTCCAAGGACATTGGAAACTAACAGATATAGATCAATTTCTTTGAATGTTTTTCAAAACTTATTTTCACAATTAAAACGATACTATCTATGTAAAATGTTGAAAATTACACTTGACCTATAGGAATTTATTGTGTTAGGTGAATTTCCACTTTCAAAGCAACTTGACAACTACAACGAGACATACAGAACTCGTCCTTTGACGATGAAAAATTACACTTTTTCTAGTGTAATAATTCCTGATGAAATTTGCAAAATACTGTTTGTGCTTAATAATTATTGGATCAAGGAGCCTGGGATACGCAACAAAAAATGGTTACCTAGGAGGATTAATAAACTATTTGGAGAAAGAGTCCAAATTGTATCAGGTAATTATGAACTATAAGAAATTGTTATTAACATTAGTGTTGTAATAATAATAATAATTTTTTTAGAGTTTCGAAAAAAATTACTTTGACAAAATATCACATTCTATTATAAAAAATTATCATTATTATTATAATAGGATCAATGCATTATATATCACCAAAAATCGTTGAGATCGATTTTTAGAAAAATCTATAATAATACAACGATGTAAAAAATTCACAACATTTATGATCAACGATTAGAAAAAAAAAAATTTTTATGACTTAAAAATAGATATAAAATTTTCCATCTAAATAATAATAATAATTTCTTGATGCTTATAAATTGCAAAAAATATTTTTCAGGCGAAAATTTATAGAATTATTAAAGTATTAAGACGCTTAATCCATTATTGTCAATTACTTTATAATTTAGATGAATGAGTGAAAAATTTTTTAAATTCAAAATTGACATCTTTTTTGAATATTAAAAATATATTTTTTTTTACTTCTTGAAATGAAGCTTAAAATTAATACGGTCAGTTGAGGTAAATGGGGACAATATCGCTATTTTTCACAAATTACGTAAGTTTCTTCCTTTAAAAGGTAATAATTGCGGGTTTATTATTTTTAAGTTGTTATTTACGTTACCAGGATTAATTTTATGCAGCAGAAAAAAATTAAGATAAGCTTTAAACGCATGAAACTGACTGTCCCCATTCACCCCAAAATTTAGAAAATTTCATAAAATTCGGGGTACATGGGGACAGCATAGTTTCTAAGAAAGTTTTAAGAAAAAAGTTTCCTTAAGTATATTACTGTATTAAGGGATGAAAAAACTTGAAAAAAATGTGTAGTAGATATATAATAGTTGAACCAATTGAAATTTTTTTATTTTTTTTTATTTTAGTATTTTGTCTCGCATTTGAAAAAAAACAGACTTAAAAATCATACAAAATTTTTTTCTTATTCCTTATGACTCCCATAACAGAAATTGACTTGAATTTTTTATTTTTGTTAATTTGGTTAATAATGACAAGCTGTCCCCATTTACCCCAAAAATTCGAAAACTCAAGGGTAAATGGGGACAGCTTGTCATTATTAATCAAATTAACAAAAATCAAAAATTCAAGTGAATTTCTGTTATGGAAGTCATAAGGAATAAGAAAAAAATTTGGTATGATTTTTAAGTCTGTTTTTTCAAATGCGAGACAAAAAACTGAAACAGTTTGACTTTGATTTTCAAGTTTTTATGCATTGAGCGATAACTTTTTTTATCTTGCTGCCAATTGTCAAGATAAAAGCTTGGCAATACTCAAAACCTCTTGCAGGTGATCTGAGGTTAAAATATTGACATTGAACTTAATTTTAAAACTGTAAATTAAGCTCCAACACCTCTTGTCCCCATTTACCCCAACTGACCCTATTTACTTTTAAAAAACTAATTTTACAAATTATTGTTTTTTTCCGTTTCTGAGATATTAATAAATTAATGTTAATAAAAACAAAAAAATCATTTCATTTAATTCGTTTATTAAAAAAAATAAATTTTTAATTTCATTTTTTTTTATTTTACTGAAACATTATTCGAAAGAATTCTTTTCTAATCGAATATTCATTTTTACAAATTTAAATTAGACATAATTCTTAAAATGTTTAGAATTAAAATTCTATCTATAAGTTTTTCTGAAAAATAAAATTTTTTTTAATAAACTATTTTGACTAATGAAAATTCGAGTAAATAATAATTCTGACAAATTCAAATTCGATGAAATAAAAAGTCTGAAAAATGAAAATTTGTTCAAGTAACAATCCCATCTGGAGCTAACTCAGCTATTTCACACGAGTAGTTATGATTTTTCAAAAAAATCAAATTCTTTTTACATTTGACCAAAATTTTAATCTTCCTCTCCTCTAAACTTTTCGATAAAAAGGAATAATAATTTATGAGTGAAGTACACACGCATTGTAATAAAATAATGTAATGCAAATTGCAACCTGATCTAAGAATTTTTTTTTTTTTTTTTAGTAAGATTACTTGATAAATTTTTCCTCAGAAATAAAATGTTGTAAAATAATTGACAAAAAAAATTGTACGAATATTAAAAATCATTACTAATGCGAATTTTTCTAAAAATTAACCACAATAACTTTCAGTGAAATATATTGTATTGACCAAATATTAATTTAATACGGCTTTGTTAATTATTATAATTATATTAGGTAATGTTTGTCGTCGACGATCACTTGATGAATTCAAGCTCAAGAGCAAGTTCTCTTGTTCAAAAAGTTTCTGAGCACTTTCCAACAATGAGCATTAGTTTATCTAAATTTAAATTCGAATTTATTAAAACTAACTATCCGTCATCACTACAACGACCAAGGAAAACAACATTATTTATTGTTTTTTTCGATGGCAATCTTGATGAGCTATTAAATCAGCTAAAAATTATAATTGAAAATGTCCTGCAACTGACTTGTACAGAGCCATACCCAAAAATGTTGCTTAACATTTTTGCGCCCAACAATCTATTTCCAATCAAAATTGTACTTGAAATGTTTTGGAAACTGGAATGGCTCGATGTTATTATGATGATGCAGCCAAACGAATACCGAAGATCATTAGCAGGAGAGAAATTCAATCAGTCAATTCTACATGAGATAAATCTTTTTGCTGGAACCTATTCCGCTCAAGAAATAACAATCGATAGAGAATGGTTCCCGAATAAATTGCGAGACCTTCATGGGCAGGAATTAAGATTTTTATGCTCAGAGAATTTAAAAAGGCATCTTGATGAAAAGACAATTAAAAACATGGAAAAAATTGCCGATCTCTTTTCAAAAGGTATGAATTGCAAAACCAAAATACATTATGCTTACTGCTCAAGTGTGGAATGTTTGGATGTTCTCAAAGAAAACAAAGCCGAAATAACGTTAAAACCTGCAATAATTGTGTTAAACAACGATGAACCACTAATTATTTCAAGTATACGCATTTTGCAATTTGGTGCTTTGAAAGCTGTGTTACCAAAAAATACAAGATTAACTGAGATTATCGTCGTCTCGGAGGAATTGATTCTTATGCTTTGTGTAACCGCCGGTGCAATTGCTCTCATTCGAATTACAGCCTCGGTGTTAAAATTCAGCAGAAACACATGGCAAACGTTTAAAATCAGTCAAATTATAATGGGAATGTCCGTCGACAACGAACCAGAAAAATTGACAGAAAGAATTGTTTTTGGTGTCCTCATGCTGAGTTGCATCGCTTACACAAGCTACTTTTTCTCAGTGATTCTGGACCTTAGTCTGCGATCTGAACCGGAAATAACAACACTCAAGGAACTGCTCAACTCATCTTTGACACCTCTGGTAGAGTCAATTGTAAAAAAAAACCTGTTGTCTAGTCCTATATCTGAAATTCAGGAATTAGGCAGAAAAGCTATTGAATCTTTTGGTGTTAAGTGTTTGGCTTACTTGCATGTTTATAGAAATGTAACTTGCATTTTTACGGAAACTGACAATTTGATCAAATTCATGGAGACTAAATATGAAATCACGAACATTAAAATTCTCGAGGAACCTTTAATTTATTACATAGAGACCTGGAAACAAAGATTGTATTCACCATACACTGAGCATTTCAACGAAATAATTCTGCGAGCCTCACAATCTGGTATACTGAGTAAATTGATAGATTTTGATATAGCGAAACCACCTAATCAATCGCCACCACCAGAAGAAATCTCGAAGGAAAAGTTGTTCATAATAATCACTTACGTTTTGACTATCGGCTACTCTCTCTCGTTGATCGCTTTTTTTAATGAAATTCTGAGCATCATTACGTGGCAGAAAATTCGCTTATTTTTCGTCAATTGTTTTAACAGGATCAGAGAAAAATTATGGTAAAATGAAATCGAGTTTTTAGCAGTTAAATCTGTTACAATGAAATTCACAAATATGTACCTGTTAGAGGTGTGCAAAAAGCTTGAAACTCGATTGACAATTTTTGAGCTTTTAGTTTTCGAGTCGAGCCAAGTTGTTTCAACAGCTCGAAGTTTCCCGAGTTCTCAAATTTATTCGATTTAATAAAATTCCTGTAGACATAATTATATTGAGAAAGATATGAATGTTAGTTCTACTTTTGACCAAACTTTATCTGGGTCTAAAA